GTCGCTTGGAATCGCCATCGGAGTCTCCAGTGGATGCCATGCGGAGGGAAGGATGATCCACGCTAGCACCCTGACTGTGCTGCAAGCTAGTAAGCAGGGTCAGGCCCAGGAAGGCAAGAAACATGATTCTCATCTTGACTCGTCGCACGAAGCTGCAGCGGGTTGAGCCATGGGAGTCTGGGGTCGAATCACGTTGTTTTCTTTAAAACTACACCGCTGCCACCAATGTAATGGGTAGCCGAGTGGTAGGCGCGGTGAAATCAACAACAATTACTTTTATTCTACTTCTTTCAGGTACACACCTGAAATATAATCGTTAGTGAAAGAAGAAGCGGCAAAATAAATAACTTTCTCTCCGGTGCTCACCTAGAGGCTGAATCCTTATTCTTCGAGTTAGCTTTCATTGCTATCCAATCTAATCTAATCTTCTCTTCATCAAAACAGAAATGCGCAGCCGCTTTTATGCAGCAGACGACGTACGCTTACATACGGAGATACACTAAATATACATCAGGCAAGCTCCGTATTAGTTCCGTACTACTTCCGTATTGGTCGGGCAGGGATACTACATTATCATAGTTGATGATATCCAATATTCTTGTTCTATAGACTATTTAGTACGGGCATTTCATGCATGGGCAAGGCAGGATTTGGACTAGGATAGAGGACAAGAACATAATTGATGAGCATCTGTTCAGGCAGAATCTGTGAAGAAGACATAGTAGGCACAACATCGGAGAGCTAGTTGAGGAGGGAGATAAGGTCATAGCCAGACAGAAATGCTTGAAACGTATGGCGTACGTCGCAAGCGCGAATATCAGCAGGGAGAGAGTTCCATGTGGTACTGCCAACAAAGGCGATAGAGCTACGGCCTGAGGGACCAGGTAGGAACGGCACTCTGAGCAGCTGGCTGACCTGACCACGCGTGACACAACTTCTGTCCACATCCGTGGCAATGAGGGAGTAGTAGGATTGGAACAGTGAGCTGGCTCTGCCATGAAGGCAGCGGAAGACGAAGAGAAGCAGACGTTGCACGTACAGCTGGTGGAGCTGAGGCATTGATAGTCTGGCAAATAGGGGAGCAGTGGGGGTCCTTCTGGGGAGTTGGAAGATGGCTCGTATGCCAGACTTAGCAATGCGTAGCAGTCGATGTAGCAGCAGTTTGGATAGAGCGGGAAAGAAACAGTTTGAGGCATAGCAGAGAACAGACTTGATCATACTCATGTACCAGGCCCGGCGGGCATTGAGTGAAAGGCACCGTCCATGGCGCCAGAGCTGCCCGATTGTAGTAGCAGTCTTGCTGGCAATAAAGTCCATTTGGGGCTTCCAGGACAGTTGGTCATCAAGCATGACACCGAGATACTTCGTGACTGGAGTAACATCAAGCACTGTGGTACCACACTTCACTTCAGATGGTCCATCCAGACACCCACGGGGTCTCACAAACATAACTTGGGTTTTACTGGCATTTAATAGCAGACCAATGTTGTCCAAGTACTCAGCGAGTCGTGTTACAGCGTTAGAGAGAACAGAGCACACTAAATCAGGCTGATAGTCAGAGTAGTCCAGAGCCACATCATCGGCGAATTCCTGGTGCCATACACTACCTGGTAGATCTGACGACATATCACTGGTGTACAGTACAAAAAGAAGAGGGCCCAGAACGCTGCCTTGAGGCACTGCTCGGGAGCATCCAACATATTGCGAAACTGAGTGTTCCACCCGTACACACTGCTGCCGCTCCGAGAGATAACTGAGGAACCATTCCAGTGGTGTGTCACAAATGCCAAGGTCAAACAGCACTTGCACAAGCCTGGCATGCTGGACTCTATCAAATGCCTTCGATAGATCTACCATTACTACCCCGGTGTGTTTTCGTTCCGATTTGGCCAATTTCCAGCGGTTGGAGGCAAGGATAAGAGCATCTTCTGTTGAGTGATTTCTTCGGTATGCGAATTGACTTGAAGGTAACAAGGAGTGATCATCTAGGAAAGTTGTCAGCTGTTTCTTGACAAAGTGTTCCAGTATGCAAGAAACAATAGGCAGTAGCGAGACGGGCCGATAGTTACGAGCTGACAGTGGGTCGCCATTCTTATACAATGGGCTGATAAGAGAATGTTTGAAAGTTGATGGCACTATACCAGACGCAAGAGATAAGTTGACGATCTTCATCAGGTATGGGGAGAGGGTGTCCGACAATACAATACCTGGGATTCCATCACTTCCGGTAGCTTTATGTGGATCCACACATTGCAAACGCTTAGCGACATCATACAACGACACAGGTTGGAAGGCTGTAAGGGCATCAGATTTCGTAGGGCCAACTGGCATCTGTAGGTGCGTAGGTCGACTGGGGTCATGAACAACATCTGCAAAGAAGTCGCCCAGCTGGTCAGCTGATACCTGGGGTACTCGGCGGGTCTTCTTTCGTCCGGTGACAGTGTTCATCACGGACCAAAGTTTCCTCTGATCAGACGTATAGCATTGATCCATAAAGTAAGCATTCTTCAACTGTCTATCTAGCTTTCTGGCCTTGGCACGTGCAGCTCGGTGCTCCTGCTGGAGTGCCTCGTTTGCTCTATCTTGCATTAGACGGCGGTGCAGTCTGTTTCGGTTCCGGACACACTCAACCAGCTCGCGAGTCAGCCAGGGACATGGACGCCGGTCTGCACGGCAGATGTATGGTAAATCCGGCATACTGGGCATGCATATGTGCTTCCATGTACTCAAATCGACGAGAATAATGTGATTTTTAATATCATAATTATTGGATATTCAATAGAATATAGGGGTGCCAGGGCCAGTGGATCGCACTTGCAAGACAGCGAATTTTCACACCTTGCAGTTGACAGCGCCGTGACTGGCAAGTACAGTTTCGCACCTGAATGAACCTGGGTCGCGGTCGCTTACAGCAGATTTGAATGCAGCCACCGTGCGTGAAATCGCGGTCGCGGGTCGCGCACACTGCGGCAGCTGGTCGCTCTGGACAGATCAATTTGTATGTGAAACCGTCGGTGCACAGAAAATCGGTCGCTAACGGTAGATGGCCGCCTACAGCAGAGGTCGCTAACGCCGTAGTAGTAACGGCAGATTTGACTGTACTTGTACATGTATGGCTTTTCCAAATTTCCAACATTCCCTGTACTTTAAAAAAAATGATATTTGGCGAGGAGACAACAATTGTAATAACGCAATAAGGACGACGAGCTGAAGTGACATCGAATTACTTTATTTAAAAAACAATGTAAGCAATGGAGACGATGCGAAAACAATCCAAAGGTAAGGAAAAATAAAAAAAATACTTCCTCCGCGTCATCGAAATTGTCGCAGTTTGACTTTTGATGTAAAATGCGGTATTTACTCACCAGCACTCGTACCAGAGGCAAGGGATCGGACATAGGCGATAGTCATCAGTATAGGGTGACGGCAAAGTTCTATTTTCTGTTATTGGAAGCTGGAATTTTTGAACTAGACGCAATTTCTTCGCTGATGTCGCTGCGCTGGTAATTTCGACTCGCTGAGATCAGTCAGGTGTTGCAGCCTGCACATTTCTCGTGCTTATGGCCATTCACTCAAGCCCCATCACTGCTTTACCTTAGCTGGGGTGAGAATGACTTCGTGGAACAAGTGGCAGCGCTTGGAGAAACATCGAGGGGTCGGCAAACTAAATGCCTGCAACAGCGATAAAATTTGTCGCTCTGGCTGAGACACTCAGTACTACTACTAGTACATGATTGTACCTGCAAGAGCCGTGTAGACTCTACACGTAGTGCTAGTGATGCACGCGCAGGTGCCGTACCATGCTGAAAAAGAGGGCGCGCTGGACGTGATACTACACTTACCTGCATGAGCTGTGGGCATGCCACGGCTAAAAAAAAGTTCATTATTTTCAAGATCGAGGTGATTCCGAGGTGATTCCGCCGACGGTAATCAACCGACCTCGCAACGATCGTGTATTCTTACTAGGCTTCGTTGGTGGTGAAGTAGAAATCATCCAGAGCTAGCAGACGACAAGCATAGCAGCTCTTGTCCTGTGGAGAAAGTCAAAGCGTTTGAGACGAGGCGCGACCAACTTTCAACCTTCCTTGAAATATTTGGGAACGATATTTTTGCGTCCATTGACATCAGCGACGACGAGGACTTCATCTCTGCATGAAAACTCTCAGTCCAATTGTCCTAGAACGTTACTCTAGTCTTCAGACTATGATACTGTGTAATAAGTTTCGAATGGCTTAGTTTATGGAGTTGTCAGTAACAAGTGACAAGTCACTAGTCAAACTGCGACAATTTCGATGACGCGGAGGAAGTATTCTTTTGTACAACGGTGATTCCTGAAGAGTGTTGTACGAAACATTGTTCGAATCATCTTTTTTCCATCGCTTTTTCTTCTTTCATGTATTTTTCCTTACCCTTTAGATTTTTTTCGCATCGTCTCCATCGCTTACATTGTTTAATAAAGTACTTGTAATCCAATGTCACTTCAGCTCCTCCTCCTTATTGTGCCGCGGTTATTAAAATTGTTCTTTAGCATGCATGGACTGCGGAAATGATATTCCTATGGGGGATACTGATGCATTTTGTTGTACTTATGCCAAAAACAGTTATGGAGCCTCGGCTCGAAGTTACGAAAATTGCGTTTTTCGTACTTTCAAGTGGTCATAAGTACAACAAAATGCAGCATAAGCATCCCCCATAGGAATATCATTTCCGTAGTCCATGCATGCTAGAGAACAACTTCGAACAGAGAAACGAGGGAAAGGACAAAACATAAGGGATGTAGGGACGACGTGCCGATGTGCTGGGAGCAACTCAACCGACCAGAGGTCTCGTTGTCAGCGTTGCAACTGGGCATCGAAAAATTGGGGGGGGGGGGGGTAACCGGGGTTACACTAGAACAACTGCAAAACAAACAGAAGCTAGAGAATACCACAAAAAAATACTACTACCGTATTTTTCCGGTTGTAAGTCGACCTTTTACGACTAAAAATAGAAGGAGAAAGGGTGGGGTCGACTTACAACCGGGATTCGACTTATAACCGGGAACTATCAGAATCTTACAAAAAATGACCTGCCCTGCATGCATGAGTGCACCATGTGTACACATGTTTACCAGTTTATTGGCCTTTTTTCAAGGATTGGGACGTTATACCCTCCAATAAGGAATGTTTACATGATTTGTTGATGTGTTAGTAGCAGGGAGTGGTTGGTAGTGCTTCGTTGGGTGAAAACTTTAAAACGCAGAATTGAGACCTCCGGATACGGGGGTCGACCTATAACCGGGGTCGACTTACAACCGGTAAAATACGGTACTTGGTGCGAAATTTAAGAAATCATCAGCATAGCCGAACCAAGGAACACTGTGACGTGCCACAATCTAGAGTTCATCCATACTGAGAAGTCGGTAGCTATCAGCCAGTGTTGGTGCGTAAGGTGCTTATGCAGTTATGCGGGGACATCTTTCTTGAAGGTGTAGAGCCGCTTCAAGCTGAGTGGAGCCCTTACAATTTCGCTTGGCAAGCTGTTCCAAACTGAAATGAGAGAAAACGGGAAGGAGGGAAAAAAACGTTTGATAGATGAAAGGCGTGTCTTCTTTAGGGTCCGGCGGATTCTGCCGGCAGAAAAATTGGCAGAATTCGGTACTTTTTCTGGTAAGTTTCATGCATGTTTGGTATGTGGATAAAGAAATGGAGCAGAATTCGAGGAATTGCCCGCCATACGGTTTATAATTATGGTTCTGCCAATGTCACTGCTTTTCGAGCAGAATCCGCCAGTCCCTATATTCTTCTTGATTCATGGTGTGGATTTTCGTCTCTAGATTTTCTTGAATCATTCAAACTTACTTGGTTTGAGCCTTTTGAGAAATTTCTTCGGGATATACATGATTGTAGCTCAGGCACTGGTTCGCATGTACATGTACATGTACATGACTGGTAGTGGTATAATATAACCCAATACTACTACTAGTTCAGAACTAGTATTAGATAAACCTTGTTATAGTTCACGCATATTGTTAGATTGACAGCATGAAATATGTACCGGTACATGACTGTATTAGAATTCTAGGCCGCGGATTGGATAACTGGCAAACGAAATGTGCGAAGTGAAATAAAAACCAACCAATACAACCAACCAACCAAATTTCACACAACACAATCTGCGCAATGTGCGGCATACCACGCGCGCGTAGGCGCTAGATCTGTGACTGTTTACTGGAAGAGCTAAGTGCATGACCACTGCACTGGCGCGGTACGCGGTCCACACTCGACTCGTGAGCTGAGCGGTCTTGTACTTTTGCACCTAGTACGAAAAAAAGTAAAGAAAAAACGACGATGCGTAAAAAATTGTTTCGTACTGAAAAGCACTGCAAAAGTGCAAGCACTTGAAGCAGTCCATGACTCAACAGACATGACACAGTCAACATGAACCAGAACATGAAACAGCAGTTTGTACGTGGTTCAGCAGAGAAGTAATTAGTTAGGTGTATGCTTTTTGCCTCTGCAGCGCAGAACGTCCAGTAGGAGTGCGATTTCCTTGTCCAATGCTGGTGAATTTGATTATAATATGTGAAGCGCACAATCGTTACCTCCATTATGTCGCGGGACGGGGTTGTTGCCCAGTATGGTGTAGGTCTCAAGAGCAGACAGAACGATACACGCGTTCGAAATGCCCTGCTGCTTCAGCAGTTTGTCAACAATGACCTCCGTGCAATGTCCAATGATGAGGCAAGTGAGCTTCTGGATGAATTGAGCCGCAAGTACATATTCCCGCTTTGTTCGTCATCAGAGATACACGAGAAGAAGGGCGGTGTTCTGGCCATGAGTAAGTGAAGAATAATCACAAAGATTTGACAAAAAAATAATAACACATTTGCCTCAGTGCTCTCTCTCTCTCAGTCTTGTGCCTAATTATCGCATAAACTTACTATTCCTTATCTGGTTCAATCGGTGGACTGTTTCTCGTGACCCGCACCCAATGATGTTCGTGTACCCTCTTTTCTGTAATGATCAAATTGTGCATAATTAATAATAGTACGTACAGCGATGAAAATTTATTTTCATTAGCATAATCCTCATTGGTTTGAGGGAGTTGTCAATAATCAATTATTGGAGAAAAGCTTAAAGTCCATCCACCACTGCATGGAATCATGGCGTGGAAATATTCTTCTGCAGGATTCACCTTGCTATTGGCAGAATGAAGCCCTGGCAAGAGACTGCTGTGAATGCAGAATGAACACGAAAAAATAATGTTTAAATTCGGGGTGTCATTGACCTTGGGTAGTGCTAGCCATGATTTGAGTGGGTAGTCAGGTAGCAGTTTGCACCTGAACTCATCTAAGTACTACCACTACTAGCGATGTCAGAGTGCCGTGCCACGTGACCTCCACGCTTGTCGCTGGATTCCCTAGCAACCAGCTGAAATGATGGCACAAAAAGCCAGTACGGCAGAATGCCAGTCGCGGCTAGTGCGTGCAGTACTTGGCACGCGGGATATTCAAATGTGACCTGAAGACGTCAGTGACAAGCTTGGTCGTGACTATTGCCACGAAAATAGAAGATGAACTTTCGTATCCGCGTTTGTGCGGGCGCGCTGCGCCTACGGAGCTGGGAGTATGGCCGCCGACAAGTTAGCGTATGTTCAGTCGCCTTTTTCATCTCTTGCGCTGCCTGATACAGGTTTGATTTTAGTTCCATCGTGTTCCCCGTCGTCCAATTTAGTTTGCCGCCGAGTTTCACCGGTGTATCACGCCGCGCACCAGACTTGTAGTATTTTTCGCGACAGGTACTCCATTGCTGGATACAACGCCATCATGAGTGTTCGTCCAGCAAAGGGACCGGCTGTGAAGATGTTTTGTTGAGTCTTGGACTCAAGGAGGAGCAGCTATTGCAGGATAAGCCCCTGCCTAGCATGATCGGAAACGTTTCAAATGCATTGGTGTTAGAACTGATGAAGTTCAAAGCGGACCACCACGCACACCAGGATCATAATCTACTTGTCGAACTCTTCTTGTCTTGGAGAATGGCCAAATCACAACTCATACTTCGGCTACTCTTCAACAGTCTTCTTGAATTTCTCCAACAGTTTGCAGCAACAACAAAAAAACAGTACAGCTACGGTATGTACATTTTGTACAGTGCGCAAGATTATTCATGAGCCGCGATCCCTGTTGTCAAGACCGATTTTGTGCCGTGGTGAGATCTGGCTTGTGTACAGTGAGGCATGGTGCTTTTCGACAATGGCGGCGCTTACCCCGCGCACTCTAAACTGGAATAAGTCCACTATATTTGCTCCGATTTGCTTCAAACTTTGCCAGTATACTCTACTTGTCTTCAGGAATCGGATGGTATTACAATATTTGCCCGATTCTCAAAACAGAAATTTACCCTGACATCGCTACCACTACCAGGGTAGTTGCAGGACAATGTGTTTGCAATGGATTGGTACATGTACGAAGAGTACCGAATGTACGTAGTATGGTACATGACTGTACAAGTACATGTACCATGGTGTATGTTGTTGGTTGACAGCATGTTACAAGGTGGAGGACACACCATGTTCGGAAACAGTGTCCCTGACTACAACCATCCACGGTTGGCAGAGTCCCGGTCTTGCGACCTTTTGAACTGTATGGGTGTTAGCCCTGGTTGTTGTTGTTGTTTATTTTACTTCACCAAATGAACAGGCAGAGATGCCTTCTCACCTGCCCATAGGACAGGTTCTCACAGAATTATGAAGGTTCTGACCCTCATTATACTAGGGAGTTGTTTTCCGAACCCAGTGTACATGTGTCCTCCGCCTTGTAACATGCTGTCAACCAAAAACATGTTTTCAACAGAACAAGGCCTACCTAATAAGTATGGTGTATGTACGAAGTGTGGTGCATGTACCAAGTATAGTGTTACCTTTGTTGTGCGATGTACGGTGCATGTACCAAGTATGGTGTGTATACGAAGTATGGTGCCGCATGTACCAAGTAAGGTGTATTATGTATGATGTACATGTATGTACGGAGTACTGCTACCTGATCAGTGTGCACTTTTCTATGTAGAGCAAGTGCACACTCTCACTGTACGAACACACTGTGGTGATCCCGCTCATGCAGTGCCATGTACATGTACTGCCAGTGTACTCGATACAATGTCGCATGTAACGTCACACCTGAGAGCAAAGATCACGAAAACGATTTGTTTGGGTCCTGTGCAGAGTGTGCAGTACGGTCACTCCAGTACAGTACAGTCACTCCATTGCAGTACAGGCCAGCCACGGCTTGCACTGCACGCTCTGCACAGAGTCCACGGCATATGTTCCGTCAACCCGTCCACGGCCTATGTTCCGTCAACACGTCCACGGACGATGTAACTGCACCAGCGCGCAAGCTGATTAGTAACACGATCTCTAACATCACAAAAGAAAACTCCATGCTGTACCTGGGCTCTCTCACAATCATACCTAGGCCACCCGAATGTAGCTTTTGAACTACATTGTGACCTTGAACTTCTGTATGCACTGAATTTGAACTTAGTTTATTAGACTCTTGATGGTGGTCAACGGCCAGTATGTGTTTCTGCTGAGAATGGAGAACAAACAGCAGTGAGCAAACATGAGATGTGCACATGCTCACAAGAAAGCACATAATAGGTCGCTGGAGCCTGGGTTTGGTTGGCAGGCGTCATCCACCTCTGGCAAAATGTTCTCCATCAATGTTCAGTTTCGTCAATTGTAGAGGTCTTCCATGTCGACAACCACATGTCATCACTGTTACTGTATTTTCCGGGGTATAAGCCGCACCGTATAATATAACCCAATACTACTACTAGTTCAGAACTAGTATTAGATAAACCTTGTTATAGTTCACGCATATTGTTAGATTGACAGCATGAAATATGTACCGTATTTTCCGGGGTATAAGCCGCCCCGGGGTATAAGCCGCACCCCCCTTTTTGAGGCAAAATATTGACTAAAAGTTGGTATTCGGAGTATAAGCCGCACCCACAAACCAAGATTTTTCACACTCATTGACAAATGGCCTTTCTACAAATTTATTATGGTTATGGAGCTAAATACCATGTTAGATCAGATTATGAAGTGTTAGTGCACCACAGGTTGCTGCAGAGATGTTGGTGTATTGCTGTGTTGACTAGAGATCACTCCATGTCATCTGCACTATCTTCAGTCTCGCTGCCACTGATGTTGATCAGCAACACAGGCGCGAAGCTGAGTCGAATGACATGTCACATGACGTCAGCATGCATACTGATGTATGCTAAGCATTCATTCGCGCAAGCATATTCGGAGTATAAGCCGCAGGGGCGATTTTGGTCCGATTTTTAGCGAAAAAAAGTGCGGCTTATACCCCGGAAAATACAGTACCTTTTTAATTTGTCTACATAAGGTCTTGCAGAGGACTGACACTGACATACACTTCGTCATGTCTTTTGTACACTCTCTTTTCTCTCTCTCTCTCTCTCTCTCTCTCTCTCTCTCTCTCTCTCTCTCTCTCTCTCTTTCTCTCTATCCTTCCCTTTTCGTGTCTTCCTGTTCATCCCTCGTCCAGTGACGCTTACGTCTACGGGTGATGCCAACCAGGTCAAAATGGGTCGTTTCATGACGTATCTACGACAGATGCTTCCAACACCGTAAGTTGTCACTTCTAGTTAGGTACCTGCTTGCTTGCATCATGTTGCACTGCACGTATCATCTTGGGACACGCTCGCGCGCACACACACGCCCGCACACACACGTGCCCGCACACACACGCGCGCACTCTCTCTCTCTCTCTCCCTTTTCTTCTTTTCTCTTCTCTACTTGATATATATATAGCCAAGACTTATCATGGATGATCGGCAGTTGCTTTCTGTCTTGTGGTTGGTGTTGACGTGGTGCTTTGGTTGCTGATCTCTTATTGGCTGCAGTGATGTCGTCCTAACCGAAATGGTGGCGCGCACCATCGGGCGGCTGGCTCTGACCGGTGGCAGCACCACGGCTGGCTACGTAGACTTCGACATGAACCGAGCCATGGAGTGGCTGGTTGGCGACCGCCATGAGCACAAACGCTATGCGGCCGTGCTCATCCTGCGCGAGCTGGCGCACAACGTGCCCACGTTCTTCTTCCAGAAAGTCCAGCAGTTCTTCGACTGCATCTTCAACGCCGTCCGCGACTCGAAGGTTAGCAAAACGTGCCAGTAAAGTGTGACTGTGTACAGGCTGGTCCGTTGTGTATGAGTGTTTGTCTACATTCGTCATTCACAGGTTTTACAAAATTGGAACAGTTAGGTATGCCATTGCAACACATGTGGAGGAGCAGATCCAAAACCCAGATATTTCACATTTAAAGTGTTTGTTTGCATCAGTTCGGCCAAAAGCAAGCAGGACTATTTTTGGATGAAAGGAATGTACTGTAAAAGCAGGAATTTTCGGTGGTGTTGTATTTTCGGTAACTTCGGTGGGGAAATATGTACCAAAAATAATACGCACCGAAAATTTCGGCATGGTACTAGTACACTTACCTAGAAAACGGGTTTACCGAAAATTTCCGTCCACCAAACCACCGATTTCGGAGAATACCGAAAATATTACACCACCGAAAATTTCTGCTTTTACAGTAGGTGTGTTCCTGTCCACCTAGCATTGTTTCTGTGTATGTACGGTTACTAGATGATTTTGCTTTGCTGGGAACTCGGAGTTGCACAGACGAACCAGTCGATCTCTTCTTCAGATGTGCCTTTACATGTGTGAATGTCATCTTCTATGCTGTTCATGTATTCATCTTAGCTGAGTCTACAGTTCAACTGGTATCATCGTATTTATCTTAGCTGATGCATAGAGAATGCTTTTTTGCATGTGATACCCTGTCCCTAGGCACGGCTAGCCGACATTGTGTGTTGTTTATGTGTGCTTGCCTGCAGAAAAACATCCGGGAGGGTGCTGTGACGGCTCTCCATGCCGGACTAGTTCTGACGGCGCAGCGAGAAACTAAGGAGCGTCATCGCGGCACGGGCGACTATTATCAGGTATGACTGTCCGTGTTATTTGTGTGTGTGTGTGTGTGTGTGTGTGTGTGTGTGCGTGTGTGTGTAGGGGAGGGGTGTGTGTGCGTGCGTGTGTGTGTGTGTAGGGGAGGGGTGTGTGCGTGCTTGCACATGCATCTTCTGACATGCCCAGAATCGTTGCGGGGCTGCTGCACTGATACTGGCCTATTCAGGTCCTTGTTAGCCACTTTTGAGCCGCATCCACTGTCCAGGTAGTTGTAGTAGCGTAAGTAGCGTTGATCCGCCCCCTCTCTGATTCCCGCCCCCTGTCGATTTTCCACCTGTGAAGCGACTTTGTGGCGCATACAACGAAATACGAGGTTGAACCGACGCATGCACTGCTGTACACAAAACGTGCCAACCTACAGTCCATTCAGAAAAAAATGAACTTCTAGCTTTTGGCCATAAATGGGTCAAACGTTGAGTTTTTTTAGAATTTTTTTCTGCAATCCCATAAGGAATCCTCTTCCAATTATGTTTCTGAAGTTTTTTGTCCAAAAAGCAAGCCATAGCAAGAATAGGATTTCGGCCAGGTTTTGCCCCAAAAGCACTGAATTGGGAAAAACCATCAAAATCCAGGCCGTTTGACCCCGCCTGCAACAGTGCATTCTGCGGTTCGAACCCCAGTTCAGGCACCCTTTTTGGACCCTTTTTCAAATTTCAAAGTTCGCAGCATGCATGCAGCACTGCACTGTGTACGATGAAATCACGAAAAATCGCCAAATACGGGAGCTCGCCAGAGCCAGGACCCATCTTTTTATGAATGGACTGTAGGATGAAAATGTGCACACTCCAGCACATCGAGTCTGATCCTCCACTTTGTTGTGCATCGTACTTCACTTGACAGCCTTGATCTAATTCCCGCCCCCTGCCGAAAACCCAGCTGGGAAGCGACATGGCGTGGGGGCGGATTAACGGTACTTTACTGTATAGGCTAGGAACATGGTTAACTGAAATGTGTGCTGTCGAAGACCAGGACATTCACCTGCAATAAATAAAACAGCCTTTCTTTATGGCTTGCTCGTTTTGTCGTCATGGGCAAGTATAGTTGCTTGTTGCGGCGGCCGTGTTTCTTTGCTATAGTGTCTTGTTCCATGTCTCCCTTCGTTTTCTGCAACAGTGTGCATATACTGAGGTGCTCAAAGGCCTTCAGGACAGCTCCTTGAAGTCGGCCAGCAAAGAGAAGGGTGCGCAGCTGACTCGTGAAGACCTTATCCACGGTTCACTGCTGATCCTGATGGAGTTGGTCCGCTGCTCAACCAGCAGCCGTGACGAGGTAAGCAGACCTACAGAGGTCATGGGTCTACATCGTTTTTTGAGGTGTCCATGTGCGTGTGTGTGCGTGTGTGTGCGTGTGTGTATGTGTGTGTGTGTGAGTGTGTCTGCAAAAGCTGTGAGTCAGCTAATGTCCATCCAGTTTGAGATCTCCGGCAAGCTTTGAATTAAAGACACACTAGTGCAATCATGTCATGCCTTCAAACTTGACCATTGATTTCTATTGGATTGCCTGTGTCACTCCTGTAGGTGATCGAGCAGCAGTTGATGAACGAGGCCTTGGGAACAGAGGGGGCACAGCCCGTCACTCCGCCTGCGCCCAGCTGGGAGGACCTACTTCGACCCACGGCGAATTCGTGTGTGGCCAGCTCCATCATTCCACGCATGCGCGTGGACACCAGTGCTGGTGAGTCGATGAAGGCAATCATCGGGAATATTTACTAAGCAACCTGGATAGCCAGGCCGTGGGTCTAAATTCCACGTAGTCGCTGGCAAGGACTGGACTGGACCAATGCAGCCTCTGAGGGAGAATAATATAACACCATGATCAGGGTCACTAGAATACTCTCCATCAGTGAGCAAGCAGACAGATTTAATATAGAAGCAAGAGAATTAAGATTATTGCTACTTCAGCTGTATTTTATAAAGGTGGTTGCTCCTACGTTCGAGATTGCGCTTACTGCTGACTGGCTGACACTTGACTGACTGATTCCGAACTGCTATCTGGAACACACCAGAAGCATGTCTAACCTTCCACTCGGCAAATATACAAGAAACATCATTAGCCTACTCCAGCTCAACTGATGAGGGGTGAACTCTCCGAAAACACTGTGTGCTGAGCAGGCACAGGTGTTTTCTTGTAAGTGTATGAGTTTTCGCCATCGGAGGCCCATATGCAGAGCTGTACACTCCTGGGAGCTTATTTACTCTTGGTAGAATGTGCATGGCTTATCTTGTCGTTGAGCACCTGATTCGTCTCAAATACATTTCCATTACCTTGCTGTGGGACGAAGCAGGCCTCCTCAGGAGTATGGCATTTGCTGCCGAGGAGTGTTGTCGCTATATGCGCTGGTTTGTGCAGGTATCTCGTTGTCTCGCCCGGCCTACATGTAAACCTCTGCTGTGGATATCTACTGGAAAACTGGAAATTTATTTTCGGTAACTTTGATACGGGTAATTTGTACCTAAATTAAATAAAACGCAACCTAAAACTCAGCATTGCCATGCCACACAGTGTGCAAAATTTTGGATCTGGAAAACTGGTTTACCGAAATATTTGCGCTACCTAACTGTCGATGTAGGGAAATACCGAAAGTATTACGCCACCGAAAATTCCCGGTTTTACCGTATGTACACGTAGGAGTGAAGGTGTTGTTTTGCACCCTCTATGCTCAGTGAGTGGGTGCACTGATCTGTTCTTTGCCTGGGTGGTTGCTGTCTTCTGCTGGCTGCAGCTGGACTGCACGCACCAGTGACGTACGCTGGAGGAGGACGCAAGGCTCGCTCCTTGGAGCAGGTGGAGGAAGCAGGTGCGTACGTGAAGAGTTCAACTGTAACTTGTAGCACGTCGTAGTCAATTGTTTGGTGTGCTAGCAGGGTTTCCCTGGTACTAGGTCTCGCTGCACAGTCCTAACGTATCATTGGCTCCGGAATATCAGGCCATGGTAGGCCTTCTTCAGGCGTGGTGCACTTGATACATGCACGCGCACGCCGCTCTGCTGGCTCGTATAAAAATGGAATTAAAATGAAGATGCGGAAAGGGCACAGTGCTCCTTGAAGTGCAACTTCTGACGTTGCTGCGTCTTTGTTATTGTTAGTGTACGGCGAAGTGGTATCCACACGTGCTGTGATTGCGATTCTCTGGTTGTGTTTAGCGGAGCAATTGATGCCCTCGACTGACAGAGCAACACCTCGCTACAGCTCTGTTTGCCGGGCGCTGATGGAGTCAAAGTTTACCGAGGTAAGTCGACTAACCTTCGTCCACACCTCACTCTTGTGTGCCACTAGGGCAGCAGCTTATGGGCACATTTAGAGCTGTGAATGGAAACCGGCTGAGTCTTGCCTCCGATCTGCATTTCACCATTATCGTTAATTGCTAATTCTCTACGTTGAAACTTGTCTTCATTGTTTTGTATTTCCATATGTAGAATTTCGTTTCTGGAGTTTGTTCCCTGTTGACCTGTTTTGCTTTCTGGTACGACACCTTTCGATTTTATGCCTCGCTCTTTTGTGTGTAGACCTGTCAACTGGTGCTGAATCATCGCAACTCTCGCAGCGTAGCAGTGCAGCAGATCATTTACCGTCTCTTGCCGCGCCTGGCATTGCTGAAACCCGACATCTTTGTTGAGAAGTAAGTGGGGAAGCGTGTGATGAGAATTGTTCGCTCATTGCAACACAACTCTGGAACGAGTTCACTTACCACTGGAAACTCCTAAAGTCGGCATGCTTCTACAGTGGATATGGTGGAAGTTTCAACTCCTAGCTTGTCATTGTCCTTTCCTTTCAACTTTTGCTACAGTTTGAATTAGGGGTGAAAGTTGGCATTGAGATCCCGAGTTCGAGTACTCTGATTTTCTCCGATCGAATATTCGAGTATTCGAGTATTCTTGATATCCTAAAAATCGCACACCAACCGCCTCAAAAATCACATGATACAACCCTGATTGAACCGATTGGCAGTTCTTTTCTCGGGTGTATTGGTTGGAGGGTCATTTGGGCTCTCTCTACTCGTGTACAAATGTTCACCACACAGTCTGCACATCAATATCTGCTGACTGCTGCTCTGAAACTGAAGACTTCTGTGGTAAATGTATGTACCATGTATGAGCGAGTACTCTGATTTATTCCGAGTACGATTATATTCGAAAAATCCAAAGGAGTATTCGAATATTCGGTATAATTGTTTCACCCCTAGTTTGAATATGCTTTCACAGATTTCTCCTGTTGTCTAATTTAGAATGTTGTAAAGGTTGTCTTGAGATGCAGATAGTTTCTAAGTGCTGCCAATCCATCTACATCTACTCCATGTTCCAGATTCCTTCCGATGACCATGACCTTTCTACTGGCTGGCCTGAAAAAGGTAAGGTTGGCTCAGGTGTACCTGTGTGCTCTGTGATAGGAACTGAAGCCCAGTCCCGGGCTTCTACACGGGCAGATGTAATAATATGTGTGATGTACACAAATTTGCTGGTTGGGCGCACTGAACTGAACGATACAGTGCACAGCGAATTTTGAATTGTGGCTTTGCTTTGCTAACTATGACTTATCAGCAGGAATCCCACGCAGCTTCTCTGTCCGATGATTTCGTGCCACTTCTAATTGGTCATACAATCGCAACCTGAGCTTCAAATTATGCGGTAGTCGTATTGACTGAAATTGATCCTGGAGAAAGTGCTATTTTGGCTGTATGTGCGAGTTATGGTGTATACTTTTGCACTATCATGATTCCACTTGTATAGCAGTACGCTGTTTCTTTCTTGTGCTGTGGCAGGAGCGTGACAAGGCACAGGCATTCCGTGCCATTGGCATGATGGCGTATGCCGTGGGTACCAAGATCAACACGTACCTTGATCCCATCGTGCAGGCTATCAAGCAGTCATTGCCGACGAAAGAGTCCGGCACTGCCGCCAGCAGGTAAGCCTACGCTCAATCCGCAAACGTTTTTTCTTCTTTTTTTCGGATGGAGAGCCAAGGATAAATTTATAGAAAAGAAAAAGGACCAAGGAACTACAAGTTACGCTATAATGTCCACTGACACCACCAGTTACTAAACAATCAGTTCATGCGGTATCATTGCACGACACTGACCGACGGTACTGACGATCTACACCTAGCTGGCTATCAGCAGATTTTTTTTCATTTTTTTCAAAGACCACTGCCAAACATGAGCTGCAGCTAGGGGAAGCACACACAACATGATTCGTGGCAGTGGTGGTGAGGTTTAGGGAGCTCCATCGACCTGGGATCTCGACTTATGGCCGCCTCGACGCACCACTATTGACCGTTGTCTTGCCTGAAGGGCTGGTAACCGTGGTGATGGAGGATAGAACGATAGTGCTGGTGATATTATCGTTGTTTGTTTTGTGGTGGAGCAGTTATGGCCTGTGCTGGTTTCCTTTCATTACGTTGATATGGCCTGGGAGGTGTGGCTGCGTGCTTGTGTGTGTGTGTGTGTGTGTGCTTGTGTGCTTGTGTGCACGTGCGCGCTAATATGAGCAAATGCATGTTGCTCTGCATTGGCATATGTCCTTGCAGACGTGCCCGTCCAACAGACCCAGCCGTCTTCTCTTGCATCAGCCTGCTGTCGCGGGCAATCGGAGATGCCCTGTATGCGGATATGAAGGTCTCTTTGGAGAACATGCTTGCTGGCAGCTTGACACCACCACTGACGGCATGCCTCCAGACCATGGCCAACAAAATCCCTAACCTGTGCAAGGACATTCAAGGTGAGCGCTTGCCTGTATGCCAGCGTGCGTGTATGTGTGGGTTGGTGGATGGGTACGTGCGTGCGTGTGTAGGTCTGTGGGTGAAGAGGGGGGGGGGGTTAAGTCACACGCGCTCGCGATAAGTCATGCATTTTCTTCTTGAAAATCAGGTGCACGACTTATCGGAGCAACGACTTCTCGAGAGCAACCCGTACTGTATAAGGTCTCTTGGAACACTGTCATGTGGTGATGATTGCAGGTAATTAGATAAATGACACACCCATTTCTGACCAGCTTGGAAGCACTCTTCAAAACTCATGTGACCGCGCTACATCAGCTTCTGTACTATGGGAAGCTGTAGACTTTCCACTACTGCATGCAGGCTTCCTGTAGAGCGTCCAGCAGCGTACTTGATTCAGCAGAGCAGCAATGAGCTTGTCGTGAAATATATTGCTGTGTTGTTTGTTTGTGTTTCCCGTGCAGAGGGCGTCTTGAAAGTCTTGTCGCGCGTCCTCATGAACCAGCCGTTGCGTCATCCTGGCGACCCGCGTGCCATCACCAGTGTTTCTACCCCTCTCCCACGTGAGTAAAGTGCCATCTGCTGTGTTTACGTGATGGGTGTGTGTACGGCGCATGTGCAGGGCACGCACGCTCTTGTGTGTGTGTGGGCGTGCGTGTTTGTGTGCGTGTGTGTACGCGTCTGATCATCCAAGTAGAGACGCGCTCCACCACGTTCAGCTTCGACACGTGGGTGTCATGGCGGGTGTCAATCCGGCAAAAGACCAGACAGACACAGTTCTTTCTCCAACGAAAATGATCAACATAGTATTGCCGGTAATTGTAGTCATCGTAGGGGTCAGTTTGCACCGTCGTTAGCGCTCTCTTCGCTTGTGTGCCTACTATCACTAGTACACTAATGTAGATCTACAACTTTCGAATTTCTTACCTACTGAGACGAGGACGAGGAGGATATCGGTAACATAAACCGCTATCAACCGTCTCCCCGAGTAGAATTTCGGCATTCTCCTCTAATGATGGCACTGGCAGAGAGAACCCAACGCGACCATCACGTATAAAATATGGTAGAGGTCTACACTAGTCCTTTGTACTGCGCGTGTCGGATGTGATCGAGGCGAAGCTCGCTCATCGGCCTCATGGACCCGGGGCCGGGACCTATACGCTTTGCCATGACTTTCGTAGATCTACAGTTGCACGTTACGTTGTCCGTCAGACTTTCAGCGGATTGCCGGAGTCTCGTGCTTGTTCGCTCAAGATTCTTCTATGACTCACAAGTACTGCAGTAGTATAGTAGATTTGCAAGCTAAAATTACGAGCAATGTGCTACAAGAACGAAGTCGATTAGAACGAAGTCGAGTTGAAACGAAACGAAACACAAGTAAAACGCAAAAAGGGCGCCCACCAAAAGTTCGGAACGATACAAAGATTGAAAGCTAAAACTACGAGCAAGGTGCTACAAGAACGAGGTCGAGTTGAAACGAAACGAGACACAAGTAAAACGCAATACAATTAGGAGTACTTACGGTTCTCAGGGTCGTGAGGTCGAGCGAAAAGTCGGGCGTCAATGTTAGGATCGACAGATCACACGCAACAGCCACGGTCACAAAAGTACGAGGATCAATAGGTAACTGTAGATCTACAAGTTCGAATTTCTTACCTACTGAGACGAGGACAAGGAGGATATCGGTAACATAAACCGCTATCAGCCGTCCCCCCGAGTGGAGTTTCGGCATCCTCTTCTAATGTTGGCAGAGAGAACCCAACGCGACCATCACGTATAAAAGATGGTGGAGGTCCACGCTAGTACTTTATACTGCACGTGTCGGATTTGACCGAGGCGAAGCTTTCTCATCGGCCTCATGGACCCGGTCCTGGACCTATACACTTTGCCATGCCATTCGTAGATCTACAGTTGTACGTTACATTGTTCGTCAGACTTTCAGCGGATTGCTGGAGTCTCGTTCTCTTTCGCTCAAGATTCTTCTACGACTCACAAGTACTGCAGTAGTATAGTCATGTATACATAATGTAGATCTACAACTTTCGAATTTCTTACCAGCTGGGACGAGGACGAGGAGGATATCGGTAACATTAACCGCTATCAGCCGTCCCCCCGAGTAGAATTCCAGCATCCTCCTCTAATGATGGCACTGGCAGAGAGAACCCAACGCGACCATCACGTATAAAATATGGTAGAGGTCTACACTAGTCCTTTGTACTGCACGTGTCGGATGTGATCGAGGCGAAGCTCGATCATCGGCCTCATGGACCCGTGGGCCAGGACCAGGACCTATACGCTTTGCCATGACTTTCGTAGATCTACAGTTGCACGTTACGTTGTCCGTCAGACTTTCAGCGGATTGCCGGAGTCTCGTGCTCGTTCGCTCAAGATTCTTCTAGGACTGACAAGTACTGCAGTAGTATAGTAGATTTGCAAGCTAAAATTACGAGCAATGTGCTACAAGAACGAAGTCGATTAGAACGAAGTCGAGTTGAAACGAAACGAAACACAAGTAAAACGCAATACAATTAGGAGTACTTACGGTTCTCAGGGTCGTGAGGTCGAGCGAAAAGTCGGGCGTCAATGTTAGGATCAACAGATCACACGCAACAGCCACGGTCACAAAAGGAAGAGGATCAATAGGTAACTGTAGATCTACAAGTTCGAATTTCTTACCTACTGAGACGAGGACAAGGAGGATATCGGTAACATAAACCGCTATCAGCCGTCCCCCCGAGTGGAGTTTCGGCATTCTCTTCTAATGTTGGCAGAGAGAACCCAACGCGACCATCACGTATAAAAGATGGTGGAGGTCTACACTAGTACTTTATACTGCACGTGTCGGATTTGACCGAGGCGAAGCTTTCTCATCGGCCTCGTGGACCCGGTCCGGGACCTATACACTTTGCCATGCCATTCGTAGATCTACAGTTGCACGTTACATTGTTCGTCAGACTTTCAGCGGATTGCCGGAGTCTCGTGCTTGTTCACTCAAGATTCTTCTATGACTCACAAGTACTGCAGTAGTATAGTTATGTATACATAATGTAGATCTACAACTTTCGAATTTCTTACCAGCTGGGACGAGGACGAGGAGGATATCGGTAACATTAACCGCTATCAGCCGTCCCCCCGAGTAGAATTCCAGCATCCTCCTCTAATGATGGCACTGGCAGAGAGAACCCAACGCGACCATCACGTATAAAATATGGTAGAGGTCTACACTAGTCCTTTGTACTGCACGTGTCGGATGTGATCGAGGCGAAGCTCGATCATCGGCCTCATGGACCCGTGGGCCAGGACCAGGACCTATACGCTTTGCCATGACTTTCGTAGATCTACAGTTGCACGTTACGTTGTCCGTCAGACTTTCAGCGGATTGCCGGAGTCTCGTGCTCGTTCGCTCAAGATTCTTCTAGGACTGACAAGTACTGCAGTAGTATAGTAGATTTGCAAGCTAAAATTACGAGCAATGTGCTACAAGAACGAAGTCGATTAGAACGAAGTCGAGTTGAAACGAAACGAAACACAAGTAAAACGCAATACAATTAGGAGTACTTACGGTTCTCAGGGTCGTGAGGTCGAGCGAAAAGTCGGGCGTCAATGTTAGGATCAACAGATCACACGCAACAGCCACGGTCACAAAAGGAAGAGGATCAATAGGTAACTGTAGATCTACAAGTTCGAATTTCTTACCTACTGAGACGAGGACAAGGAGGATATCGGTAACATAAACCGCTATCAGCCGTCCCCCCGAGTGGAGTTTCGGCATTCTCTTCTAATGTTGGCAGAGAGAACCCAACGCGACCATCACGTATAAAAGATGGTGGAGGTCTACACTAGTACTTTATACTGCACGTGTCGGATTTGACCGAGGCGAAGCTTTCTCATCGGCCTCGTGGACCCGGTCCGGGACCTATACACTTTGCCATGCCATTCGTAGATCTACAGTTGCACGTTACATTGTTCGTCAGACTTTCAGCGGATTGCCGGAGTCTCGTGCTTGTTCACTCAAGATTCTTCTATGACTCACAAGTACTGCAGTAGTATAGTTATGTATACATAATGTAGATCTACAACTTTCGAATTTCTCACCAGCTGGGACGAGGACGAGGAGGATATCGGTAACATTACCCGCTATCAGCCGTCCCCCCGAGTAGAATTCCAGCATCCTCCTCTAATGATGGCACTGGCAGAGAGAACCCAACGCGACCATCACGTATAAAATATGGTAGAGGTCTACACTAGTCCTTTGTACTGCACGTGTCGGATGTGATCGAGGCGAAGCTCGATCATCGGCCTCGTGGACCCGTGGGCCAGGACCAGGACCTATACGCTTTGCCATGACTTTCGTAGATCTACAGTTGCACTTTACGTTGTCCGTCAGACTTTCAGCGGATTGCCGGAGTCTCGTGCTCGTTCGCTCAAGATTCTTCTAGGACTGACAAGTACTGCAGTAGTATAGTAGATTTGCAAGCTAAAATTACGAGCAATGTGCTACAAGAACGAAGTCGATTAGAACGAAGTCGTGTTGAAACGAAACGAGACACAAGTAAAACGCAAAAAGGGCGCCCGCCAAAAATTCGGAACGATACAAAGATTGAAAGCTAAAATTACGAGCAAGGTGCTACAAGAACGAGGTCGAGTTGAAACGAAACGAGACACAAGTAAAACGCAATACAATTAGGGGTGCTTACGGTTCTCAGGGTCGTGAGGTCGAGCGAAAAGTCGGGCGTCAATGTTAGGATCGACAGATCACACGCAACAGCCACGGTCACAAAAGGACGAGGATCAATAGGTAACTGTAGATCTACAAGTTCGAATTTCTTACCTACTGAGACGAGGACAAGGAGGATATCGGTAACATAAACCGCTATCAGCCGTCCCCCCGAGTGGAGTTTCGGCATCCTCTTCTAATGATGGCACTGGCAGAGAGAACCCAACGTGACTAATAGGAAAACGTTTGGCCCATCTGGTGATGAAGTCCAGACGCATTCAGCAAACAATCATCGGAGTGGCCTTCACTATGTAGACCTACCACCAGTGTCGGACCGGCGGAGTACTGCAGTCAACTGAGCGCTCACCGGGACTATAGTCAGTTTCAAAAAGATTAGCAATCCTGGCGATCGCCCGGGGAGTTTGCCGTCTTACCGTATGAGCGCTCGAGGGCTGCCTGGAAAAACTCACTGTGAACTCGAAGAAATATTCCGCGCGAAAGCATGAAAAATGACAACTCACTGACGTCGGTACTCGTACATGACTTTGTGTTCGTCTGGTTTACAACAAACGAGTTCTTCCTCGTCTGTCGTATCGATATGGAGTCAGAGAGGACATGTCGAAAGTCTGGTGAATTTTGACGAGCGGGATGCGTCCGCTTTGTGACCAAATAGATTCTTTGAGCTGCCGTTGATGCAATTTACTCTCACGATGTGACGAAAACGGCATTGACACAGACTCATTCCCAAGGCCTTGATGTGGCAAAGCTATTCGTGTGACTTCGACGACATTTTGAGAAAAGCAGACGCCTGTGAAAGCTGATAGAAGACGGCGTTGACTCCTAAATTCAAATAAATTGGCGATCTTGAAATACTAAAATAATTCTCAAACAGAAATCGATCGATCGATGTGCCGGTGTATTCAACAACACGTAGCTACAGCGGATGAGCGCAGTGACTTCCGTGTTCACTCACACAGTTTCAGTGTTGTGTGTGTTCACAACTTCACATGGCGTGAGCCAGTCAAGTGTCAGTCAGTTCGGCAGGAAACGCGAGCTCCAACAAGTCGTTTGGCGCAGCCACCTTCTTTGTCTTGACTCTTGTACAAAAATTGTACCAGCGTGATCACCAAAACAATGAAAAAATGAAGAAAAAATGTTTGACTTGAAGATTTGCTGGGATTTGAACTCACAACTTCTTGGTCAGCAGACAGCATTCATAACCACAAGGCCAAAAAGGAAGGGATAAATCGTGGGTTTTGATAACAAATCGATACTGGCTTCCAGGGCAAATTATGAACCATGGGAAAAGGCAAGAAACCTGGCCGAAATTCTAACTCCTTAACGGTTGGTCCAATTGTTCCGAAACCTTCACAGAACAATTTGCCATGCCCTAACAAGCCATTTTATGTACTTTGTTGTCCAAATTTCCCCTATCTTCATACTTTTTAAGACCCAAACTTGATTGCTAATCTTTTTGAAACAGACTGTAGTTAGACGACCACGGTGTCAGCCAAACAGACTTGACCCCACACAAGGACCGTGTTTACTGCGTGTACATGCAGGGACGAAGCTCGCTGATCGTCCTCATAAACCCGGGTCCCGGACTTCAGGATTGCACTTTGGGTTGCGTGCCGTTGCCAGTCAGACTGTCTGTGTCCCAGTGTGGATTGCCAGGGGCTGGTGTGGGTTCGCGCAGGCTCCATAGCGAGCTAACTCATCCTGCAAAAGCTCGACTAGAGAATACTTGATGTCGGAGAGAAAGGAAAGAACATCTATGGGGCTGCTCTGAGGTCGTTAAACGAAAAATGAGGGGTCAGACATTGTGGACGCTACTTGCGAGAAGACAATATTCTTCCTCAGTCCAGGGTTAATTGTACAGTTGCAGTCCAGGGTTAATTGTACAGTTGCGCTCGGTGAAATTCGACCCAGAGTGCACTTTTGGAGCCCTCAATTTGCACGGCCCTTGACGCCCTGAAAGTGGCACGAATGTGGCTGGACGTACGTATGTACAATTACAATGATGTACCGTAATGTCGCGTGCATTAGCCGGGGCTTATATGCCTATAAGCCGGTGATGGAGTCAGGCTTGTACACAAGACAGGCTTATACACGAGACAGGCTTATATGACAAGCACCACTCAATGACCAGGCTTGTATGCGCAAACTGCTGACTTTTGGACGTCAAAACCAACATTTTCCAACGGGATTTTTTTTCTTTTTTTTCGCAAGTGTACGGTACCATGCAAACATGAACATGTAAAAGGCGCGCTCACCAGTCTTGCGTAGTAGCCCGGCTTACGCACGCGACACGTGGCGCGTCTCGTGTACTGGCCCGGCTTATGCATGCGACAGGCTTGTACGCGAAAAGCTGTTGCAGATTTCATGCTTCTACACGAGACAGGCTTATGCACAAATCCGGCTTATGCACGCGACATTACGGTAATCAGAACTGGCACTGGGCGCCAGTTTTGCACTTTGGGTCGGATTTTACCGAGCACAATTCTAGAGGAACAGTCATGCACCACATGACATGTATAGTTGTAGCATAACAATAAAGCTGGACATCTTCTTGTCCTAACGTAAGGTGGACCCTCCTCAATGTGTATGGCAAAACAAACGAAAGCATTTGAGAATTTTGAAACTCCACTGTAGGCCTGCGATCTTTTCAATTCACATCCAACAGCAACACCCAAACGGTCCTTGGCTACAGTAGATTTGTTTTCTTTATTATACTTGGCAAAGTCAAACGGGATCATTGCCCAATAATAATATGATAGCGACGGGTTGGGGTGGGGTGAGGGGTTGACAGTAGATTTGTACAAGTCAAAGGCAGCACTGCTAACTTCAGCGACAGCTACGTCAGCGGATATGCTGACTAAACTACCAAACTGGAAAGGCAAAGAAAAGAATATCACAAGCACTGCTGAGTCCACAGGTGCAGAGCAGATCCGCATGCCTAGTGTACTACAACAGTACATGGGTGTTGAACATTACTGCTTGATGTAGTGCACAGTTGATCTTATAATTATAGCTGAGCCAGCTTTAAGTTCATAGGAGTACTCCTTGATGAAGAAACAGGGGCGAACATTTGGAGACTAATTTATTGCAATGGGTCGCATGCATCAATTTCCCGCCATTAGGTTTTGCGGGGCAAGTCCCTACACAACCGTACACACCTTGATACCAACTCTGCGTAAAAGGTCATGAACATTGTGAGGCCATATTCATAAATGCACTAGAACGGATTGTACCTGCCAAGTATGGGGTAACTTGCCCCGCAAAAAGGTGACGGCCATCTTAGATGCATACCTCCCATTGCAGTGAAAGACGGCTGCAGTGGAGCCTCCGAGTACTGAAGACAGCACAGAGATTGCAAAAGAATGAAATGATGGTTTTTGTTTTTGAGCTCTTGTTCCGTCGAACACTTGACCGAATTTCTCACGAATTCCGTCACTCCCGGCTAGCAGGCAAATCTTACGAATTATTTCCGTTGTGTGCCATCTCTCTACTGGAGAGTTTGGGGGGGGGGGGGGGGGGGTGCACGCGAGATTTAGCTTGACATCAAAACAAAAAAAGAAACTTCACACGCAAACATCGAACGTTCGCAGCATTGAATGCCAAAGTTAAAGCGTCAAACGAGACACGCTTTGTTATTTCGACAGATTATCACGCAGTCAAATCTGTTTGTGTGTGCCTTTCCCAGCATGGACAACGTAGTAGGAGAGCCCTCGCCTCAGGATTCCGCCCCTCTCGGCAATGAATTCATCCTGTGCGTGTTCGTTTGTTTGGTGTTCTTGCCTCTTTGACGTGTCTGTATTCGCAGCGGTGGAGCCTGACACAGGCACGATAATGCTGGCCGTGAAAACCCTCGGAGAGTTCGATTTCACTGGTTAGTTATCTAGTCAGGCATTGTGTATGTGCACGTGTGTGTGTGTGTGTGTGTGTGTGTGTGTGTGTGTGTGTGTGTGTGTGTGTGTGTGTGTGTGTGTGTGTGTGGTTATGGGTGTGCACGTGGGTTCGTGCGTCTTAAAAGTAACTATGCATACATATGTTCTTGACTTGTTTATCGTATAAACCGAGTTGACACCAAAGCAAGATGGTCAACCAGAATCCAGATGTGAAGATACTCAGCCCAGTTCTTGTTGTGACCAGCGTTTTCAGATGTACGTGCAAGTGCATTGTAGGTTCATCATGTTGCATGCTGCAATGTAGTGTAGATGCTGGCATGCCGATCCACTACCCGGAATGTAGACGTGGCATAGATCTAGGCAGGCCTGTGGTAGGTTCAGTGATGTGGTGATGTGGAACACTTTATGCCTCAATGTAAGGTTGAAATTTTTGAGATATAAGGGGATAAGTTTCTATCTCTGGCTGTTGTGTGTGTGCGTGCCCGCATGTGTGTGTGTGTGTGTGCCTGTGTATAGCTCTGCTGTACCCTGGCTCTGGTCACCCCCTGACGGCGTTTGTGCAGCACTGTGCAAACAGCTACCTCAACCATGAGAACGCGGCCGTGCGTAAGGAAGCAGTTAGGACCTGTGCTAATCTTCTCGTACCTATACGACCGGTGAGTTTGGGCGACTCGGGACTTTGCGCGGTATGTGTTTCAAGAGTTTCCCCACCGCTTTAGGAGCTGCATCTGCGCCTTGATCCTTGGCGATGGTGGCGTTCCTACAGATGCGGAAAACTCTGCCTCCAGCGGACCGAGAATTGTTTTCGAGAGTTTAGAATCCGTGCTGCGCTCGCCCGGGGCCTGATACTCATAATCACAGTTTGGTTTTGTCTGGTTACAAGGCAAGTGCCAAGTGCACTACTAGCTGATCCTCCTCTGTTGTAGCCCTTCGCCTGTTGTACCAATGTGTTTGTTTCGAGAGTTTAGAACCTGTGCTGCGCTCGCCCAGGGTATGGTATTCATAATCGCCGTTAGATTTTGTCTGTTTACAAGACAAGTGCCAATTTCAGTTCTAGTAGATGACCGACGGAATCGTCCTCTGTTATAGCTCTTCGCCTTTGGTGCCAATGTGGCACATGAATACCAGGCTGCAGCGTTCAGCGGAGTAGCACGATTGACTTGGTTGCATGCTAGCTTTGCCCTTTTAAGAGCGGAGAAACAACAGAGAGGATTGCTGCTAGTCAAGCAAGTACAATATACATCACAATTTTGACTGGACGAGCGGGCCAGACACCCAGGAATCCCGAGCATGCTTGCGAATGCGTCAATGAGGCATCGTTGCGACGCACTCGTTTCGGAATTCACCGAATGTCACTAACGTCTACTTGTTTGTACCCTGGTGTGGTCTCGTTTCTACTGCTCTGTTTCAGATCCAATACCCTGGCGCGTCTTTTCACAGCATGCAGGTCAGCGTCACTTCAACGCAGCACATATGTGACGTTCTCAAGAAGCTGCTCAATGTCGGTGTGACTGATCCAGGTACGTGGGTTTGCTGCTCCTTAGCCGCTTGTTGCATTCCCTTTGCCTTGTGGCTGTGGCTTGTCTTTGCTTGCTGAGCGAGATGAACGCATTCCTGGTTGTGAGCAAGCGAGGTAGTCGACTGTGCACATGTGGTCTCTTTCCTTTCTACTCTTCTCTCTTATGAACTCAATATATGACGAGATATTTAACCTGTGTGCTTGTCTTTGCCTGCGGAGCGAGATGGGTGCCTTCCGTGCTTGAACTAGGGTTGTGAGCAAGTGAGATACTCAACTGTGCTCATCTGGTCTTCTACTCTCCTCTCTTATGAACTCAATATTATGACGAGATATTTGTCTCGTTGGTTTGTGGGGAAAGATGCAAACGGGAAAAATCTGAAGAAAAAATTGACTGTCACCACCAGGACTCGAACCAGGGGCCTTCACTTGGGGCCAGCGATTCTCTAACCACTGAGCTATGGTGATATTATTTGACTTGTGTGTGTTAATACTCTTCGGTGTGTGTTCACAGAGGCGGACGTACGGCGCTGCGTCTTTGCCAACCTTCACGAGCGGTTTGACACGTACCTGGCACAAGCGGAGAACCTGCGAGCGCTGTTCGCCGCGCTCAACGAGACTGAGTTTGAGGTGCGCGAGCTGGCTATCCAGATCACTGGCCGCCTGTGCACCATCAATCCGGCATTCATCATGCCCGTGCTGCGCAAGTGCTTGATCAATGTGAGTAGTGTTGCCATACTAGTGCTGTGTGGGGGGGGGGGGGGGGGGGGGGGGGGAGGGCATGTCTGGTGTGCAAATGCTTGATCAATGTGAGTGGAGCTGCATCTGATAGCTTGATCCTGGAATTTGGTGGTGTTCCTAAGCATGTGGAAACGTCAGTCTGGCTGATCGTTACGCAAGCCATGGCAATTTATTTTAGTTTTGAAGTCTGCGTAAATAGTGACTTTACCGGTGTATGTGTTTGTTTTGTTTGCGTGCTTGTGTGTGCATGTGTGTGTGTGTGTGTGCGTGTGTGTGTGTGTGTGCGCGCGCGCTCATGCTTCTGTGCACTCTGCTGTGTCCAGGTGCTGACCGAGCTGCAATACAGCGGCATTGCTCGGAGCAAGGAGCAGGCGGCGCGCCTCATCTGCCACCTGATCACGTACGCGCCGAAGCTGACCAAGCCCTACATGGGGCCAGTCATGCTGGTAAGGATTGTACAGCTACAGCTCTGTGTAACCAGCTGTACATCATTCATACACTATTACAGCTTGCATGTGCACTCTCACCTGTGCCTACAACCAAGCATATACAGTTGTGGCAAGTGAAATCCGACACTTGGCATAAGGGACTGCACCGTGCATCCTGCAGCCTCTGCAGCCCTGCATACGTACAGTACATGTGTTGCATACAACTTTATCTGTCTGATGACAGAATTCGTACTCATCACAGTCAAGGTTCAAAAGGTGCTGGCAAAAATGAATGGGAATTGGATACCAATACTCCTTATGTGTACCATGTTTGTGAACTGTGTGTATCTACGCTGTGACCTTTCGACCTGTTTGGGATGCATACGGCTCTATAGTACAAATTAGGTGCAGTGCATTACATCATTGATGTCCATTTGAGGCGCTGTCCCCTATGGCAAGTGTCGGATTTCACTTGCCACAACTGTAGTTATACTATAAAACCTGTTAAGGCCACCACCTGCCTCAGAAGACCACTACAACTAGGACCCATGCATGCTATTCCCTGTCCAATGACCCTGGATAAGAAGGCCACCTGCACATTGGGACCACGTGTGTAAGGTCGCTTGAGCGGTCGGCTTGGGCAGTTTCACTGTATGTTCTATACTATGTGTGTGCTTTTAGGGAGTTGGAGGGGTTGGGAAAAGATACGTTTTGTACGCCTGCGCCAATCACACTCAAGTAATGGTTGAAAACAGGCACACGACAACACACGTCACATGACGAAAATTGTGAAAACATTTTTTTGGATTGTCGGATCCGTGTAAACGGCCGAAAACGAAACAAATGTGACGGAAAACGAGGCCGGCACACCGTTTCGACTGTTTACACACCCAAATTTATCCGGCAGAACATTTCCGTTTTCAAATTCTTCCACCTTGGCCAGCGTTTTGGTTTTCTTCCGTTTTGGTGCACGACTTCTACGTTTTGCTCCGCGTACCGTGTAAATGAACCATGGATCCGAAAGGATTTCGTTGCGTTTTCGCCCCCAGCGTTGTCGTGTAAACGCAGCCTTAAACTCTCTCTACTGTAGGGAGTATGAAATGCCCGCCGGATTCCCGCCGTTGATTAGCTCCAGTGATGATAGTACAGTGGTCCCTTTGTAACCCGGCGCCATTTGTGCTCCGTGCTCCGGGAATTCTGCTGAATTAGGGAGGGCGCTGGATTCATCTGATTTACTGCTGCAATGTGCATGAAGAGGACATTTGGGTTACTGACAATTTTTCCTGATTTCATTGCGTGCACTCTCTTCCAGACTCTCATGCCGCTGTTGAAGAGCGCGGAGACGAGCTCATCGCTTGTCATGCAGCTACTGGTGGCTGTCGGTCAGCAAGCTCAGGTAAGCTAACCAGACTACCACCGCAGCTTGCATGCTCTACAGGCTACACGGCTCCAACTTTTCGGCACGTTTACGTTTCAGCCTCCCATGGCTAAAACACATTTCGGCCGCATTTATATTTTCAGCCTGTACTGCTTGTATACACTGTCACACTGCATCTTGTAAAACAAAAACCTATGAATATTCTAGAACACTGTGAAGTATTTTAAGGTGGCTCACGCCTATTTCAAAAAAATTAACGATTGCTCTGAAAATTTGGTGGGCGGTTGCTCTTAGGTAGTGTATGCAAATGGCGAGTTAAAAAAACGGGGTCTCAATGCTAACTTTTGAGATATAGGCGATGACAATTTCACTAAATTGTCAAATTTGTACAGGATTTGTGATGTATAGCGGACGGGTATTTCATCAAGAACCTGATTTACAATCTTCCTCATTTTTTGGTTATTGAATGGACTAACTGTGTACATGCCAATGAGAAAACAAAAAACATATGCTTCAATGCTCAATTTCGCCATATAGGCGCAGAATGCCTTTTTGATAAGTTTGCTTTGCTACATGTACATGCACACCTACATATCCCATGTACATGTCCATATACTTCGAAGTACATCTACCCTTCTCTACTAGCCCACCCAACCCTGCAATACACATTGACACACGTGTGCACACACATACCACACACAAACACACACACACGCATACATGCAAACACACACACGCATACATGCAAACACACACACACACACACCTGTCCTGTCGAGCCACTACCACTAGGGTCACATGGGCCCCGGAGGGGCAGCAGAGAGAGAGAAAGAGCACGCCACCCGGTGGCGCTCCAGACACACACACGCACACACACACACACACCTTTGAACCTTTGGAAAGCCTATCGCCGAAGGCGATGATAGCTATTAGGCGAGGCAGAACACACACCCACACACACACACACACACATACACACACACACACACACACACACACACACACACACACACACACACACACACTACTACTACTGCTACTGTAGCATGGTTGCCCAAGGGCCACACCATTCCGAAAGAAGCCGGAGTCATTGTCAGGAGCAGAAACGGAGATGACGACTCAGGTCACTCTGTCGACGGAACTGACGGCTGCAGCGAGAACAGCGGACACAATATGACGCTCTGTCAGACTTGGTTGCCCGATAGCCACGGTCGCACATGTGACGTCTGAAACCAGGCACTGACTTGAATTGCCGATTGCATGTCAAACACAAGAGAGAAGCATGGACGCTGAGCGGAATAGATGATGCCGGCGCGGACACTTTCGATGGTTCCAGGGGCAAACAATGATGCACACGCAGGCCACCACGAGAGTGAAACCACCTTCTGCATGTACCACACTGCACAGCACCACGCTGATCCTGGATGGGGAGACTTTGCTCTGCGCCACATTTGTGCCTTGTTTGTCACCTGGCTGGCGAAACGACCGATGGCAGATAAGACAGTCCACCCGCCAGGCAGGCCTATCCTGAGCAACCTCATACCAGGCCAGACAGACACACACACACACACCCACCACACACACGCACAAACGTGCATGTAAACAGTGACTAAACACACACACACACACACACACACACACACACACACACACACACACACACACACACACAAGGCACACACACATGATCGCACGCCTGCAGACCATCGCTCCAATGAAGATAAGATTACTACTTCTTTTCGTAAATATGTTTGAGATAGAGTGTCACTCTTAGATGTGACTGATGCCATCAACCAATGTCAAGGAAAAAAATTCACGGTTCGCGTCAGACTCGGCTAGACGCCGAGTTTTCCGCATCCGTAGGAACGCCATCATCCTTCAAGGATCAAGGCGCAGATGCAAGGAAAGAATGTGTTCAATCTTCTTCTGCACACGTAGAAATAGGTTTGGGCATTTTCGATGATTTAGAATGTACGTCGCGTGAATATGACAATGTGACAGAGGCAGCCACAATTTACTGATTACTTTGCATTGATCTAGCTGTATACACTGCAAGTGCACTGTAAATATTGTGTTACATGCACGTAGTTGTGAAGGGAGACAGTATACATGTACATTCACCAATGACACACCTGTCAGACAGCAGGTTAGGGCTAGTCAAAGTTATGAAGGCACAATATACGATACGAAGGCAGAATTTTGCGATGTACTTGAGTTTGTGAATATATAGTGGACTTTGTGTTCACACACACTCTACCAAATTGCCATGCACACCCTTGTAACACACACACACACACTTGAGCCTGGGGAGCATGATTGCTGTCAGCCAGTGTTGCTTTCAAATGCTTATTCTCGTCAGGAGTGATGTGAAACACATACTGGTAAATATCAATCTCTAAAAAATGCATCCTAAATAAAACGCTCAAGCACTGAGTCTAGTCAGAGTGATAAGACAATAAATTGAAGGAATTTCTCAACAAAAACTCAGTGTACCGCTGTGATCAAGCCGTGGCAATAACTATAGTAGTTCTTGGTGGACAGCGATTACCATAAAGAAATGGTGAGATACTACAGTAGTACCCTCTACTGACACAATGCAACCACGTCGTTGTCCAGTACATGTTCGAATCAAAAATACTTTCGTACATTCGTGACCATTTCAATTTATATTCAAGGGCGACCTCCACAATCCACTGGCTTCAGAGTCGATTGATCAGTATAGAACGGCCATTCTTGACAAAATAGACAAATTTTGCGAAGGATGGCGTTCTACTGTGGAAGGGACTCGCCAAGTCACTTGAACCAATTCAACGAAAATACAAAATACTCAGGTTTTACACATTCACGTACCCGTCTGTGCCGTCCCCCATTCCTTCCAAGACATCCACATAGACTCCAACGCTTTTATTCTACTCTTTTTCCGAAGCCGACCATGGGCATGGGCAGTGCCTGCTGGAAGGGACATCCCAACACTTCTCTGACAGGTGACAATTATTTCCACAAGTAAAAAATGCACCTCAAAAAACGTAGCCAAGTGAAGGAGTGAAAAAAGAAGAAGAAAAAAGCTCACACTCTAGACTCGAGTACGAGAGTTTCGTACTCACTAACTCAGGCCATCTGCTCGAGCTGGACCCTTCGAAACTGGAGTACAAGCTCGCTACGCCAACTCCGCATGCACTTTTCTCGAACGTAGGATGCGCGAGAACCTGCGCAGAAGACGAGTTTAGAAATAGGCGCGAGCCACCTTAAAGCGTGTCGTGTTTGTTGTGGACATGCTCTTTGCTGCGTGTGGTACGTGCTGTGTTCTTGTCGCCAACTGTAGGTGTGCGGCCCTGATATGCTGGGCCATGTTCCGGAGCTCTGCCCGCTCATCATAGACATGCTGCAGGACTCTGCGTCGACCAGCAAGCGAGAGGTAAACATTAACATTCCCTCTTGTGTCTTTGCTCTCCCACCGTGCAGTGGTGGTACACGCCTTTTAGGTCAAGCACAGTCAAGTCAGTTATTTTATCTTTGTGTACAATGATTCTCTCTCCAACACCTTCACAACCGATGTCTTCCACTGCAATTGAAATGGAACTGTTCTCCAATTTTTCGCCCTTCGTGCTTCATCAGGAAGTAGTATAATGATGTCAAAAGCTGACTCAGCTTTGTGTACAGTGTTTGAGGAGACATTCTAAGGTCTGCTGCAGGGTGACGTCATTGTTCCAAGATATCGGCTAGCTGGGCTGTTGAAGTACTGCCCTTCTGGTCTGTTACATGTTAATGTGTGAGAGGGTTGTTATGTTGCAATCGTCTATAGCTCTGCCAATTATTATCGTAGCCACCCCCATTGTTCTCTTAGTTTATTGCTGCAGGTTGCACTGCCCTTCTGGTCTGTTGCAACTGTCTATAGCTCTGTCAATGGTTACCTTAGCCAACCGCACTGGTCTCCTAGCTTGGTGCTGGCGTGCAGGTCGAGCTATGCATGAGTGCGCGATACTTTCACTCAGCTGTGTGTGTTGGGAAGGGGGAGAGCTGCGGTACTGTTTTACTACTACATGTATTTCATTGTCCAGATTGTTCGTGTTTTCTTTTGCTGTGTGCCCAATGTGTAGGTTGCACTGTGGACGCTAGGCCAGCTACTAAGCAGTACTGGGTATGTAATGCCTGACTCTCTGTATTGGAATAGGGAAATAGGGTTTAAACTCGGGTGGAGAGCCAAGGTTTAATTTATAAGAAGAAATGAGGACCAAGGAACTACACGTTACGCTATAGTTAGTGTGGTAGTGCTAGTGGACATTATAGCATAACTTGTAGTTCCTTGGTCCTCATTTCTTCTTAGAATAGGGTTTGTTTGGCTAATGCTGCACGTGACGTGTGTGTCATGCTGATGCTAAGTGTGAGTGTGGTCTCCGTCTCCCCTAGGCTCAAACAGCTGTGACGTTTGATCTACAGTTGTGCTCGGTGAAATCCGACCTAAAGTGCACATTTGGCGCCCTCAACTTTCACGGGCCCTGGCGCCCTGGAAGCGGTACGAATGCGGCTGGACGTACACATGTACCAGTATAGTGATGCTATCGGAACTGGTCCAGGGCGTCAGTTTTGCACTTCGGGTCGGATTTCAGTTCACTGTTGTAGGCTCACGCCACACAGTGCCGTGTTCACGCTGTATGTAGGCAGGGCTCGTTCCATGGAGCATGTGAGAACAGACACTGCCAGTAACAGATCCAGGTAGCGCATCAACGCCCTCCTTTGTACGTCTGGCCTTCCTCTTTCACTTTCTGCCGCGTTTTCAAGTACATGTACATATGCATTTCTAAATGCTTGGCCTGTTTACCCGAAGGGTTGATCAGTGTTGTTTTCTTTCAAGCACGTGTGTGTGTGTGTGTGTGTGTGTGTGTGTGTGTGTGTGTGTGTGTGTGTGTGTGTGTGTGTGTGTGTGTGTGTGTGTGTGTGTGTGTGTGTGCATCTCATTGTGTTGTAGTCAAATTGAACAGGCGTACTTCAAGCACCGTAACCTGCTAGAAGTGCTGCTCAACATCCTCAAAATGGAGCACCTCCCTTCAATACGTCGTGAGGTATGCCGTCATCACTGGCTCCCATGCATCTCCACCCTGCATATTCGCCCATGCACACACGTGTACACACTCACACCACACGCACGCGCACACACGCGCGCGCATGCGCGCACGCACGCACACGCTTCAGCATACATTCATGTGTTTGGGGCTTTTAGGGATGAGCGCTTGCTGCATGGACACGAAAATTCTTTTCTTTCCAAGTAGCATGACATGGTTACTTGCTGCATGTTCTGAGTTCCAGGCAATTCCTAGTTACGAGCAGTGCTCAGTCCCAACCTGCCCGGATAAGGGGACTTTTACAATACTGTGTTTTCTCCGTACATTTCTCTTACAGGCAATGCGTGTGCTTGGCCTACTGGGTGCACTGGACCCGTACAAGTACAAGACACTTACCGACGAGACGGACAGCAAGAGCGAGCTAGGCAGCAGTCAGGAATTGACCACAACCGAACAAGGTACTACGTGCTGTCATCTCAAGCTCGGAGGTGTTTGTGTATAGTGGTGATGTGCGTACGACATACAATCATCGGATTTATTTGTTCACGTTTCGTCCAGTATTTGGCAGGGAGTCGTATGAACCTGATAGAGGACGCGACGTGAAAAATTCGGGTGATGTGTTCCTCACCAACCGTTGGGGAAGCCGCGGAGAATGCTCTTCCTCAAGGAAGCAGTTGAGCTGGTGCTTTGAGCAAACTATCTAACAGTATGGCTATGCCAACAAAGTCATCAGTAAGATTGTTATGTTTTGTGTGGGTGGGTGTGGGTGTGCGTGCGCGCATGTGCGTTTTTTTATTTCCTCAGCCGATACGCCGTCGGAGTTGCTGATCAATTCCGCCAACGGTCAACTGGAGGATTTCTACCCGGTGACCTCACTCACCATGCTGATGAAGGTGCTAAAGGAACCATCTCTACACGAGCATCATAAGATGTGTGTGCAGGTATGTGCTAAATGACCCATCTCTACACGAGCATCATAAGATGTGTGTGCAGGTATGTGCGTGAGCAGCTCATTCCTGAAGTTATGCAACGGACCTTTACAGATCTAAGCTGAAGTATACTGTTACTCAGAGTTTCATGGCTATCCACCAATCCTCAGGCAACATTCTTGTGTCTCTTGGCTCCGCCATCATGGTATTGAGCACTTTTTGCAAGGGTTTAGCAACATAGCCCATAGCCTGTGCAAACGACCTTTATGTAGGCACCATAGGGGGCGTTCGTTTTTGATCTACAGGTTTGGGTAGAAACTACTTCTTCCGGTAGGGGTGTTCGTTTTTTCTACTCAAAAGGGTAGATTCTACTTTCCTCTATCGGCTCTACCAGGAAAAAGTGGGTAGAAGCCGGTAGAAGTTGGTAGAAGCCGGTAGAAGTTGGTAGAAGCCGGTAGAAGCCGGTAGAAGTTGGTAGAAGCCGGTAGAAGTTGGTAGAGCTACAGGATTTCCAGCAAGATCAAGGATTTGTACACAACTCCATACAGAAGAGAAATATTTCACGTACATATCGTGTAAACTATTAAATCCGGTAGAATAGCGTTCGCGCACTTACCTCTACCATCTACCTCTATCGGTAGAGTGACTCTACTCTACCAGGTAGCTAAAAACGAACGCAGCCATAGTCTTTGGGTTATCCTGTGCCCGGTGGCATCCTCACTCCATGCACCTACAGTCCGTTTCAAAACTATAGACGCGTACCTAGGCAAAAACCGTTATGCCAGCATCTATACCACATAAAATCTGTGATCACTTTGTGCATATATTTTTCCAAATTGGGCGTCTGTTATCCAATCCTTTAGAAACTATTATGAGAGTAATTGTGGAGCGATCCTGAGCAATATTCCGAAAACTATTGTCAAAAAGTTCCAGCCAAATTTGAAATATTTCAAAAACCCTACGCGTCTATAGTTTTGAAATGCACTGTAGACTGCAAAGAGCACACTGAAAACGAAAACGCCTTTCTCGATTGTAAAATCCTGGGACATCGGACAACATACCTAAAATAACACTGTCGTCGTCAACATCTTCATCATCATGTTTCGACGTGTACGTTGCACTGGGGATAGTAACGGGCAAAGCAGAAAGCTCAACATCAAGAAGCAACGGCCGGATCGTTCCTTGTTCATTTTGTTTGGCTTCCTTTTGTGTTCTGGTGCAGGCGGTTACATTGATTTTCCAATCTCTGGGACTGAAGTGTGTTCCCTTCATCAAGCAGGTAAGGGATAGTTGCTTATGGTCCTGTTTGTGCATATTGCTCCTATTATCGCCAGCAAGATACGTTATTGGTTGTTGCAGACTGTGTCCCGCCGTCGTACTGTCTTCCTATGCTGTAGTGTGCGGTAAACCTGCCCTAACCGGGCTCCCTTGATGCAGTGCAAACTGTCCTGATATGACAGGATTCCGCTTGATCCAGAGATGCACGTTCGATCCACAGCACTTTGGCGCATGAAAATGTGTGCGGTCAATACAGGATGATTCTAGGGTCTGGCAACACACAGGTTTTATTGTGTATTTATTTTGTGTGTGTGTGTGGGTGTGTGTGTGTATTTAGGGGAAGGGCTAGTCGCTCCATCAATGGGTACTTTGTGCTCGGTTCGCTCGGTGTTGATTCGACGCTCTCTCCGTCTTTCTACTGCTCAATGCATGCGTCCCTTTTTCATGGTACATGCGACCAGGGAGTTCTACATCTAGTGTGTATGTGTTGTTTTCTTTTGCTTTCCTGCCTGCTCAGATTGTCCCGTCCTATATCGACGTTATCTACATCAGTGATAACAAGGACAGAGAGGTTAGTTATGACAAGTGTGTGCGGCTGTAGTTTGTGAGATGTCGGTAGCGGCACGGCAGCGGCAGAAGTTGTCATGTTACTTGTACCAAATTAGTGGTGCAGCAGTCCTTTGTAAATCCAGCACTCTCGATAACCCTGCACGCCTGTTAGGACCCAGTATTTCCCATTCATACACCCTGCATCAGTAAATCAGTACTGTCCCTACTCCAGAAGAATTGCTAGTATCCTTGCAGAAGTGGTGCCTGAGTAAAGGCGGACATCTGTACTGTACGACGTGGCACTATAGTTAGACATAGCCGAGCATTACTCTCGTCGCAGCTCTCATGGCTGTGCTTGTACTTTTTTCTGTTGTGTGTGTGTGTGCGTAGTTCTTGTTCCAACAACTCGGCAAAATCATCAGCGTGGTGAAACAGCACATACGTCCCTACCTGGATGATATCTTCCGGGCTGTCAAGGTATTTGGCACTGTGTTCCCACTGGGTGTGTGTGTGTGGGGGGGGGGGGGGGGGGGTGCAGGAGGTAGGTTTGTTGTCCTCGTATCAGCGGCTGGTTCAGTAGTATGCGCGTATACAGTCAACTTCGCTAATAACGACTGCGGATATAACGACAATTCGCGAATAATGACAGAATTTCCATGCGCAGAGCAAAGTCACATCCAACTGTAGTACATATAATGGGACTTCGGGTATAACGACAATTCGTGAATAAGGACACTTTTCTGATACCCCGTCGAGTGTCGTTATACGCGAAGTTGGCTGTACTAGCCATACCAGTATTACATAATCGTATCTGCTCTTTGTGTGTTTTGTCACTTTGGTGCATGCGTGGTGATAATGCTCGGGTTGTCGCTTCATAATGGGATATGAAGATTCCCCAGTGAGTTACGCGATGCAGTGTATTAGGAATCGGTGTGGTGTTGTTGAAGTGGTTGTGGGAATTTCTGCTGCATGTACTTGAGCCGCTACCCAAAGGCAGACAGGCTCTTCAGAAACACTCTGCAAACAAAAACACTTTGCTGCTATCTCCTGCAAGGTGGCAAAAACATGAGACTGCACGGTGCAGCACCAACCCAGCTGTGCTGTGTATTTGTGTGTGTGTTTATTTGTTTGTTTGTTTTTTGTTTTTTAGACGTATTGGGTTGTGTCGACCAGCACGGCTGCGTTACAGAACACATGCGTGTCACTGCTGGAGCAGATTGCTGCTGCTCTTGGCGGTGAATTTAGCATCTATTTGCCTCAGCTGATGCCGCTGTTCTTGCAAGTTCTGCACAACGATCAGTCCACCAACAGAATAGTCACCCGAAATGTAAGTGTGTATATGTTTGTGTCTGTGTGTGTCTATGTGTGTGCATGTGTGTTCTTCTTGTGTGTGTGTGTGTGTGTGTGTGTGTGTGTGTGTGTGTGTGTGTGTGTGTGTGTGTGTGTGTGTGTGTGTGTGTGTGTGTGTGTGTCTATGTGTGTGTGTGTGTGTGTGTGCGTCGCAGGCGTGTGTATTTGTGCAACCAAGAAACACTACCAGAAAAAGTTTTTTTTATCCTATTTTTTGTGTACCGTCACTTTGTTCCTTGAACTGTGAGTGATGTCACTCCTATTTTTACCATTTTTCACAGTGTAACTGGGATCAATGCATTTGAAACCTCATCCCCTGAACCTGGACGGCACTGCACCCAGGGTCACTTACAGCATCTAACTGGTTGCCATCTCCTTTCCAAGCCGTATCCTATCGCAACGTTGCATGACTGTGTAGCTACTGGAGAACACGCTATTTTCGGTGTAATTTAAATTTCGGTACTTTCGGTAGAGAAAACAGGCACCTAGATTTAGATTACACCTAAAAGGCGCTAGAGTTTTCACTGTATGTGAAGGGTAGGCTGGTCACCTAATTTTACATTGCACCTGAAACCTGGCAGGTCACTGACGCCGAAATTTTAACACACCTAAAATCACATGTTATAAGGTATGTAATCTGGTTTGTCGTGCATCCTTTGTATTGGCTTCACTGCCTGCTCATTTGTTTCTGTATCCTGTGTTCCCAGCTTCTTCAGTCTTTGAAAAAGCTTGGCATGTGTTTAGATGACTATCTACATCTTCTCGTACCACCGATCGTCAAGACGTATCAGATAAAAACCATGCCGATAGAAGTCCGAAAGTAAGTCCAGTTCAGTTGCTGCTTAGTGTTCGGGTGATGTGCTGCGTAGGCGGACAGTGAAAAACACTGGCCAGCATAGAGGGGGCTCCGTTAGGTTTTGAATTCCTACAGTGAAATCTTCAGGAGTATAGGAACGCGGGCTAAACAAATTTACTGTGTGGGTGTGGGTGGGTGGGGTATGCGGTGTGGGTGGGTGTGCATGCGTGCGTGCATGTTTGTTAGTTTCAAGAGTGCCTGGTGGTTATCAATGGGCTGGATTTTTAGCAATCACACTCGCTCATAACGTGTGTGTCTCTGTGGTGATTGTCCCATTGTGTCTTGGTGCAGAACTGCAATCAGCACTCTGAACTCGCTGACGGAGTCGGTGAACTTCTCCGAGCTCTCCTCATGCATTGTTCACTCGCTGGTACGGGTGCTGGATACGGCAGAGCTCCAGGATATCTCCATGACGATGATATGCGCCATGATTGTGCTGCTGCAGAAGGACTTTCTAATCTACGACCGCCTCGTCAGCAAGGTAATGCAGAGTAGAGTACTGTGGGGTGCTGAAGAACTGGGGGTCAGAGTCCATAGGCCTGTTTCACCCTGCTCGGCATAGTGAGATTCGTGAATCTGGCATTCATCGTTTCTCTACCTTTGCCTGTACAGTAAAACCTGGCTTAACCGACCACCCCACGGTGCAAGCAAAAGCGGTCGTTAAAGCCAGGGGGTCTTTAGAACCAGGTCCCACAGTGTCTGTGTAGAACTGTCCGTGCATGGAAAAACGGTCGTTATTAGCAGGTGGTCGCTAAACACAGAGGTCGCTTACACCAGGTTTTCCTGTATACTGACTGGTATGTATGCATGTGTTTTCCTAGATGGTGTCAAAGTACAAGATCTCACACGAGTGCTACGAACGACTCATCGGACGTATCCGCAACCACGAGAACATCAACGACGCGGAGACCATCGAGTTCTATAAGAACTGCCGTCTGAAAGCTCGCATTCCGAGCATGGACGATTTGTCAGCGATGGAAGCTGCTAGCATCAGTCGCAAATTGACAACCCACTGGTCACACCTGGAAAAAGTAAGACTGTGTGTACTGTATAGCATGTAATTTTGTATGTAGGTACAGTGTTGCTCAATGAAATCCAGCCGCGTCACTCAAATCTGCATCTTGTATCATTTCACAGCCCAGTGTGTTCGCAGGTCTGTGGCTGCGCAACGCCCGGCGCGTACTTGAGCGGCACTGTACATGTATGTGTAACCCATAACCACGAGTGGTCGTTGGGGCGTCACTGGCTCAAGAGAAAACGACAGCATGAATGAGAGACCGACTAGTATACACTGTATTCAGTTCTATCATGAGCGATGTGTGAGCAAGAGCATACTGTTAATGGCCAGTCCAGTGAGTCCTTGATGTGGTGCACCCAAGTCAGTGCCAAATAGGTAAGTGTTAATGATAATGGTGCTGGTGCTGCTGTTTGTCCATCTGCGGACAGCAGCATTTTGTTGCTGAGAAGCATTGAGCAGTTTCTCTACGCTTCTTTTCGAAATTCCTCATTCAATCTCTCGACAATGCTGCGGATATGACTCTGCTCTTCGTTTGCAGGACTGGGACTCGTCAGGCCTGGTATCTCGCGAAGACTGGATGCTGTGGCTGCGGCGGCTGAGCATCAAGCTGCTGAAGGAGTCGCCATCGCCGTCGTTGCGTTACTGCTACGTGCTTGCCGACTCTCACGACCCGATAGCACGGTGGGTTTTGATATCTTTATTCTCATGATGGCCAGTGGCCAATAAGAGATAGGTTGTTGTTGTTGTTTCAAATCTTTATTCTCACGATAGCCAGTGGCCAATAAGAGATTGTTGTTGTTGGTGTTGGTGTTGGTGTTGGTGTTGGTGTTGTTGTTGTTGTTGTTGTTGTTGTTGTGTTTATTATTTACTAGGGCAACAGTTGGTACCTGACCAGGTCTGCGAACTTGCAAGGATTAGATGGTGTTTGATGGGGAGTGTGGTACATGTGAACTGGTCAGCACACCGCACTGGGCCCTTGGGGCAGACCGGCTTTGTCAGAGAAGGCTGGTGGTATGCACAATTCCTCCAGCATGTCCTCCGTTCATGTTGCTTCTTTTTGAGCTGGAATATGTGTGAGGCTCACCGAGCTCCTGATGAGGCACTGTAATATGGCACTGAAGTGTCTCAAAAATGTGGAATGCACTTGTTTGGTATCTTCCATGAATAGTACGACCAGCTGTGGAGTATTATTCGTTCTACTTTCCTTTTTGTTTTATCTCTCCCTCTGTCTCTCTCTCTCTCTCTCTCTCTCTCTCTCTCTCTCTCTCTCTCTCTCTCTCTCTCTCTCTCTCTCTCTCTGTCTCTCTCTCTCTCTCTCTCTCTCTCTCTCTCTCTCTCTCTCTCTCTCTCTTTTGTATCATTGCAGAGAGCTGTTCAACGCAGCGTTCGTGTCCTGCTGGGGAGCGCTGCAGGAGAACCAGCAAGAGGAGCTGGTGACCGCCCTGGAGCAGGTACTGCAGTCGCAAAGCTTGCCGGAAGTCACGCAGCTGCTGCTCAACCTGGCGGAGTTCATGGAACATACAGAGAAGGTTAGTAGAGCTGACAAGTTACGACTCTGTGTTGCTGCTTGACCTGGGCCCTAATGGCACAGACGCTTTGAGGGACGACCTTTTCTCGGTCACAAACCAGATCCAAGGAAGCCAAAAGAAGTGCATACCAATTTTCTTTTTGGCCTTTTTTGAGAGGCACATCCTCTACATTCTGAGCCCAGCGTACAGTTCCTCTTGCTGGGAAACGTATTTTAAATAACATCTTTCTCGCTCTCTCTGACACACACACACACACAAACACACAAACACACACACACACTCTCTCACTCACTCTCTCTCACACTCATTCACTCTCTCTCTCTCTCTCACTCTTTTCGCATGCTGTGTATTCTATCAGGGTGCTCTTCCATTGAAGAAAGAGCTGATGGGTGAATGTGCAATGAAGTGCCGTGCCTACGCCAAGGCGTTGCATTACAAGGAAGAAGAGTTCCATAGCGGACCAACAGCGGCGACGCTAGAGGCACTTATCAGGTATGTTGTGCACCCTGTGGTATGGGCAGGGGGCACTGGACATGTTGACATGATCATGTATTTCCCTGGGCTTTCGGTTTGTGGAATGCTCTGGGCTACTTACCAAGATGATTGGTATGTCGTTGATCACTGACAGTTGGAAAAGCTTACCCTATTTTTTTCTATATAGCTCTAATACGTTTTGTCTCCGTGTCAATTATTCTTTCCCGAACATTTGCATTTGGATTTTGTGTGCGTGGTGGTGGTGGTGATGGGGTTCTTGTCTTGAGGTTCTTGCCATGGGCTTATTCCCTACTTACTCAGGCATGCTATCCTGTGGTGGAAGCCCACTCTCGTGTCAAATACTGACATGTTGAGTTGTGTAACGCGTGTACTTGCACTATGTGCTATGTGTGTGTGTTTGTGTGTGTTGTGTTGTGTATGTGCGCGGGCATTGCCTTTTTGCTGGTCAGCATCAACAACGAGCTTGGCTTGGCCGAAGCTGCCCAGGGCGTTCTGGTCTATGCGGACAAGCATCACGAAGCCGATTTGGTAAGTTTTCTTCACTGCTCAGTCTGCATTCAGTTGCATGTGGGCAGCTGATTTTTGTTTTGTTTTTGTGCTTTGAAACGCAAACACAAAAGGCCACAGTAGTACTGTCTGAAGCCGAAAAACTGTCGTAATCCACGCCGTTCTTATCTTTCCTGTCGAAATGTTTATATAGTTGGTCACTTAGTAGTGACCCATTGCCAGGTGGCATGCGTTGTTTTAGACAGTATTCCAAACCGGTGTCGTTGTTTTATGTGTTTTGTTTTCAGCGGGCCAAGGAGACTTGGTACGAGAAGTTGCGCGACTGGGATAACGCACACGCCCTGTACGAGAAGCGGCATTTGGAAGACCCGGATAACCTGGAGCTGACTCTGGGGCGTATGCGCTGCCTGGAAGCCATGGGAGAGTGGTAAGTCAAGCGGCGTTGATACGGCCGCTTCAACGTGATGACGTCAAACACGACTGGGTAGTTGTAATTTTCCGTAACGTTACAAGTTTTGGATCCGCTCGTCAGTAGCTTTTGTATGGAGGGTATGTGACCAGCCCTCATGATGTGTGCTGGGGTGATTTTTATGAGCAACGCTCCCACCCCCAGGGCCAAATCATTGTTGTAATTATAGCACTCTGCTATGTGCTCTGTCTGTGTCCTTGCCTCGCCATAGGTCACGACTATTCAGCCTCGCCGAAGACAAATGGCCGACCATTGGCGAAGACGCGCAGCAGAAGATGGCGCGAATGGCCGCATCGGCATCCTGGGGCATTGCCAACTGGCAGTCGATGGACGCGTACGCGTGCATGATCCCACCGGACAGCTACGACGGTGCCTTCTACCGCTCCGTCATTGCCATCCACGACAACCAATTTGATCTGGCACAGCGGGTAAGGGATTGAAAGCTGCTACACGGGGACAGGCACTAGTTGCGGGCTCTCCCACACAGTGCCAGTACTTGCGATGGTGTAACAATGTACCCTATATTTCAGAGTATAAGCCGCAGCCAGATTTTTGTCACGGAATACAAGCACCTACCCTGTATTTCACAGTGCATTTGACCATCGTAGTAGAAGCCACACAGACTTTTTTTGGGGTGAATTATGAGTGTTAAAAGAGTGACTTCTACTCCGGATAATACGGTAACTCGACTGGGGTTGCACAATTCAGAGCCACGTGAACCTGTCTCCTTGCTTCTGTACTAGATCACCTGTACTAGTACCAACCACTCATACCGTGTTCTGCCTAACTATAATTATGTTTGTCCTCTTTTCTGCCGTATATTCCTGTGTGTTCACCAGTGCATCGACCTGTCTCGCGAAATACTCGACACTGAGCTTACAGCGATGGTCGGCGAGAGCTACAACCGAGCGTATCAGGTACGGTGGCTACTTTCAACACTTGATTGTTTTGTTTCTTTAACACGTGGGGGACTGCCAGCATGACTGTTTCAGTTCTTTTCATCCGTTCATGTTCTATCTGACTCGCTGTGTTCTTGTGAACTCTTCTGAACTTCACGCTGATGTGTGTACCATACTTAAGAACATTGGCTTTTCCCGTGGCAGAGCATTCAGCAGACAGCATTTGTTTTCTTCAGTCCTCCTTTGCACATTTTCCTGTGAGCAATTAACCCGCTGTTTTCTGTTCCTCGTGCATATCCACCTGTCCTATCTTCTCGTCCAGGGTATGGTATTTGTACAGATGCTGTCTGAGCTGGAAGAGGTCGTCCTCTACAAGACGCGTCCGGAAAAGCAGCCAGTGATTCGCAAGATCTGGTGGGATCGCCTGCAGGTTCGTACACACCCTGCCTGTCTGCTCCAGCACCTGCACCTGTGCTCCATCATGAGTTGTGAACAAAATCATTTATATTTTCATGTTTTGCGTGGATTGGGTGCAACGCCAGTGTGATATTCCTGTACACATCAACACCTGCGTGTGTCCACGCACACACTGTCCAAGCACTGTGCTTCATCATGAGTTGTGAACAAAGGCATTTTTTAACATGTGGCATGGACTAGGTGCAACACTATTCTGATTTGCCTGTACATCTCAATACGTGCGCGTGTCTACGCATATAGCTTGTGTATTCTTTCCATCCGATGCTGTTGGATGTTTTTGACTTAGCTGATAAACCAGATTGTGAGGTGAGTTTACAGTTGTGTTCTTTTTCCTGCTCTGGTTTCAGAACTGTGACCGTAATGTGGAGGACTGGCAGCGCATACTGCGAGTACGATCTCTGGTACTCACTGATCAGGAAAACAAGCACACGCTAATCAAGTTTGCCAGTCTGTGTCGCAAGAGCAACCGACTAGTGAGTGCTTGTGCTTGTTCAGATGTACAGTACTGGCCAAAGAAATCCAACCCTATGAATATAATAGCATTGCCGGGCGCTACGCAGCCCTAGCACTACACGTACTGGTCTGTGCACTCGAACGCGGCACTACTTTATTCATGAGGTTGGATTTCTCTGCCCGGCACTGTACTATTTGTGTGCCTTGCTCCTGTTCTGCGCCGTGTTCTTTCTTTCGAGTTTGCTCATATCATTGCTAGTCTTGACAGATTTGCTGCATAAGAAGCAGAAATGTTCTGCTCTGTTCAAGTTGTCAGTAGTGTAATCGTGTGTGTGTGTGTGTGTGTGTGTGTGTGTGTGTGTGTGTGTGTGTGTGTGTGTGTGTGTGTGTGTGTTTGTGTGTAATTGTGTGCATGTGCCTGTATGTGTGTCTCAATTTGCAGGAGCTCTCCCACAAGACCCTGTGTAGTCTATTTGGCTGTGAGCCAAGCAAACTGCCCGAGGTGCCCACAACGTTTCCCCATGTAGCGTTTGCATACATGAAGCACTTGTGGGATGCCAATGACAGGGTAAGGAAGAATGCACCTTTTCTTGCTGCTTTCGCAAAATTACACTGTGAAATAGCTTCAATTCGAATCTCCAAAATCCTGAACACGGCTTGTAGTCCGCTTTGTTCTGATTGTCCAACAACAGCAACCTCCTGACGCAGATCAGTCCTGATCAGGCCATCTTGGAATTATCTGGATTTTGCTGTACTCTGTAATTCCGAACCATGTCCACTGCTTGTACAAGTAATTGTGTTTTCAGGATGCAAGCCACACTCCCGCTTTCGCACACAGGTCATTTCGGTGAAACTCTCATGTCAGCCTGGCCACATTCTCTTTCTGACATTTCATGGCAAGTGTATAGTAAGCACTGTACAAACTATGTCAAAATATACCCAATAGGTTACCCTGCTACCCGGATAGAAATAGCCGAACTCATTACCCGACCCAATCAAACCCCTACCCGTTGCAGCCTTAGTTACTGCCTCTAGTGTACTTCAACCTGGTGTGTACTGTTGCTGTGTGTGTTCTTTATTGCGGCCGTCTGCAGGAGAAGGCGTACCAGCATCTGATCCACTTTGTACGCTCGTCGCTGCACCCGCAGGCCATGAGCATGCCACCGAACATGGTGGATATGAGCATGCACATGTCACCGGGTGGCCACTACGACACCCAGGGCAACTACAACCTCAACCGATTGCTGGCCAAGTAAGTGCTGCTGCTTGAGCTTGCTCAAAAAAATTCCTTTTCCGTCTCTTCAGCAGAGATGCACTTACAGTTAAACTGCCCTGATCCGGGCGCCCTAATCCGGGCACGTTGTCTACCGGGCACCTTTCTGACCCCTCTAGTCCTGGAGCCAGGTCCAGAAATCTGACAGTGTCATTTGACACCTCGTCCAGGAAAGATTTGACTTCAAATTCGGAGAGACGGACCAACTATAGGAGTTTTGGAGAAAACTAGAAGTTCCCAATGTTGTCCGTTTGGAAGTTATGAGCTATTTCCAAATTGCTTAGGTTACTATGGTAACTTGTGTGCAATTAGCCGTTCCTGAGGCAAAGCCAGTACAATTTTGGAGAAAAAAGTTACCTTGTTGGAAGGCGAGCTCTTTCCAAGACTATTATTGAAAATCAGAAGTTTATAGGACTGTCGGCTTCCTTGTCACAGGGATTTCTCGAATTTCTACGGTTACCGTGGTAACGTGTATGCAATTAGCCACTTCTAAGCCAAAATCAGTGCATTTTCTCCCCTGTAGGCAGGTGGAAAGCAGAGAATAGTTATAATATTGTGGCTTAGAGGTCTATTGGGCTGTTTCATGCCTGGTTTGTAGAGACTGGGCTCCTCTCTCCTCTAACACTACCGGGATTGCATTGACCTGGCACTTGTTTCCTCCCTTCCTTCACATAATACAATTTACATTTACATGTAGTACCCAGACAGCGGTGTGCTATGTTGACAGGATTGGTCACCATGATCCACTACTAGTACTTTCCACCCAATTCACATTTTCTATTTATGGAACAATGTCATGCAGGCTGTCCAATCGACATGTGCATGTACATGTACATGTACATGTTTAGGAAGCACATTGCCCATGAAATACAGTCATGTACATGTACATGTACATGTAGACCGGGGTGGGGGCCTACGCCAAGACCTGGAAGGACAATTTTGATCAACGAGATGGCTAATAGACAAACAACTGCCCTAACTGCAACATGCAACAAACTCCGCCACATATTCCGTGCTCATGTGTCATCATCCTTCAGCAACTCACAGCAAGCATTTACACAGGAAGGTCTGGTCAGTGCATCCCTCTGATCAAGCAACAGTTTCAAAACAGTCCCGGACTGACCCCATGGCCCATGGGGCAGTGACCTCTCCTGCTATCTAGCCGTGCCACTATGAATTCTACACCTAGTACCAAGAGTGTATAACCGGGGGGTTATAACTCTTGCTAGTACCTGTACCGGTACATGTGGCATCATTTCCAGCACTCACAGATACATGTACGTGTGCAGCAGTTGTTCACCATCCAACTCGGCTACAAGTGATGCAAATACAGTACAGTACCTGATGTCACAGATAATGATTATTCCATGTACATCGAACACCCTGGATGGTTTCACCTGTATACAATCATGTAAATGTGGAGACAGTTATGGCCATATAATACTGACTACTCTCAACTCCTACAAGCCATATCTCTTGCCAATTGTCAACGTATTGGAGAAAATCGTTGATCGGCAGGTTGTGGAGTTCTTAGTGACAATAGTGAGGTTTCTGCCCTGCCATGGAGCAGTTTCACGCGGCATACTCCGACCTCTCCCGTCTTCTAAGTCCTGGCATCCCCGTGTGATATGAGAAGGGAACTTGGCCCAGTGTGTTTGGTTGAACGACTGTAATTTAAAAAGCACACCAGTAACAACAACAATGAATATCACAACAGTGTCCTCGACATGTACTTCAGTTCAGTACATTGTACAATGTACATGTACACCTCACAGTACTGGCCTCTTTTACGGGCAAGATGATTCTTTGGATGTGAAAAAATGCAGTACGTGTAGTCATGTACAAAACATACAATGTAGTTTGGTTGCCAGCATGTTACAAGCTACATGTAGGCGGAGGATGCACTGAGTCTGTGTTCGAAAACAGTGCTCCTTATGACATTACTACAACCTCCACGGTTGGCATAGCCCTGGTCTTGCGACCATTAATTTTGAACTATAATGGGGGCTAGCCCCAGTTCTAATATATGCTAGGGAATTGTTTGAGTCTTCTTGTCTTTGTTTTTGCTATCAGTTGTGTTTCCTTGCTCGTTCTTGGATGTCAGTCCTGCCTAAATCCTCTTGATCCTTTTGTGTGGATCCCGGCACTAAATCAGGAGAGAGGGGTCCAGTCTCTACAAACCAGGCTTGCAACAGCCCAATAGACCTCTAAGCCACATTATTATAACTATTTTCTGCTTTCCACCTGCCTACAGGGGAGAAAATGCACTGATTTTGGCTTAGAAGTGGCTAATTGCATACACGTTACCACGGTAACCGTAGAAATTCGAGAAATTCCTGTGACAAGGAAGCCGACAGTCCTATAAACTTCTGGTTTTCAATAACAGTCTAGGAAAGAGCTCGCCTTCCAACAAGGTAACTTTTTTCTCCAAAATTGTATCGGCTTTGCCTCAGAAACGGCTAATTGCACACAGGTTACCATAGTAACCTAAGCAATTTGGAAATAGCTCATAACTTCCAAACGGACAACATTGGGAACTTCTAGTTTTCTCCAAAATTCCTATAGTTGGTCCGCCTCTCCGAATTTGAAGTCAAATCTTTCCTGGACGAGGTGTCAAATGCAACTCCTCAATAAAGCGACTTTTTCGGACTTGGCCCCAGCACTACTCTAGAGTCACAAAAATTGACTTCAACGAAAACGGACCCAAAAACTATTATTGATTGGCCTAAAAAATGTTTTCTTTCATGCAGTAAGTATGATTATAATTATGTTCTCAGTTATGGGCAATTCCTAGTTCTGGGCAATGCTCGGTCCCAACCTACCCGGATTAGGGGATTTTACTGTACTTGATATCAGGACTTTGCTCATTATTACCGGTTGGAAGACTCCTAAGACCTCTTGAATGCCCTGCTCCGTGTCAGAGTAATGTTAGGTTGCCTTTGTGATGCTTCTTTTGTCTTGTTGACATTTTGTGTGCGGTGTTTGCTTCCATCCGTGAGTTGCTGCTTTGTGTTTCTGTACCTACTTTGTAATCTTTGCTGTTTCCTAGATGCTACTTGAAGCTGGGTGAATGGCAGATTGGTTTGAGAGGTTTGAGCGAGAAGACCATCCCGCAGATCATTAACTTCTACAACAAAGCAACCGAACATGACTCGAGCAGTTACAAGGTACGGGCAGCCGTCATGTTTTTGCCAACCCGCGCACAGCGTCGAGATGTAGTTGTATTCCCAAAGTTATGCACGGGGCATTGTGTAGTGTCTGGCGTTTATTTTGTATCGTTGTGTGTGTCTGTGTGTCTGTGTGTCTTGTGTGTTGTTTCACGCAGGCCTGGCATCACTGGGCCATGATGAACTTTGAAGCCGTCCTGTACTACGGACATCGTGCCAACACGCCCATGGCCACCACCCCTGTATCACCAACAGTCTCTTACCAGCCCCTTCCTAACCAATCCAATGCCCGTGCTGTGGTAAGCAGTAGCCGAAGCCTGGCCTAGAACACTACAACCTACCATGCTATGAAAATACTTACTGAACGCATGGATCATACAAGAATATACCCTTGGTTTCTTTTGAAAAAAACTTGTGGGATCCGGAAATAGTTTGTCCGTAATGCTATGCGCATATGACAAGACTCTGGTCTTGACGAAATGTGGTCACAATGCCTGTTAGTCCTTTTCACTTTCCTTGGACAGTTCCGGTTTAGGTCTCAGTTGATAACATACCGGTAGATACTTAGAAGTGGCGACTTTGGCGATATGAGTAAAATGAAGTTGGTTGCTCCTAGTGGAATACACGCTTCCTGCCCGCTACCTCCCATGCCGGTAGGCATTGTGTCAACATGGTTTTGTCTTACCCTATTTTCCTATGCATTGATGTGAGTGTCCTTCGGGCAGTTCTTCTCCTGCCAATACCGTGTTATGTTATCTGGCTGTGCTTTTGACAATGTTTTGTTGCTTTTGGTTGTGCACTGCTGTGCAGGCGGCAGTCCTGGTACACCAATACGCCAAGCCCGCTGTGCAAGGCTTCTTCCGATCCATTGCACTTGCACAGGAGAAGAAAGTCAACTCCTTGCAAGACACTCTCAGGTCAGTATTCCTTTAACAGAACAGCCATTCATTCTCTGCGATAGGTGACCAGTGCATGTTACGTAATAGAGTGGCTTCACATCTTGGTCATGTGACTAAATGTGTGCAAAAAGTGATCATGGCATATGGACAGTCGAGCCAACATGGCTGACATCATGTGACCCATAGATGCAGGGGTTGACTGGAGTTGGAACCAACATGACTGCCCCGAACGGTCATGTGATAGATGTGAAACCTATTTTTAGAGAGTTTCAGTGAATTGTGAGACTTGCACACGTATGACTGCGAATGTGCTCATCAGCACCCTGGAATCCAGAATCCTCACCTGCCAGTTTGGACTCTCGTCAACTGTAGCTATATGCTTTGGTAAACCTTTTTCTTCTTCATATTGCCGGCAAGTGTTAGTTCGACCCCCAGCACACACACACCATTTGACCATTTGACGCCCATCGCCGGAGGCGATGATAGCGATGCTATAGCAGAAGCCATAGCAGCTTGTGCTGGGATTGCACCATTCAACAGCTTGCAAGGCTGAAGAATTGACCGCCACTATTCAGCCTGGTCTACGCCACACAGCTATGATGTGGCTTTTTCGGCCAGTGAATCCCTACTTTTTGGTCTTTTTCATTTTTTTCACGCACACACATCACACCACATACTGCGGCATGCACTGGCTGTTGGTAACCACCCAGGAGAATGAAAGAAAGTCAGGAGGAGTCTGAGAAAGAGAAGAAAGACGTGTGTGACCATAATCGACGGGAATCGAACCCGCAACCTATCGATTGGAAATCGCTGCACATACCACTGCACCATATGGGACACACACACACGCACACACACACGCGCACACACACGCGCACACACACACACACACACACACATTTCCCCATGCCTGAACCATGCCATGCTGCTGTTGTTGTTCTGTGCAGATTACTGACACTGTGGTTTGAGTATGGTCACTGGCCTGATGTGTATGAGTCGTTGATGGAAGGTGTCAAGTCCATACAAGTGGACACCTGGCTTCAAGTGAGTCCTTTTTGAGTTTTAAATCTTTATTCTCATGCTGGCCAGAGGCCAATAAGAGATGATGAGTTGGAGAGCTAACTTAAAGTTTACTCTCCTTTCCTAGTTGGCCAACAGCACCCGGTTCTTACACACAGGCTGCGCTTTACAATCAAGCTCTTCTTTTCCTCACGTTGCAGCAGGGTTTAAGGCACTGGGTTAGGGTCTTCCAGAAGTAACGCGCTGTGTGCATGCCTGCAGCTTGCACTGCGGTGGAATGTCTGCAGCTGCGTATTGCTTGTTTCTTCCTCTCGTCCTACGCCACCTTGCTTTGCTTTGCGTTGCTCGTCTGTGTGCACTTTCAGGTCATTCCTCAGCTGATTGCTCGCATCCACACTCATCGGCAGCTGGTTGGCCGTTTGATCCACCATCTGTTGATAGACATTGGCAAACACCATCCGCAGGCACTCATCTACCCACTGACCGTGGCATCCAAGTCTACCAGTCAGGACCGTCGCAACGCCGCCAACCTGGTGCTGCAGAACATGCGCGAGCACAGCAACACGCTCGTCAACCAAGCCATCATGGTGCGTGCATGTGTGTGTGTGGGGGGGGGGGGGGGTCGTGTGTGTACGTGTGTGTGTGTATGGGGGGGGGGGGGGGGTTGTCCTACCATCGCTTCTGCATGTAAAGTGTGTGTGTGTGTGCCGGGGGGGGGGGGGGGGTGTTTGTCCTATCATCACTTCAGCGATGGGCACGTAAAGATTGAAGAGTGTGTGTGTGTATAGGTGTCCCATTTTGTATTTATCACAAAAGCAACGGCAACATTTTTCAATGTATTTTCGCCATTGACTGTGTGTTTCGAAATGTAGACGAAAGAAATATATACTTCGCTTCTAGTAAGTCTATTGTGCGTGAGCAGAATGTGAAGGCAAGTGAAAGCCAGATGACGTTGAGAAAATTCCAGAGATTGGAAGACCTTTGCTGAAAGTTGCGAAAAACCTTTCTCCTGCAACTCTCGTTGCTTTGTGCGTATCTTTCTCATACTCTTTTGTGTTGTGTGCGTGATCACCTGCTGCAACAGGTCAGCGACGAGCTTATCCGCGTGGCAATCCTCTGGCACGAGCAGTGGCACGAAGGGCTGGAAGAGGCATCACGGCTATACTTTGGTGAGCGGAACGTGCAGTCTATGTTCCAAGTGCTGGAACCGTTGCACGAGATGATGGCCCGTGGTGCGCAGACGGTCAAGGAGACAAACTTCAACCAGGTGAGACTAGCAAAGGCGTGCATGAGAAGATCGCCACTCTGTAGCCAATCATTGTCTGCTGTGCTTTAATTGGCGTTGCTGCTGCTTGAGAACTCACGATTATTTTTCCCTGCTTTCCCAGTCCTCACGATGCTTTCATTCTTAGTATCTGTTGCATACAAACCTGTGTTTTTTTTTGTTTTTTTGCTTATGTTGGGGCCTTTATGTATTTGTGTGTCTGTGACAATTCCCATCTCTGCAGGCGTACGGCCGAGACCTGCAGGAGGCCAATGAGTGGTGCAAGAAGTACAGGCGGTCGAATAACGACAAGGACCTCACCCAGGCGTGGGACTTGTATTATCACATCTTCCGGCGTATTTCCAAGCAGCTGCCAACGGTAAGGTGTTGTATTCCCTTGCTGGCGGAATGGACCTGCATGTCTGCATCTTTAACAGCACTGTCCTCCAAAGCATGTTGCTTTGTTAGCCGTTTATCGACGGACGAAACGTGAACTACGGGGACGAAGGGTCGCGTGCACGTGTGTGTACAATAATATGTTTGGTGTGTGTGTGGGTGCACGGGTGTGGGTGCGTCTTACTTCTTCAGCTGACGAATCTGGAGTTGCAGTCGGTGTCGCCAAAGCTCATGGCCTGCCACGACCTGGAGCTGTCTGTTCCCGGCCTGTACGAAGTCAACAAGCCCATTATCCGCATCCAGAAAATTGCACAAGCGCTGAACGTTATCACGTCCAAGCAGCGGCCGCGCAAGCTGTCCATCTACGGCAGCAACGGCTCCGAGTTCATGTTCCTGCTGAAGGGCCACGAAGACTTGCGGCAAGACGAGCGCGTCATGCAGCTCTTTGGTCTGGTCAACACACTGCTCGCCAATGACTCCGAGACCTTCAAGAACCATCTAAGGTACGTTGAACTTCTCACGCCGTGCAACCTGAACACATATTGGTGGTGGGTAATGTCCGAAATCGCTTTAGCAAATGTAGGGATCAGCGGGCAAGACTGTGTATGGGCGTGATTTCAACTGCTGTTGTCTCAAACTATTTCAACTGCTGAAATGCAGTAGTCACTTTGGCCGAGACTGGAGAGAAGTTGGCTTCTCGAAACGTGAAGCTTCCGCTTTCTGCCCACTTGATTCTGTGCGATGATGACTTGATGACAATCTTCAGGGTTTATTTTCTGTACTCATTCGTATCTGCCTTCTGCTTTCAACTACTTTTGAGTTTTGATTCTCTGCAAGAGGAAACGTGCTGACAATCTTTGCATCTCACTGTACTCGTTCATATCTATACAAAAGAACAGGACCAAGGAACTACAAGTTACGATAATGTCCACTAACACCACCAGTTATTAAACAATCAGCTCAGCGATAACATTACACGACACTGACCGACGGTACTGACGTTCTACAACTAACTGGCTAACAGCTCTAGCATATCTTGGATGCGCACTCCAACAGCTCATCTTCCCCTCGTTATGTTATTTCTATAACTTTAATAGAACCTTCTAAGTTGGAAGGCTGTTGGAGTGCGCATCCAAGATATGCTAGAGCTGTTAGCCAGTTAGTTGTAGAACGTCAGTACCGTCGGTCAGTGTCGTGCAATGTTATCGCATGAGCTGATTGTTTAGTAACTGGTGGTGTTAGTGGACATTATAGCATAACTTGTAGTTCCTTCTTGGTCCTTTTCTTTTGTATAAATTAATCCTTGGCTCTCCATGCGAGTCCATTCGTTCCGATCTGTTTTCTGCTTGTGCCTACTTTTAGCATTATGCGCTACGCAGTGATCCCGCTATCCACCAACTCTGGACTCATCGGCTGGGTGCCGCACTGCGATACGCTGCACGCTCTGATCCGTGACTATCGCGAGAAGAAGAAGATCCTGCTGAACATCGAACATCGCATCATGCTCAGGGTGAGCGAGGCTCAATCCATACAGTACTTTCGGTCGCCGAAGAACAGGGGGCCGGGGGTCAGCCTCCTAGCCTAGGCCGTTCCTATTTTCATGTATTACAGTCTATGCACAGTTAAGTCACTGTGTATACACTGGTATGCTGTGCTTGGTGAAATTCTAGCCTGGTCGTTCTTCGGCGCTCCGTTCTTCGGCGCTCCGTTCTTCGGCGCTCCGTTCTTCGGCGCCCGACAGTACTGTACATGCCTTCGTGCACTTCCACTCCATTCAGACATGGGTCTTTCACTCAGTCACCAGATTCACACAACGCAAGCCATGATTTTTGTGCCCCCCTCCCCAGCATAAACTGCATGAAATCATATTCCAATAAGAAGAGGATGAAAATTGGGTTTCAACTCCGAGTTTCATGCACAAGACGATCATCGAACAGTAATGAGATACATCTGGAAGCTAGTGTGATCGTATTGTGTGGCACAAACACCTAAAATTACCCATAGACTGGGGTTTTATCAAGAGAGTTTTGTGCATCAAACTGGACTTTATTCTGGGAGTTTTCCTGATTTTACGATGTGCTGCCGTGTTACAGATGGCACCGGAGTACGATCACTTGACAGTCACACAGAAGGTCGAGGTGTTCGAACATGCGATTGAGCACACCAGTGGAGACGACTTAGCCAGGGTGCTCTGGCTCAAGAGTCCCAGCTCCGAGGTAAGCCGCCGTCTCCTGTGTCTGTGTGTGTGTGTGATACGTGACTGCATGGATGTCTATTGTGTATTGTATCACATGTTTGGTTTTGTGGCATTTGTAGAACACTTGAGAGTTGCGCTCAGCCGCTATAAAACGCCAGGCTCTCCATCTCCTTCACTCCTGATATCTTCGCCAAGAGTACTTAAACCGGAGTGTGGTACTCCGCGCATGGGTTCAGGAAAGCGTGATTCATCAGTTATGTCATTTTGATGACCAAATTTGGGCACACTGGTGTCACAGGTCGTATTGGTACTGTGCAACACTCTATTTGCGGATAGCAGGTCCGAGGATTTTCATCAAAATGGCGTATAAACCGAATTGCGCTTTTCCAAGCACAGGCGTTGTAGCACACTATTGAAAGTGTGTCTGTGTGTCTATGTGCATGCTTGTGTGTCGCTGTGTGTGGGGGGGGGGGGGGGGTGGGTGGGTGGGTGTGGGTGGGTGTGCGTGTGTGCATGCTTGACTGTCCAGGTGTGGTTTGACCGACGCACAAATTACTCCCGTTCACTTGCGGTGATGTCAATGGTGGGATACGTGCTAGGTCTGGGAGACAGGTAAGTCACATAGCATACCAGTGTTACACATCACAGAGAATACTAGGGGAATCCCCATCCCCTCCCCATCCCCTCTTTCAAGTTTATTGCTGGTCACAGTAATGTTGATCTTGATGGTCTGATGTGGCCCGATTGTGTGCTTGTACTGCCATTGGAGTCCTGCCCTGCTTTCTTGTCAATCAATAAGTCACTTCATCCTCTTTTATCCGTTTGCCCCTTGTCGAGCATTGGTTGTGAGAGTTGCCACCTCGCCCTCGCCATTACTCATTAGGCGCTGCATCTGCCGCCCTGGTATTACAGGCATGGTGGTGGCCTGGCACGAGCGAAACTTCCTAAACTGGTTGTGTTTCTCAACGCAATTGTATAGCCGGTTGTAACGTGGACGTGCGAACTTTACTCTTTACTCTCTATCCTTCACAAATGCTGTATCTTAATAAACGTTAGCTTCCGTATTCTTGTTCGTACTGTTATGGGTGGTAGCCTCCTAGTCTCAGGTCTTTCTCGTGATGTGTTTCAGAAGTGCGCTGTTTTGTTTTCGTCGTCATTGCTGCTTGCTCCTGCTGCTGATACTGCTGCTGTCGTTTCACTGTGTAGGCATCCATCCAATCTTATGTTAGAACGTCTGTCGGGACGCATCCTGCACATTGACTTTGGAGACTGTTTCGAGGTGAGTGTCCCTCTTCCTATTGGATAAGATTGACTCTCTGAAGCTGCACTCTCCCTCCCTCTCTCTCTCTCTCTCTCTCTCTCTCTCTCTCTCTCTCTCTCTCTCTCTCTCTCTCTCTCTCTCTCTCTCTCTCTCTCTCTCTCTCTCTCTCTCTCCTCTTTCCCTCTCTCTCCATACCCAGTTCGCAAGGCTGGGCGGGGTTGTGAGCAGGCTTTCATTTACAAAAATGCTCCGCATTTTTTCTCCATCTGCGCATAAAATCTAGACTGACAACCTGCTTGTTAAATCATGCACCTGCTTTCAGGCGTGAAAACCCTGTTGTAGAGGTCTCAGTTCTCATTTGTTAGACTTACCTGTCTTTTTAAATGTAACTTACTCTCTGTCTCTCTCTCTCTCTCTCTCTCTCTCTCTCTCTCTCTCTCTCTCTCTCTCTCTCTCTCTCTCTCTCTCTCTCTCTCGTCCTCTCGACTTGGATATTGGTTCCAACAATATTTTACGTTAGGTTGGTATTTATTATGCCGAGGATGCATCAACTGCTTTGTTTTCATTTCCGTTTCTACAATGCCTGTGTAGGTTGCCATGACCAGGGATAAGTTCCCGGAGAAGATTCCCTTCCGCTTGACGAGAATGTTGACCAACGCTATGGAGGTAATGCTTTGTTGTTTGTTGTGGAGGGGCTTGTCCAGCACCTGTCTTTGTCTTTTTGTGCTAGTCTGGTAGCATTATGTGTCATTTGTATCGGTTCTGCTTCCATTTCAGGTTCCCTTCTGTATTTTCCTGCGAGGTCACTTTTATTTTATAAGAAGGGATGAGCCCTGGTGTTTTAAAGTCCCTGACGATTCCACGTCAACGGTCTATGTGTGCCTCTCTTTCTCTCTGGCTCTCTCTCTGGCTCTCTCTCTCTCTCTCATTCGCAGTCGCATACTATCTTTCTCAGTACATGTAGACGATCATATCTGTGCCGTCCCCACGTCTTTTCCCCAATACCATTGTCTTCCCCAACCTACGTCATTGTTCATATCATGAGTGCTGGGAAGTGGATTTGTTTTAGCTCAGAAATACGTCCGGTGGCTTTCAATCAACTTCCACCTCATCCACTTGCTAACTTTTTAGAGGATGAGCAAGTCAACATTGTTGTGTGTGTGTGTGTGTGTGTGTGTGTGTGTGTGTGTGTGTGTGTGTGTGTGTGTGTGTGTGTGTGTGTGTGTGTGTGGAAAAATGAAAAATAGGGATTCACTGGCCAGAAAAAGTCTCTTCAATCAGCTGTGTGGTGGATACCAGGCTAAATTAGTGACGGTCAATTCATCAGCCTTGCAATGGTGTAATCCCAGCACAAGTTGCTGTGTCTAACGTAGCTGTTCGCTATAATCGCTTCCGCGATGGGCGTGTGTGTGTGCGCGCGTGTGCACTTCAGGTGACGGGTATCGAGGGCAACTTCCGACTGACGTGCCACAGCACCATGCGTGTGCTGCGTGCGCACAAAGACAGCGTCATGGCCGTCTTGGAAGCATTCGTCTACGACCCGCTGCTCAACTGGAGATTGACCAATGATGGTGAGTGGCCACTGAGTCTGTGGGTTAGGGCATGGTGAGAGAGTACTGTGTGTGTGTTGGGAGGGGGGGGGGGGGGGGCTCTGTCACCGGTCTCATGGGACATGGCTTCTCTTGTTTTGATGAAATGTGCAGAACAGATTCAACCGAAGAGCAAAGCACAGACATGCACCCTTTGTTTGTGACATGCCCTTTGTTTGTGTGTGTGTATGTGTGCCTGTGTGTCTGTGTGTGCGCACGCATGTGTGTGTGTATCCGTCTGTGTGTGTGTGCATGTGTATATGTGTGTATGTGTTGAATGCAGGTCAGCGGAAGAGCAAGCCGAAAACACCGGCTGCCAATGGTGCCCACGGAGCAGGTAATGCCCTTTCCTGTTTGCACTGGCATTTTGCTGTATTTCTTTTTCCAATGTTAGTACATGTATGGCTGAAGAGCATTCATCAAGCTTTAGTGATAGAGATGATAATGAGTCCCAGTGAAGCATTTCTTCAGTGAAACCTGTCTAAGACGACCGCTCAAGGGACCTTCAAAAACCTGGTCTCTGTTATCAGGTGGTCTCCTTATCCAGGGTCATTTGACTGGGAATAACATCCGTTGGCCCTGATTACAATGGCCGTCTCAACACCCCAAACCCCTGGTGGTCTCAACACCCCAAACCCCTGGAATCATCTCCTGAACACCTTAGATATACACATGTAGTGCATTAACCTGCTCTTGCTGTCTTCCATTGCGTGCATTTGTCTTCTCTCGTTATGCAGTTGGTGGGCCGGCAGTACCAATGCCTGTTCCAGTAGCTACGGCGGGGCCGGAACATAATGGTGGTGCTGCGATGTTGGAGCCAAATTACGGCCTCGGTATCGGTGTTCGACCTGTACATGGTGCCGTGTATGGCCCAGGTAGGGCACTTCTACTGTTGCTGCTGCTGCTGCGGCTGCTGCTGCTGCTGCTGTTGCCTCATCTCCACTTAGAAATCTAGATCCAAAACACATGAAGTTGCAGACTCCAACCCAGACACAGGTTCATTACCTGATTTCTCCATGTTTGCCATGAAGCAAAACCTCTCTATTAAAATCAGCAACAAGTGAATGGATTTCACAAACTCTCTGAACCCGCAAACCGCAAACAGCGCAAACATCGTGTGAGATGAAAGTATTGTTGTAGTGTCCCACACGGCCTCACCCTGGATCAGAGCGCGTGGGAGCTCAACCTGCACATCACACACAAGCATGATGAAAAACTCTTGTAACTCAGAACATGTGATCTGTCAATATGACTGTGCTGGGTGTGGTGGCCCTTTGCTTGTGTTTTGATCTCCTTGTGGCTGTGCCTGGCATGTAATTAGCGCCACCAGTGCCACTAGCGCTTTCTTAGGTGCTATTTTTGTCACTGCTCTGACCGCCAAAGTGTCGCATATACGGACTTGCTTGCCGCGGCTTTAATCACCAGCGCTTTCGACTTAAAGAGTGATAGTAGGAAAGACCTAATCGAAACCACATGGCTTCTGGACTGCGTGTGTAACCATTGGTCGCGTACTAGTATGTGCTTGCTATGTTGTGTGTGTGTGTATGTGTGTTTTGCCATACAAGATGATGGTGCCAAGCCCGAGGCAATGGATAAGCGGGCACTGCAGATTCTCGGCCGCGTCCGTGACAAGCTCACTGGTATGTGCACGCTCTTGGGTCACGACTGTTGTTCTTGCCCTGCTTGCTACCAGCCAGCGACAGTTCTCTAAGCCTTTTGTCCACATCAGTATCACCAAGAGTACATCAGACACGCACTAGTAACCCGCAAGAGTGTGCAACTCCTGTCTATGGGGTTTGCGACGCTAGAACTTCACATCCCGTGACAAGCCTGTGCACATTATGTGCACCATGTGCATGATAGATGTTCACACGAAGGAACACGTTATCTTATCTTTTCACTCCAAATACAATTACACCTGAAAGAGCAGCCTAGCTAGCTACACAACGCGAACCAAGGAACTACTAAAACCGAAAACATTCCATGTCGGTGCACAACCGAAGACAAAAGGCCAAGATGAAGTAATTTATGCAGCACTGTCAGCTGGCAAAACAGCAGAGGCGTAGCCACCGCACACGCGCTGTTGTACGGCACGAAAGCTAGCCATGATACTATGCAATACAAATGTATGACCATGCACAGCAACAAGCAACAACACACAGCTAAGAAGTATATGCATGTAATACATGAACGGCCAGTTGGAAATAGTTATGACGCCACTTTGTAGATCGCCCCCATGAATAGAAAACCACAAGAGAGACAGGGAAGACTACAGCCTACAGTGTAGCTCAGGCCTGATACATGAAACACTATTGCAGTATTGGCACAAGACAGAGAAAGGACTGCTCCAGCTATCAATAATAAAAGGAACCATTACTTCTAGTCTTAGTGATGCCATGCCAGAGAAATATTACGTACTACCGTCTGAACATCCTCCCCCTCGCAATATGCACCCAGATGTTGCATGATGCCTATCCTTACAACTACCAGTACCAAGCTAAGAGAAAAGTGAATCGAAAGGGCAAGTTCAGTGGTAGGAAGCTACAAAAAAAACAAAAACAATGCATGAATCATTAATGGGGGTCGTCACTGAGCAGTACCTCCATTCTGGCATGTAGGGAGAGCCGTCTAACATTCCAGTGGACAGACTCGAGTGATGGATCTCTTCAGAGTCTTCCCGCCCACTTGCATGGCCACCACACGCACATGTCCGTCCGGACCAGGGAAAACTTCCGTGACTCTGCCGAGCGGCCAACGCCCTCGCGGGGAGCTTGAATCCATCACCAGGACAACGTCGTCAACGGCCAGATCGCGTCGCTGGTGTCGCCACTTCATCCGCTGATTCAACCGTGGGACAAACTCTTTCAGCCAGCGATGCCAGAAATGGTCGATGAGCATTTGAACATATCTCCAACGTCTCTGCAGTTGACACCCCTTCTCGTCCGTTGTTGCAATAACCAGCTGGCCCTCGGCCATGCCATGAAGGAAATGGTTCGGAGTTAGCGGCCCTGGATCCTTCGGACTAGCCGATTGGTAGGTGATGGGCCTGGAGTTGACGAGGGACTCTGCTCCGCTGAGAGCGGTGACCAACTCCTCGTCCGTCACAGATGCGTCTCCAAGGATGGCGTGTAGAGCTCGTTTGGCGGCTCGAATCATTGCCTCGTGAACTCCCCCGAAATGAGGAGCTAATGGCGGGTTGAAACTCCATTTCACGCGTCTGCAGGCCATGGCTTTCCGGACGGTGGTATTGTTCAGTTGGCCAACAAGCTCACGTAGCTGGCGGTCGGCATTCACGAAGTTGCCTCCATTGTCCGACAGAACCTCCATTGGACAACCTCGTCGGTTGGCCATCCGGTTAAAGGCGTTCAGGAAAGAATTTGCATCCAATGCGTACGCCATCTCCAAATGGACCGCACGAGTCAGCAAACACGTGAAGAGGCACAGATAGCGTTTGTGGCGAGTCTTTCCTCTCCCCTGCATAGTTTCGAACGGCCCTCCGTAGTCAACGGCTACCCTGCTGAAGGCTCTCAGTGGCTCACACAATCGCTTTGCTGGCAACGGGGCCATGATTTGCTCTCCCGCACGGGCTTTTAGTCGTCGACACACCATGCAGTCTTTCTCCCAGTCACGGATCTCCTCCCGTGCTGCTTCGACAAGATAGTGATCAGAGAGAGCTGCCAACGTTTCATTCGTCCCGCCATGATGACGTTGCTCATGGCAATCTTTGACAATAAGCCGGGTGGTCGGATGTTTCCGGGGGAGAAGAATCGGGAAGCGCACATCAAACGGCAACCAGTCAGCCAGCTTGGTGCGACCATCGCAGCGCAATAGTCCGTCGTCGTCCAGTCGAGGCGATAACCTCGCCAAACGTGACTTCAGCGGAAGTGGTTGACCATTCTTCACTAGCTTCAAATCCTCCGCGAATGCCTCGTGCTGTGCCTCTTTGATGATGGAAAGGCTGGCAGCGTCCATCTCCTCGCCGGTTAGCTCTCCGCTCAACTCCTCACCTCCACGGCAGTTGGTGATGAAGCGAATTGCCCAAGCCCGTACTCTGACTACGCGCGTCCAGTCTGAGAAGCGCCGAGAGCACAAGCTGGGTACTTTCTCGGACATAAATGACATCACCTCGGGCTGTGCAGCCTTGCGAGCTTCCGCTCGAGCAGCTGGGTCTTGGCCACCCACGATCTTGGCTGGCCATTCAGATTCTTCTTTCTGCAGGAAGGCCGGTCCTTGCCACCACAGCTCAGTTGCAATCAGTTGCTCTACCCCAGCTCCCCGTGACGCCAAGTCAGCTGGGTTGTCGCTGGAGGGAACGTACCGCCATTGACTGGGCGACGTAACAGTCTGGATGTGGCTGATGCGATTCGCCACAAACGGTTTGAAACGTCGGCTGTAGCTGCGAATCCAGAGCAGCACAGTTGCACTGTCGCTCCAGAAAATCACCTCTGACATGGCAATGGTCATGATCTGACTGAACTTCCGGACCAGCTGAAGGCCAAGCACAGCCGCCAGCAATTCCAGCCGGGGAATACTTTGTGTTCTTGTCGGCGCCACTCTGCTCTTGGCTCCAGCGAGACGAACGTTTCCCTCAGAGCCATGCTGCACGGTGGAGCTGTAGACCACGGCACCATACGCCACACTCGACGCATCACAGAAAACATGCAGCGTCACTCCACTGGCCACGTCCGGGATGAGACATCTTGGTACTCGAACTAAACTGAGCTTCGCCAGGTCATTGAACCACTGGCGAGCGCTGGTGTCGATGCCATCTGGAACCGGTTCATCCCAGTCAATACCAGCTACCCAACTCTCTTGCATGAGGATCTTGGCTTGGGTCACGAACGGTGCCAGAAACCCCAACGGGTCGAATACGGACGCGACTTTTGCTAGGAGGAATCGCTTGGTGATGCGTTGGTTGGTGAGGTCTGGCGGTTGAACGCTGAAGAAGAAGCAGTCTGCCTGACCGTCCCATGACACTCCTAGCGTCTTCACGGATGGTAGCTCTCCTTGGGATAAGTCCAGCTGGGTAGCGCGAGCCTCGGCTGGAATTACCTTCAGGAGCTCGGGCGAGTTGGACACCCACTTGCGCGGCGTCATCTTGGCCTCACCCCACAGATCCATTAGCTCCCGATGAAGAATCTGACCTTGTTCGACATCTTTGGTGCTGTCCATCGTGTCATCCATGTAGGTGGACGCGAGGATAGCTTCTGCTGCCAGGGGATGCGACGCCAAATGTTCCCGGGCTGTCTGCTGAGCAACGTACTGGGCGATGAATGGTGCAGCATTGACGCCAAAGACCAGGCGGTTGAACTCAAAGTGCCGTAAAGGCTTGGCTGGATCCAGGTCCCGCCACACGAATCTGAGGTACTTCCTGTCTGCTGGCGCAACCGACACCTGCAAATACATTTCGGTCACGTCACAGCCCACTGCTATAGGCTTTTGCCGAAACCTGGTCAACACATCGAACAACTCACGTTGGAGCTTCGGACCAGGGTAGATGGCGTCGTTGAGGCTGAGGCCATGACAGGATGCTGCAGCGTCAAAGACGATCCGCACCTTGGTTGTCGTCTTCTGCGGTCGGACGATGGGAAAGTGGGATAAGTACCAGCATACCTCTTGACCTAGCTCTTCCTTCGCGAGCTCCCGGATATAGCCGTTCCTCTGGTAGGCCTGGAAGACTTGGCCATAAGCCTGGGCAACGAATGGGTCTTTCAGGAGCTTGCGCTCGGTGTGGCCTAGACGTTTCGTAGCCGCACCCAAGTTGTTGCATAATTCTCTCTTGCGATTGTTCCACGGCAGAGACACCTGGTACCGACCGTCCACCTTCTTCAGCGAGTGTTTGACGATGTCTAGGGCTGTCTCTTCCTCCAGCGAGCGCGGGCCGGGCTCACTGAAGCTCTCCTCCGTGCCGCAGCTGTCAATTTGCCAGAACTGCTGTAGCGCGGTCTCTAAGCCGGTTGGTGTTGCTCTCTCCTCACTCTGAAACGCTTGGCTGTGGAACGTCCTTGGACTCGAGTGGGTTCCCGTCACTCTGCCAACACAGGTCCAACCCAGTGGAGTATGACGCGCCACTGGTTGACCAGGCGGGCCGACCACTTCCTGCTGTGACACAAGCAGCTCAGCATAGTCGCTCCCAATCAGCAGATCGACCCTGGCGGGCTCCGCCAGTCTTGCGAACGGAATCTCTCTCAGATGAGGATACTTGACTGCTTCCTTGACCCACTCTACCGGACGAAGATTCCCGGTGACCGAATCAGCCGTCAGCGCCGTCATAGATTGCCGAACACTGCCATCCATGCTGCCAATGGTGAAGCTTACTGGTCTGGTTGTGAATGAGGTCTGCTTGCCATTCAAGGTGTGGACTGTGAATGTCCTCAGCTCCCCGCTGACGCCGAGCTGGTTGGCAATGCTGCCGTTGAGGTAGCTCGTTGTGCTACCGTCGTCCAGCAACGCATTCACTTGCACTGACTTGTGGCCGTTCTCCAAGACGACTGAGACCGTTCGCAGAGCTATCTTGCTCGGGCCTTGGACCATCATGGTGGAATCACTCTTCGTGGACTCCGTCTCCCCCTCGGTGAACGACTGTGGGGTGCGCTGCTCTTGGTCTTTACCGGCGTATGGCGGCGTTACTAAACAGTCGATGGCGGGAGGCAATAACTGGTCCCCTGTCTCCTGACCTGAACCATTGTCTCCATAGTTGCAGAATTGTTCGGCAGGACTGAGTTGGGACTTGTCCGCCGTCATTCCTCCAGCTGCCGTGTTCCCCGATTTTTTCTTGTTTGACTGTGCGGCATCGGGGTTCCTGCTGTCCTCGTGTAGCAAGTCCCGGTGTAGCAATAAGTGGTGATTGTTGTTGCAGCCGCTCACTGAGCAGGGTCTGGTTCGTGGACAGTGGTGACCTTGGTGATCGCCTCCAAGGCAGCGGTAGCACAGACCATGCTGTTTAGCCTGTCTCCAGCGATTGGCGACGGAAAGCTGCTGAAATGCTTTACACTGCCAGACACCGTGAGGTCCGCCACATTGCCGACATGAAGATCGTCCAGCCGCTGAGCCCGCAGGCCTTGACCACCCTGCATTCTGCGAAGCCTTTCCCCCGAAGTAGGATCGTTGAGGAGCATTTCGGGGTGCCGGAGGCTTGTCCTTCGCACCAACTCCATCTAGTGCTTCGGACGCTCCAACGGCAAACTCCGCTTCCAACGTCACCCACTCCTGGCAATGCTGAAAAGGCACCAATGCCCATGGCCTGATGACTTGAGGCTACCTGTGGTGGCCCACTGGCCTGGGTGTACAGATAGTTGGCGGACTGATATGGCAGAGATGATGTAGGGTGTAGTCCTGACACAGGAGCCTGAGTACTACTGCTCTGCTGGCCTGGACTCTTCGCGACTTGAAGTTGAGGGGCCTTGGTCTCACTCACTCTAGTATATGCACTGGACACACATACAGCACTCCGTGTTGGCACAGCAGGCTGTAGTACAGGCAAGGCAGGGCTTCTTTCACGCTCTGACCTCCTACTCCCAGCTTCCATTGGTGGCCTTGTTCTAGCCCCAAGCTCTGTCTCTCTGTTACTACTGCCGGAGACACTTGTGGTCACAACCACTTCATCACTGTCTTCTACTCTTGCCTGGTTCTCCTGAACCAGCGCCGCGCCATCACCAGGCTCATCCCGATCCTGGGAGCCTTCACTTCTGCCCAGCGATATCACACTCAGTGGACTTCCTGGCTCTTCCACTGGTGCCTGGGCATACTGATGATACGCTGGCCTGTCTGGGTGGCTGTTCCGTGCAGCCGTCCACGCTGGCTGGTGTTCTAGGAACTCCTGATACAGCCTTGTGACCTCCTTCATCTCTTTCTCCGCTTCCTCCATCTCATCGGTCACTTTAGCCACTGCGAGCGCATCGTTCATGCCGCCAGCCCACTCGAGTACGTCCATGAACACACCGTTCAGGGCATCCTCGATCATTTCTAATTCGCCAAACAACGACCTCGCAGCTTCCTCTTCAACTCCGTCACGCAAGGCCACGATCACGGCTCTGCGACACCTGGTGAACTTTCTCTTGCGATTCGCTTTTTCAGCTTTCATTTTCACGAACATCAGTTCATTCGATCGCTGGTCACTTTGACCATGTTCGTCCTCTTCGACTTCCTCGTCCTCCTCGATCACGTCGCCTGCCCTCTCTGCCATGGCACCTAAAAAGAGCTCAGTTCTCTGACTGCTAGCCCTGATTGTGCTCTCACTCTCAGGCTCCGGCGACGACATGATCTTAATAATTTAAATTTCCGAAACTGAACTGCTCACTCAGGCGATAACCATCCTCTGCTACCAGAATGTTCACACGAAGGAACACGTTATCTTATCTTTTCACTCCAAATACAATTACACCTGAAAGAGCAGCCTAGCTAGCTACACAACGCGAACCAAGGAACTACTAAAACCGAAAACATTCCATGTCGGTGCACAACCGAAGACAAAAGGCCAAGATGAAGTAATTTATGCAGCACTGTCAGCTGGCAAAACAGCAGAGGCGTAGCCACCGCACACGCGCTGTTGTACGGCACGAAAGCTAGCCATGATACTATGCAATACAAATGTATGACCATGCACAGCAACAAGCAACAACACACAGCTAAGAAGTATATGCATGTAATACATGAACGGCCAGTTGGAAATAGTTATGACGCCACTTTGTAGATCGCCCCCATGAATAGAAAACCACAAGAGAGACAGGGAAGACTACAGCCTACAGTGTAGCTCAGGCCTGATACATGAAACACTATTGCAGTATTGGCACAAGACAGAGAAAGGACTGCTCCAGCTATCAATAATAAAAGGAACCATTACTTCTAGTCTTAGTGATGCCATGCCAGAGAAATATTACGTACTACCGTCTGAACAATAGATACATGGTTGAAATCCTGCTTTGGCTGCAACTCTCTGGTGCTCACTTTGCACTGCTTACATCATGCTTGCCAGCGTAGCCTATTGAACAATGTCACGCCATGTGAACCCCACCTTGTACCAATGTCAGATACTAGGCGAAGTTGCTATTTGGGATTGTCAACAGAGCTTTTCAGTTCATGAAACTCTGAGTTATCAATCAAACTGCTTGTCTGTACCTTACTACATCTGTGTTTGTGCTCGCATGTGTGTGTTGCGTGTGCACGTGTTCGCAGGTCACGACTTCCCGCACGTGGAGCAGTGTGCAGTGGAGACGCAGGTAAAGCTCCTAGTGGAGCAGGCTGCCTCACACCAGAATCTCTGCCAATGTTACATAGGCTGGTAAGTCCGAACACGACTAACCGTAGGGTTTGAAAAGAGAAGAACTGGCTCAACAACCGATTTTTGTGTTTTGTTTTTGTTTGGAAAACGACACAGAAAACTCTACTACGCATGCTATCCTCAAAGCAAAATTTGGTTTAGATTATTGAATTTGCAGCAGAGACCACTTGCTGGTGTGTGTAGGGTTTTCTGTGTTATGAAGTGGCTGCAGTGGAGCTTGCACACCTTGAGAAATATTTTGGAAAACAACACAGAGGCAAAGACCTAGCGTAGGGGTTTGCTCTTCAAGTGAAAATAGCAGCTATCACAATGCAGCGCCCTCACCCGAAGCAGAGGCATAGCATGATTGTTCATTGTTTCAACATTACTGTCCCTTCCTCAGCTCCAATGCATAGTGTGTTTGTGTGCAGATGGCTACCTCTCTCCTCTTGTATAATTATAATAGGTTTGTTCAATGTCCTAAGGCCTCCTTCTTTTTTTTCTGCATGCTTGCACGAAAATGCCGTCATGCATCTTAGTCAGACGAGAAGGCAGAACTGCCAGCGTATCTGGTGAAGTAAAATAGAAACAAGCAAACAAACATCTCCACATGCCCATGCTAGGGTAGACGCCGCGGAGAGAAGGTTGATGGCAGTGCTCTGGCGATGGGCCTGAGGACGCGCCCTTCATCTTGCTCATGCATGCACGCAATGATGCTTTTGCAGAGCATTGTCAGCATTGTCACTCTGCGTGTTGTGTTGACATGTGTGAGATGTTTTTTCTTTGGTTTTTCTTCTCACCTCCAGGTGTCCCTTCTGGTAGAATCACAGGCGTCTAGTCAGAGGCACAGTATCTGGTGCCCTTGTTGTCCATGTAGATGTGTGTAGGGACCTCCAAAGCAGGGCAACACTAGGAATATGGCCGCTGGGTGCGGTGAGTGTGCCTTTGCTAACTTTTTGTTCACGTGATCTGGCAAGGTTTCGCGCCGGCACGACGTATATTTTTCTTTTCCTCTACTCGTTTTCTTTATCCGCGTTTTGTTTACTCTTTCATTGCTAACGGCTGCTGCGGGCCACTTTCCAGCAGATAAAATTTAAAACACTGGATTTATTGCCGGATTTTTCTTCAGGTATTGATCGACCGCTTCATTAGTACGCTGACAACTCATCCCTGAGTTTAGCTTGATGTCCAACATGTAATATATGTATGCTACCCTCACTATTGCTGTATATTCCCATGCAAGTTGCCCCGTCGCATTGCTGTGGTTCCGAGGCTCTTTTCTTACCCATGTCCCTGTGATCACCAGCCGGCTGGTGATTGTTGTGTTTGAGTTTCTCAGTGTTGGAGTTGTAGCAGCAGTTTTTTTCCTTTCTTCTATTTCTTTTTCTTGCTGCTGCTGCTTCTGTCGCTACTGCTGTTGATATTGTCGTTGTCGTCGCTGTTGCTGTTGTTGCTTCTCGTTTTGTTTTTACCTGCTGGCTCTGTTTATATGTACATATTATACTGGTGTTATCGTCCGCTGTATATCTTGTCTCTACTCATCTACACGGTTCTTCTTCTTTTCTGCCCGGTTTTTCCTGACTTGTCGCTTGAGTTGAGCCTGTTTTTTTCAGGTTTGTTTCGTCATTTCTCTCCGATTATGATATCCTTAATTACCCCGCTCTCCTGTGTTTTTTTGTCTATTTATGTGTTTGGCTCGTGTCCTACCACCACTACCCATCAACTCAACGAGTGAGTTCTTCTCTACTCGGCATCCCTTTGCCCTTTCCGTGCTGGTTTGGTGTTTTCATCTCCGCTTTCGTTTGATTGTAACGGCTGGTCATGTAGGGTTTTTACAATCGTATCATCTCTTTCGTCTATTTCAGTAGTGTCAATGTTGCCGTCCGAAATCTTTTAACAGTATTATAACCGCTGTGCGTTGGTGTTCGTAAGCACTGCATGAGTGCCATTGCTGAACTGTTTTTCTCCTTTTAAACTGTTTGTGTGTTGTGGTTTCGTGTCCAGGGTAGCGGGTGTGCTCCATGATGCCAGCGCGTGTACGTGTCGACTTGCGATCACCATACTTGCAGGGTGATCACTGCGCTGTGCTGCCGCCTCCATCCCTTGTCCCTTGTACAAATGGGCCCTGGGCAGGGATTTTGGGGACTCGATAATTTTTCCGCAAGAGCATATTAGAAAGGGCAGGCGAATTATTTGTGGACACACATGCCGTGCCATATAACAACAAGAAAGTTAGTGTAGATAGGGTGCGGTTTGAAATTTTTGTGCTCCGAGGATTAGCCTCGAGGTGCATCCTTCTCCAGAACTACCCCTCCCCATTACTGCCTAGAACCAAGAGTTCATAACCCCCATGAACTCTTGCTAGAACCAAGTACTCTTGCTAGGGAGGGAGGGAGGGAGGGAGAGAGAGAGAGAGAGAGAGAGAGAGAGAGAGAGAGAGAGAGAAGTTGCTTCGCCTGCAGTTCAAAATACTGGCATCATTCTTTCTTTCTTCAGTGGAGAGTAGCTACAGGGGGATCGATCTCTAGCCGCGCCGGCGAGGGGGTCGGATTTCAGTTGCCAGCAAGTCAGTTCAAGCAAGGATATGATTGGCGATATTATCTTCCAATCTGTTGACTCAAATCAAGATCGCCACAGCCTTTCGTTCTCGCTCACGTGCGCAGCAGAGATGTTCGTCAAAAACGTTGTCGACTGGAAGATGTAAGAATGTGCTTCCACAATCCACTTGCGCTGCTCCCGCCACGAATCAAGGATGCGGGGCTTCGCTTTTCTTCCGCGTGTTTACATCGAAGCAAGGTCCATAACTCTTGATTGAAATCATGTGGAACATTGCCAATACATTCTGGAACTTCGTCATAAGAACAGCAAGAAAGATACGTCGAATGTAAGCAGTGTTTTGATGAGCCGACGTGCCTGGAGTGAAGTCACCTGTTATAGACTGTAGCCTGGTCGGCTAGGCCTATCTTACTTTTAGTTTTACGTGTCATAATGTCAAACATGTACATGTATGTGTACATTGACTTTGGCACCCTCTTTGCAAAACTGCTTTTACGCAAAAGGTACACAAAAGGAAGTAAATAGGGCTGTTTTTGTTGTTAGTCAGAGTTTCATGGCAAAAACCAATCGTCAGACAACGAAACTGCTTTTATGTAAAAGGTAACCCGCTTTATCCTGCTACCAGTTATACCAACATTTCCACTTAACATTGACCCCTCCCTCAATTCCTCACTGCTCCTTTATTTCTGTCCTTTCTACCCCTGGACCTGTTTTCCTCTCCGACGCGTTTGTGCGGGCATGATAGCGGTTGGAGAAGCCCAAAATCTCATCAGCACCAGTGCCTATTGGTGCCCTGCACCCCTGTCTCCTCCTCCCTAGCCCTCGCCGTGACCTCCGGTAGGATGTTCGGTGGATGCGCATGTGCACAAATACATACAGTGTGTCTCCAGATAAAAAATTACCAACTCTGCCCCCCCCCCAGCCCTGTCAAGACTCGGTGCACGCCACTGGCGTGGTATTGATTGCCAGTCAAAAGCAGGGAGTAGATGTATTTTACTACTCCCTGGTCGAAAGTGACCGCGGAGTGCGTCTGTCAGCGTGAGGGCTGTATGTGTAATGTGTCCCCTTGGGCCATCCCAGGCCAAGTAATTGCGCTGCTGGGGTTGGGGCCCAGCGCTAGCGAGGCTCAAAGCGAGGCTCTGCTGGAGAAGTAATAGTTACCTGACAGACTTTTCTAGTCATCGACGTCTTCCAGCCAAGGCCAATTGATGGTTTGAACCCGTGCTGATCTCCGCTATGCCATAGTCGCGGGAACAATTCTTTCCGAGGGCGTCCTTCGCCATCGCGTTCACCGAATGTTGGGACTGATCCTGTACCAGTGCAGTGCAGTGTTGTAACCAACAGTTACTTACTGATTCGTGACTCTCTGACTCTGTCTGACTGATTGAAATAGGAAGGAGTAGTGCTAGTGGCGTAGCAAGAGACTTTATCGGGCACGGAGGTGAGCATCAGGGTACATGTAGCACGTATGAAGGTTTGAATTGCCGCACAATACACTTGAAGCCTGAAACAGTGAAAGGACTTTTTAATAGGTATGTGTAATGCAACATGTGAGTCAGTGACCGTTTAGTTACGATTGAACTAGCTGCTTATACGCAACGCACTCTGTCTCATTAGTAACGTAAATTTAGTTACCACACACTGTGACACAACAGCTTCCAAAGAGCAAGGCCTGCCAAGGCCAAGGCAAGGGAGCATCCGCTGGTCGAAAGTGAAGGCCGAGTCCCTGTGATGACACTCATCATAAGACAGTACATGATGTAGTATTTTTTTCCCGGACATCCAGTCTTTCACCTTGACCTCCATGAGGGTGTACTCTGGCTACAAAGACTAGTACAATGCATGATATGAGGAGAAGATGTACGCCATTCATCATGTTTTTGGTTGATGCACCCGTAGATCGATCTACGTGGCTGTACGAGTGATTTACACCCAAACCCAAAACAGCGACCAACGCATATGGCCGATTGGTTTGCAGGCCTGCCTGCGAATCATGAGGTCCCGAGTTCGAGACCCGCGCTGGTAGCAGGGAGCGTGCAAAGACTTTTTACGTGAGTAAAGACTTTTTATGCGTGGTGAACTGCGCCGACACCCACGGTCAACTGGGTACTCACAGCTCGGAGTGAGGGTAACAAGGATGCAGTTTACAGGGTTATGGGCCGTTACACGCCCGATTGGTTGAGAGACTCACCTACTCTCCCCTGACTCACTTGTGAGGTCTGCATTCGCCACTCAGGTGTGCAAGGCATAGGCATAGTGGTGGCCTGCGGAAGCGAAGGCTAGTTTGTGTGTTTCTGAACATTCAAGCGATGCCAACGCGAATCCCGCGAATTATTATTATTAGTACAGCGCGACCTAATGTGACACGGTGTCACTACAGCTCGTCTCATCCCTTGCACGCCCCATTTTGGCGCGACCAATTACGTTAACGTCCGAATATAAGCCAGCTCATTACACACGTGACCCATAATGTGCAGGCTCATGTTAGCAAGAGTGTATAACCAGTTTTATGTACTCTTGATGTTAGTACAGTATTACCATGGTGGATATCACTCAGGAGCAAACCCGTTCCTAAAAAAGATATGCAAAAAAGAGAAGAAACACATGAGAACGAGTTGTGCAGCAACTATCCACGACAGTAACAAGATGATAAACAGTCAGAAAGTGACTGTGCGATAATAGGGCACGAAACGGACAGGCCACTGAGACATTCAGCGGCCCGAGACCTAGCTCTAACACATCTCCAGTGCGCAAACCAACCTTCCAACTTGGAAGGTTCGTGGTTACGTAGGACCGAAGAAGGGAAGATGAGCGAAGCGAAAATTCTGAATATTTACCTTGTTACAGTCGTGGATAGTTGCTGCATAACTCGTTCTTATGTGTTTATTCTCTTTTTTACATTAATTTTATTACTGGCTCAGTATCCGAGTTTAAGAAAGATGTAATAATAATCTGAGGTCGGCCGAGGGATTATATCGGTTGAGCACCTGCTGGAGAGGAAGTCTAGGTACCTCCAGGTGCACTCTGACCTGCCGCTGATTGCTGCTCTGCATTCTCATCCCGAAAATCTCCCACCTACAAAGTCGATCATCTCCCGGGCAGCCACGGCTATGGAGCATTTCAACATCCCGGACATCGGAGGTGAAACAACTGATGTTGTTTAAGTCTGCTATAGTAACCACCACCCAAGGTTCTCTGCGGCAGAAGCCCCTGCATGGTCGCTATTGGCAGCCCAGTGACGGTGTATTGGACATGCCTCTCTCCTTCTTAAAGTCTGCCCCATTGCGTCCATCTGCTAAGTCATCTGTATTTGCTGCTCAGGATCAGGTGGTTAATACCAGGAACTACCAGAGGTCAGTCATTGGCGACACTTCCGTGGTTGACGGAACTACCAGAGGTCAGTCATTGGCGACACTTCCGTGGTTGACGTGTGCAGTTTGTGCGGAGGTCCGGGGGGAGACTGTTGACCATATTCTGGCATGTTGCCCCGTGTTGGCACGGACAGCGAGTTTGTTTCGGGGCCAGCAGAAGCACAATCACCTCTTGCAGCTGCGGTGACTTGTTAACGTCCAAGCCATTTCGTGACTCTGCCCACAATTTGTTCATGGATTCGCTCCAGGCAATATCGCCATTTAACGTCTTTTCTTTTCTCTATTCTCTTTACCAGGCGTGGGCCATCCCCTGGACTATCAAAAACTATCAAAATGGGTGCCTTATTATCTTTCTGCTTCTGTTTCAGTCCATCACAGATTACCATTTTCGGAAAACCAAAATATGTAATACTGAACTAGCGTTTTTTGAGACGATCATTGCTTTTTTTGAGTTGATCATTGCTTTCTAGAGTTGATTACAACCTACTAGTATTTATATCTGGACTTGGTAACGTCCAAGCCATCTCGTGACTGCCCACAATTTGTTCATGGATTCGCTCCAGGCAATATCGCCATTTAATACTGAACTGGTGTTTTTGAGTCGATAATTGCTTTTTTTTAGTTCATCATTGCTTTCTAGAGTTGATTATAAATTGAGTCCAGGCAATATCGCCCTTCAATACTGAACTGGCCATTTCGAGTTGATCATGATTTGAGTCTTTGACAAGTCGAGTGTCCTTCTTTTGGGTTTGAGTGTAAATGAGTCGACCTGTATTGAGCGTGCGCGCTGACGGGGTGGTCTGTTTTGGGGATGTCCAGTTCTGGGTATGGGGCTTTTGGGGGGCGCTGAAGTCAACGGCGCTGTTTTGGGTCGCGCTCATGTGGGGGCATACCGTACGAGTACCGTGTTGAAGCACCCGGCCGTGTTGATGGTGTCTGTCAAGTGTCAGTCTGTCAAAATCATCGCGGCAACTACTTACATGACTTGTACGTAGTCTTGTAGTGTCTGCGCTGACTGTTGACTGTTGTCAGTGTTGACTGATGACTGTTGCCCAGTGTTGGGAAGTGTTGATGCAGCGAGCGCGGCCGGCCCAGTGCCTGTGGCGCATGGATCATTGGATGCACTGATCTGCTGAGATGATACAGTGCATTGTCATAGCTGATTTGCCCTGCAAAAATACCGAGAGATAGGATAATCTGATCGGAAGATAAGGCTATGCGCTAGGTCATCAGTACAGACTCAGTGCTAGTGGTCATACTCATAGAAGAAGAGATTTTTGCAGTAGGTCATAATTATTGCAGTGGTTCGCAAACCAGGATCAGTTTGCAAAGTAACGTTACATAATCATTAGTTAGTTACACATGCAGAGGACTTACAGCGGCAGCGTGAAGTTGCTGGTAGTTGTTGCGTGCGATCTCGCGCTGGAGTCTTGTGCTCTTTCTTTGCGCCCTCGGTGACGATGGATGAACACAGTCCAACTGCAGCTGGCACTGCTGCTGCTGCTGTCCAGACCGTGGACCAAACAAGGGCTGTCGCGCAATGTTGCCCCACCAGCAGCCTTTCGTCGCGGCTGTGCGTAGCAGTCGCTCCTTCCCCAGCTGCTACTCCGCCGAGCAAGCCTCAAAGTTTAGCAGCGTCCACGGCAGCAACAGTTACCTCGCAGGAAAGCGAGGTAAGAAAATAAAAGTGATAAGGAATAAGAAATAAACACAGAAATAATCGAGCTGTCAGGACCATTATTATCAACAACCAGGGAGTCGCACACACGCTTGTGCGACTCCCTGGTTATGTAGGACAACTGCATTTTGCTCATCTGATATTGGCACAGTACACTGTGGAATACTATAGCTGTGGCTCAGTCTTAGCACCTGACGATGATATGGACGAGAAAAACTTTAGAAGCTTAATGAATGAACTCCAAGAAGTCTTCAATTTTCTTTCGAGATGCTCTAGATTAGAAAACAAGCCGCTTCAATATTCACCTTCCAGGAGGAAGCTGTGGCATCAAGAGAGATGGTGTGGGGAGGGGAAAGCGAGACAATAGAGAGGTTAAGATGCACATTATTTCTGACCTGACGCGAAAGTTCCGCTCGCGTTATTTGGCTCGCGCGTCTAAAAACAATGCGAGTGACCTGCAGCTCGCGTGGAAATTTGGAGTTTTACGCCAAATTTGACGTGAAATTGCACCCGTCAGAAATAACGTGGATCTTAAAGGGGAAGTTAAGGCTAAAATCAAAATTTCACCAGTTGTAGTCTTCGGGGTGCTGAGTCGAATGGTCGTGGTCCGAGGAAGCTGAGACGCTCCCTCCCTACTTTAATCCCAATCGAACTCGCGCACTTCCACCGAAACTGGGTGACTGCGCCCTACTAGATGGGGATTTGTATGCAAAATGTCACTAAAAGCGCCATTTCGTTCTTATAAAAGCACGGATGACCGCGATTGGCCCATATGTTGTAGTCTTTTGGACGCTGAGTCGACTGGTTTTGGTCCAAAAAGGCTGCAATGCAGCGTTCCTCCTTTATTCCCAATCGAACATGGTTGAACAAGCGGTCACGTGCTCCTGCGTAGACCAGTCACCTGGTCACCGTGCCTGCAGGGTACAACTTACTAGCCTGTTTGACCTTTTTTGGGTGCAGTCCTGTCACTCGAGTTGAACTCGAGTTGAACCTTGGTGTGAAACTCGCCTGCTGGCATGGTGGCCAGGTGATTTGGGCACCCAGGAGCACGTGACCGCTTGTTCAACCATGTTCGATTGGGAATAAAGGAGGAACGCTGCATTGCAGCCTTTTCGGACTAAAACCAGTCGACTCAGCGTCCAAAAGACTACAACATATGGGCCAATCGCGGTCATCCATGCTTTTATAAGAACGAAATGGCGCTTTTAGTGACATTCTGCATACAAATCCCCATCTAGTAGGGCGCAGTCGCCCAGTTTCGGTGGAAGTGCGCGAGTTCGATTGGGATTCAAGTAGGAAGGGAGCGTCTCAGTTTTCTCGGACCAAGACCATTCGACTCAGCACCCCGAAGACTGCAACTGGTGAAATTTTGATTTAGCCTTAACTTCCCCTTTAACCTCTCTATTGTGGGCTTCGCACCGTGGACTGCCTGTTCCATTCGCCCTCAGTCAGGCAGGCTAGAGTTATGCACACTCACATGATACAGTGTCGCCATGCTTAGGACCAGCAGGCTGTAGGGGCAATCTTGAGCTGCATCGATCGATCGCGACGCACTTCGGAAATTCGAATACTGGGTCGCAAAACGCAGCTTTTCAGACACTATGGTCTTGTGCCATGTCCCTACATATATGCTATGACTTCCCACCATGCAGATATCGATCTACCCCCGGGCCTCCATTCAAACCACTGTAAGTCTACAAATTTGCGGCCCATGGCATTCAAATTTCCGCCTCCCAAGGCTAAAACCCATTTTGGCCACATCAAAATTTCGGCCTGTACTGCTGCGGCCTGTATACACTGTCACGCTGAACCATGCAAAGCAAAATTTTGGCCGCAACAAATTTTCAGCCAAACATGACCAGGCCGAAAATAGCCAAAAATAAATATGCGCCGAATATTTGTGGACTTACAGTACCAACATTGAGTACAATCAACTTCGCTAATAACGACTGCGGATATAACGACAGAATTTCCATGCCCAGAGCAAAGTCCCATCCCACTGTAATACATTAAATGAGACTTCGGGTATAACGACACTTCGCGAATAAGGACACCTTTTTGATGCCCCGCCGAGTGTCGTTATAAGCAGAGTTGACTGTACATGGATCAATAAAGGAAGGATCAAATGTTGTGAGTTATGACCTACTGTCCACTAAAGTAACTTGATCATAATTATACAGTCAGCAAGTGCGACAATAAGGCACAAAACTGACAGGGACATCAGCTCACTATCCGAGTTTGAATACTGAATGCCTTCGATTTTATTGTGTTGCTGCTCCGCAGGAGGCAGCGCTCTCGTCGACGCAGTTCCCGGAGGTGGTTGAGCTGAATGTCGGCGGTCACTTCTTCACGACGCGTCTGTCCACGTTGCGCAAGGACGCCGACAGCATGCTGGCGGCCATGTTCAGTGGACGTCACCGCGTCGATCGCGACTCGGGCGGTCGATACTTCATCGACCGCGACGGCGGCGAGTGCTTTGCGCCGATTCTCAACTACCTGCGGCATGGCGAACTGCCGCGCGTCGAGAGGGCCCTGGACGTGTACCGTGAAGCGCTCTACTACAACCTCAGCGGGCTGATCAGCTGGTGCGAAACGCAGCCGAACGTCATCGCCGAAATGATGTTCAAGCATGCGCGTGAGTGGCTTGGCCCGGCGTATGAGGGTTTCAAGAACAAGCTGCTGGAGTCGGCCCGTAAGCGCTTCACCACCAGTCCGGAGGCGTTTCTCGACGACAAAACCGGCTACTTTGACCTGACGTTCGCCTTCACACGGCCCGACAGGCTCCGGCCCAGGACGAGCGACGACTATCGCCAGGACGCATCGGCGTGCACCAATCATGTGTTTGGACAGGAGCCCGCGACGCTCAAGTACGACGCCGTTCTGCCGCCCGGCCTGGACTTTGACATGACGCTGAACTTCCTGCGGCGTGACTTCCACGAGGCCGGCCTGACCACCGAGTGGTCACCGGTCTATAGCGATAAGAAGAGCACGTGCACCCTGTGCCACATGCGCATCTATTTTGTCTACTTCCGCGTCGTCCTCTGGCACTGGGTTACTGCACCACTGGCTTCCCCGGCTGCAACATCCGTATGACGACAAGCTAGCCCCCGACGGCATCAGCAGCATGTGTCCGCGTCGTGACGACGAGCAAGCTGAGAAGGCGACGAACTCAAGGCAAGGCAACAGCCGTAGCTGCATGGTGCACACACGATCAGACTGTGCTCGCGTGCAATCGAGTTGTCATGCATGTATAGCACGGTGGCGTATTCAGTTACTGGTACATTGCAGTACGCGGCCAGTGTTTCATCATGCTCTTCAAACTGACGTTACTCTCCTCTCCCCCCCCCCCCCCCCCCCCCCCCACACACACACACACTGTGACACGTACAAGTCACAGGCTTGCCACATCTGCTGCAAAGGTACGTCAACCTATTTCGAGTATGCCTGTTCAAAGTTACGGTATATTTTTGCTGGAACTAGCTGAACTAGCTGTTTCCATTGCTTTCACTTTACTATAATATTCTATGGTTCAATCCTGCTATTTCCTATTTTGGCCACAGGCCTCTCAATGCTGGGGACTTGTGGCACGTCAAGTCTATTTTGAGATGAGAAGAAGCTGGGATCAGGGAGTAGTAAAATACCTACTCCCTGGCTGCGATACTTGAAAATCAGGAATACAGAGCATGAATTGCTCTGCATCATGTGGCATTGCGATGGCGTGGTGTGATGTGTGATGCCGGCATTCCATTGCAAGTGCATGCATGCAATCTATTTGGGGGTTGGGAGGGAGTACCGGTAGGTGCTGACAATACTGTACACTACTGTAGAGGCAGAACATTTCGTCGGTCAATAATTTCGTCCAATTCCAAAGAAAAGGAGTTCGTCCGGTTGAACATTTCGTCCACGGATCATAAGAGTGTAGAGAAAAGCTGGACAAATCGATATTCGTCCTACATTTAATTTAGTCCAAAAGCTCCTTGGACGAAAAAGACGAAATTAAATTCCAGACGAATATTTCTGCTTATAGACCTTATTCGATAAACGTCACAATCACGTGAACCGGGGTCCCGGGAACCAGGGAGTGGCAAGAGACCTGCACTCAGTGCACAGTGGACTCGGCGTGGGAACATAGGAGTAGATACCGGTATTTTACTACTCCCTTGTACGAACTGAGCCTTTCTTGCCACTCGTTTCATGCACGCGTGCCCCAGCTTACGACAAATCCCTGGAGGCGAGTCCAAAAATCACGTTATCGATTAAGGTCTATACAGTACATGATTGTATACACAGGTCACCAGAACATGTCAGAACTGCATTGTAGAGCGCTCCACTGGCTCAGTAAAAAAGTGTTGCAGAGCATTTCAAATCAAAATAAGAGTTGGCGTGGAGACGAACACCACAGTTCGTGTCAGTAAACTCCCTTCCATGCACAATGTGTAGGTTGAGAATGTAGTGACTCCGTTAAAACGTTACGCATCGAACCATGTGATGCACTGCGCTGTGTACTGCACAGGCATGTGTGCGTGGTCTTGTCAGAGCCACATACGTTACCACAGCTCCTATAGATTTCTCCACACGCCGTTCCATACACAGGTACACCAGCATGGAAAGTAGATACTGCTGATTCATACATTCACATTGTTCAGAAACTTGTCTGAGCCGTTAAAAAACAAGCGTCCACCCAGGACGCAAAATCGGAATTCAAGGTCAGGTGAACGAAAATTATGACTGGAGTAGAAGAAAATAGCGTTACATAGCGGGTAGACACAGTGGAGCTGCATGGCTCCACGGGATTAAATAGATCACACCAGTAACGTGTAAGAGTGGGCAGAGGCCACAGTAATAGTAGTCTACACGGATACTGATAAGAAAAGACCGAAAAATACTCTCTAGGCGAAAAAAAACTACAATTGGAAAATCAACTATTTAAAAAAACTTAGATTATTGTGCCGCCCCAATACTCTTCGTGGGAACAGCACAACGTAGAAGCAAGCAACATACATGCACGAGGTGTAAAGTAGAGCCTTTGATTTACTGGGATAAAGCAGCCGAAGCAGCATGCTGACTGGTACGAGTCGTACACGTAGGCCAATGAGGTACATGCATTGCATGCACAGTAGACCCAGTAACCACTGATTCAGACGATTCACGAGTATGAAATGACCTATGGGGATAACAGCCAATGTAGGGCAGTGTGGTATTTTTAAAAGTATTGTTAACGGAATGCGGCGAGGAGCACCGGGCCCGTTGGCTCGTGCCCCTAACAGTGTCAGCGTTGGCCGCAATGACTATGTATTCCCGACGGTGTTGATTCTCCGGGCCACAGCATACATGTTATTTGAGTATGGTATGCGGGTTGGACGGGCAGCAAAAAGTGTGCTTTCTGCCCAGACCTGCACGTAACGTGTGAACCAACGACAATGTAGACACAAACGCCGAAAGTGATGAAGACAAGAGAGACTTGTGAGAATGATGCACTTCGTGGCAGTGAAAATCATCACTGTACTGTATGGTAACTTATGACTGAACCGAGCATCAAAGAAATGGCCTCAAGACAAGACTGCACAGGTACACGTCACAAAGAGTCTTGGTCAGAAACTACCGCCTTGACACACGGGGAGTGAGGCACATCGTATTGGAGAATTCCACATCACCATCACCGAGGGAGGTAGAGAGAGAGAGAGAGAGAGAGAGAGAGAGAGAGAGAGAGAGAGAGAGAGAGAGAGAGAGAGAGAGAGAGAGAGAGAAGAGAGAGAGCACCCAGACAGCATAATAATGAAGATAGCTGCAACTTGCCATGCTTTACACTGAGATGGGCAGGGCGGCACTCGGAAAGGAGCTAGAAGGGCGGTAAGGAGACGAATTGTAGCTCACACGTCCGCAACCGTGGCAGCTGCAGCCGCCGCTTCTCTTGAAGCAGTGGCCGCTACAGCGTCTTGTGAAGCAGTTGGTGATACTGGTTCCTTATCACCTGGCTCCTCGACTCTCACCAGGTAGTGAACAACTTTGGCTTTAGTCCAGCTGTACGTGTTGTCAAAGCGCACGACATCTACACCACAGGAAACACAAACAAAATGAAGAGCAGCGCAATGGTGCCAATGCAAACAACAAAAGGGTTCTACTTTGAAGCACTGAAACAATGGTTCCAACCTGCAGTGCCTGAGTTCTATCACAGCACGATAAACAGGGCAATCATGCTTGATATTAGCACTTTTAGCAGTTGACCAGAAAGCAGGTTGGAAGAGTACTACTGCCTGCTAGGTGTCAGGAATCCAAGCTGCTGCTGCTCAGTGAATGTTCGCCGCTGGGGGCAAGAAGAGCTGCAGGAACACAGAGCACTCTCCAGGTTACTCTCCCAAGTGCTAAGAAAAGGTGTGTGTGTGTGTGTGGGAGGGGGGGGGGGGGGGTATATACTTTTGGCATCGGCGAGTTCAACAAACATGTAAATCTCATCAGGAGTTCAACAAAGCAAATTTCTGAAGCCCATAAGAAACCGGCGAGGTGGAGACAACACTCGTAAAATAGCAATGAATAAAAACTATAAAATAAAGTGCATGTTCATGTCACAACATAATTATTACAGTCGTCCCTCTTCAATCCAGCACTTTATAAATCAGCACCCTCTATAAACCAGCATCATTTCAGCAACCAAAATGTCCTCTTCATGCACATTGCAGCAGTAAATCGGATTTTTAATCCAGCACCCTCCCTAATCCAGCCGAGTTTTCGCTGCAAGGTGCCGGATTACAAAGGGACCACTGTGTTTTATGCATTGCTATCGTAAGAAACACTTCGAAGAACTTACACACACTTGAGAGGAATCAAAAGCGTTTCTGCTGTGACTCTGAGTTTCACGGTTTTAACCGATCATCAGATAGCAACTTGACTACAATAGAAGAACTTACATATGCCTGCTTTCTTACAGACGACACTACCCTCCTCGAAATTCACATGGCTGTCAACCCGGCGACTGGGCACGATCTCCTCCATCTGTCCAGCATGCTGCTTCACACCGGCGTGCTCACTGGGTTTGTGCAGCACGCTGAACGCAATGTCATTGCCTTCCGATGCAAAGCCCCACCTACATCACCAAGCCACAGATACAGCGTACATGCCCACAAACACAATCATCATACAAAACGTGCTCCTGTAGGAGAAACATGCCATCTTGATAGTCCAATATTCCAAAGAGGTGACCTATCCAGGGTGGAAGTATCGTCCAAACAATAAAAAGACCTGGTTTTTTGTTGTTGAAGTATTTGGGGGGGGGGGGCATGAGGTCTTCTGTTTTGAGAGACCAGCCACCTGAGGTCCCATGCCACACATTTACCCCGATAACGCACCCCATTTTCAGGTCTCCGCCATATGACTTCAATACATTCGCTTGAACGAGTCATTCTCGATAGTAACCCGCGCCCCCTTTATTCGGCGACGAAGTTAAAAAAGGTGGGACCTGTGCTTGGGTAAATACTCGGCACGTTGAGTGTCACGAACACGCGGCGTGATACACTCGATGATGTTCAGCTTCATTCTACCTAACCAACGACAATACACGTACAGTCGTCCCTCTTTAATCCAGCACTTTATAAACCAGCACCCTCTACATGTATAAAGTATAAACCAGCATAATTTTCAGCAACCAAAATGCCCTTTTCACGCACATTGCAGCAGTAAAACAGATTTTTCTAATCCTGCATCCTCCCCGGCTAATCCACCAGAATTTCTGTAGCACAAACGAGTGCGGGATTAGAAAGGGACCACTGAACAGCCAATTGCTCACCATAATTTGGCTCCTGCGGTCGTCACCTCGATCTCAACCTGTGAAGTGGAACGCCGGGACACGGTCACCGTCTGACTCTCCTCGCTGACGGGAACTTTGGACGCCTTCAAGTACATCGAGCGCGGCACAAGAGCGCTGCCCACAAGCTGCGTGGTGCGGTGCAAAGAAGCCACGCAGATGCACATACGAGATGGGAACATACATAAATACATAATATACAATGATCACTGTTCCTGAAGCCTTTGTCTTAGCCCAAAGCAGACATGAATGGAACATTCTCACTCACAGATGCATAGAGCTCAATTCTGATTAATAGGCGAGCTGTATTTAATGAACCGACGAAATGGAGTAGGGTCTAGATAGACAGCAATAAAAGCAGCAGCGAGCACCGGCAGAAGCAGCAACTCACCAGTGAGTCACAGCTGATGTCGCCATCCTCCGGCACAAACGACCCACCATAGCACGCTGGCAAGATGCTGGGCTCGATAAGCTCCCGTAGTCGTTCATAGCACACCTCTACAAAAAGCAACAAAAAGAGTAGGACACACCACACCCAGGTTCAGGTTATGTGCGAGGGAGGTACAACGGACAACAGCATGAACAAAACATCGACCAACACCATCAGGACTGGAACCGAGACACTTTCCTATAGACAAGCAACGTTCTCTACTTCTAGGCCATTGGGCATTTCCAGTAGCCTTGCAATAGTGTTACTGTACATGTACATGTAGTCTGGGATTCATTGAGAGCACATGCAGCACACAATACACAATGAGGCCCACATCAGTAGCAGTGACGGTTACTGACCGGGGGCTCCGGGTATGGGCATGACTTTCTTGCGCGTGACCTCGTTCAGGAACGGCTTGACGATGTTGTAGGCAAGGTCGAATATACTAGGCACTGCAGGATGGCAGCAAGCACACCACACAAACATAAAACACACATAAATCAACATGAGATTGGAGTGCTTTGCCCCCACTAATCACCCCCGCAATCATCATGAATTTATTTCATGCACCCGTCTCGTTCAAACAGATCAAAAGGCTAACTGATGAGGGACATATTTGCAAACCAGTTTGCCTGAAAACACACACACACACACACACACATACACAAACACGAGTGCAGACACACACACACACACACACACACACACACACACACACGCACATGCCCGTGCGTGCCCGCACACACACTCGCAGATCCCACAGACCAGCATCAACACAACCAGAGAACAGTACTATTTTCTCCCTTACTCACCATTGACGATATACACCGCTTCAAGGATTTCAGGAAAGTTCGCCTCAAACACCTTGACCATCTAGGCATAAGAAAGGAGACACAAACCCCACAATGAAACATGGTTAGTTTCTCTTTTTCTCGCAACCTTGTCCCGTATCAAATTATTCTCTTGATGCATATTTTAGCTTTCACCCCTCACCTCTGATTGGCATACTCGATGTGAAATCAATAAATACTGAGATAACTTTAAAATACACAAACACATTGCAAATGGACATACCTCTACAACGTACTGGATACCTGCAGAGATCAAGCACGACAACAAAAATAAAAAGTGCAAGATTGAGTCAAATCCTAACATGTACACTCGACCGTCCCTTATCCGGGCACCTTGGGACCGGGCACTGTCTGTATCTCAGATTTGTCCGTACTTCAGGATGACTCATCAACCATGCATCATATCATTTTTTGAAGAGGTTTCAGTAGTTGGCCCATATTGCACATGTTCAGGATACAAAAGTATCCATTGATAAAAATGTGTGGATTGCACAGGTTGGCAGTGACAAAATAATAAGCACTTGCGCGTACAACAAAAAAGTTAATCCCCCCCCTTCCAAATTCGAAGCATTTTTGCCATAGGAACTCAAGCTGAAGGTGCCCGGTAGAGAGACGTGCCCGTATCTGAGGCGTCCGGATAAGAGACGTTTGAGTGCACCCTCGAATGCATGTGAAGAGTTTGCTGAAAATAATTCACAGTTCGCGGGATACTCAGACTGAGTTTTCCGCATTGGTAGGTGTTATATCATCCGTATCATGCCTGTCATGATTGTCTGAAGCTATTGTCTGTGTTGTGGTTGACTTCACTCCTTAGTACTATTGACTGGCCTTTCGTACAATACCTATTGATGTCTGGAGACATACTGTCTAGCCTTCCCCTCGTGCGCTTATTGATACACTATCCAGCTGTCCAGTGGCTCTCCTTCCACCGCTCCCTATCTGCTATACTCTTCTCCACACTCTATAAGTTCGTGTCTTCTTTACAATAAAATCAGTTCAGTGACTGACGAGTTCGAGATCACAACATGGTGCCAGAAGCGGCTTGATTACGAATCCAGCCGAGTAGCTTGCAATGTAGTCCTCAAACTGTACTCCTCTTTACCCGTTTTAGCCCTCTTACTCAGGCTCTCTCTAGCAATTCTGGCTCATTGCAGAAACCGTCCGTCTGCCTCATTGCAGAAACCGTCCGTCTGCCTCTAAGCAGAATCCGTCCGTCTGCCATCCGTCCGTCTGCCTCTAAGCAGAATCCGTCCGTCTGCCTCTAAGCAGCCTCCCTGCCTCCGCGTTCCTACCGGTCGCAGCTCCTCGTGTAAGTCTCATTGCAGCTCCTGCATAGTCCTCAGACGACGTCGATGACCTCCTCGTTCGAGAACAACTGATCGTGGCCCTCCCGGCCGATGCCCAAGTCTTCCTCCTCCGTCAAGCGCCTCAGACCGCTACCACAACTGTCGAGCAGGCCGAAACTTACCTGCGAACGGAGAGGACAGAGATGGCGCTCCGCAAGTCTCTCCCGGGTTCACCGCCCCTCGCAAACGCGGCGGAAACCTCAGACAACACGTCGTACTGCTCGACCTCCGACACCGTTGCCTCAGTGTAGCAACGATCCATCGAGTCTGTGGTGGTGCAGCTCACCCTCGGCGTGATTGCCCAGCTACAGCCAAAGACTCGCAAGAAACGAACCGTTTGTTACTTGGTCACTTCCGCGCGTGTCAACAGCGCAGCGCCAACGTGACACAAGTCAGAAATCCGTGGGTGGTGTTACTGTAAGTACCACCACAGCACCAAACAGTCATGCTGTTCGTGAGTGCCATGCTGCATGACATGGACTCTCCGTGCAACTCCATGTACTTACTACATGACTTGTATTCTGTACTCGTAGAGTCGCACTGTGATCTCTGCGTCTTGCTCTTTGTGCTCACACTCCTTCCACATAACGCATGGTTGCGCTCTTTCTCTGCTGGCGCTAGTATCAAATACTCCATTTCTATTTGGCCTCTTTGCCTGCCAGTTTCACTCTTGAAAGGGGAGATGTTATATCATCCGTATCATGCCTGTCATGATTGTCTGAAGCTATTGTCTGTGTTGTGGTTGACTTCACTCCTTAGTACTATTGACTGGCCTTTCGTACAATACCTATTGATGTCTGGAGACATACTGTCTAGCCTTCCCCTCGTGCGCTTATTGATACACTATCCAGCTGTCCAGTGGCTCTCCTTCCACCGCTCCCTATCTGCTATACTCTTCTTCACACTCTACAAGTTCGTGTCTTCTTTACAATAAAATCAGTTCAGTGACTGACGAGTTCGAGATCACAGTAGGAACGCCACCACACTCCAGGATTCTAGCGCTCGCGAAAACCACCGCACAAAATACCCGTCCACCCAAACTCACCCTTCGGTGCAAAGTGCTTCTGGATCGAGAGGCCCTCCATATCGTATATGACAACACAAGTGTCAATTCGGCGCCCAAGCTGTGAGGTGAATGAGAAAAAACACACGGAGCAATTACAAACACCTGGACTAGAAATTCCACTTCCAACCACGCATTTTCCTCCTCTGAACACGAGCTGACTGCCACGAAACGGCAAAACACACAATCATTATCACAATGGCGTTTAACGGTTCATATCAAAGCAGTGGCACATGGACAATGAACATCGGATCATGCTGCATAACACTTTCCATTGTATCTTTTTTTTCTGGCAAAACCTTCCAAAGAAATAACACACCCAGAGTAAGTTAACACTTAACGTGCATCCTTGAATCGTAAGACAGTAACACCTGTGTTTGCCGAACCCTGTCCTGAATGGACTAATTCTCATGCACCAAAGTGATGTGGATCGAACATGCACCCCTGGATCAAGCGGAATCCTGTCATGTCAGGACAGTTTCCGCTGCATCAACGGCATCAGGTTAGGGCAGGCTTGCTGCTACTTCCAACAAGATGTTCATACTCTGGCACGGCTAACACCCCACAACACAGGACATGCCTATGCAACTGTCAGCGTCAAGCGCAGTTGGCCGCATTCACCGCAGCCGCATTAACCAGCATAACTAGTTACCTTCTCTGTCTGCGCCTTCATCCCCTGCATCATCTCCAGGCCCTGGCGTACACGGTATCGTACCGTATCGTCACGCGTGGCAGCACGCACCACTCCTGGGCACAGAGGATCATGGCATTAACACACTTTTTTCGAGTTGCCAAGCAAGTCCAATGAAAAAACAACAACGAGTAGCATGCTGTCAAGGAGATGAAGCATCATGATCTACCTACAGTGGAAATTCAGTATAAATTGGGAGTGCGCAGTTGATACCACTGTTCATAGCCTTATTTAGATTATTGTCTCCACGCCGATTATTTAAACAGGGAGTTCACCAGTGTTCTCGCTATGCCAGTAGCCCAGGGAATCTTTGCGTTTTTGAAGGGACTGCATCAACTGAGACCGGAACACAGAAAATTTGGAAGGAAAATCTTGAAGGATAACAGAGGTATGTAGTGTCAAAGTCATACGCTGACCTATAATGCAGAATAGCATACATTTCAAGCATGCTTACAGACCGATGTACTATGCAGTATACACATGTATTCAAGGTCAAATGAATGAGACAGTATGCGCTTGGTCCCCACAACAGCGCTTCGCAGTCGAAGGAAATTATACTTCTTTAACAGCAGCGTACCTCGCAGATCCAGGCGTCCTACTCTTTCCCAGAACACGGGCTGACCCTCACGAGTATAGCCATGCAGGCGGCCAGTCAAGTACTTCTGTATGACCTGCAGAAGATGCACAGGACATGTAAAGTCAACCGGGGCGAATCACAACCCTTGATCGTGCATAATGTCGTACATAAGAAAAACATCGGTATTCACGAGTTGTCGCTATTGGTGAGGTTGAAAGCACGCAGTCAAATGGTCACTACGTCTGAAGATGGTGGCGTTATCCATGAGGTGTTGCTACAAGTACACCCGAGGTACTATTCATGAGCGAGATTGCACATGCATCGTAAGCCCAGGCAGAACAGATACGACACATTCATTCTCATTTCTAAAGCTACCGCCAAGGCTAAGATCACAATTGCAGTGTTTGACGACTGTCCATGAAAGAGGCCCTTACACGCTCAAAAAGATATCGAGGATAGACACAAAGACAAAGCAGTATTGATTAGTTTGCGGGAGGTGAAATGGAGAAACACATAAATGGACTGTTATCGCCGGGACTCGGATCAAGGACCTTTGCTTTAGGTCAGCAATGCTATACACGGAGACTCCCTCGATTTAGGCTAAGGGGCCGTCCGGGGTTACCGATCGTTTTTACAAAACGAAATGTTTCAGTATTGTTCAGCCCCCACCCACCGACCTACCTTTTCTGCAGGTACATAATACGAATTCCGACAAAATATTGATGTCAATTCTCGGCACCCAGAAGAAACTGGGCATTCTCCATCTGCATGCAATAATTATTTTCAAAATGAAACCATCCCAGCAGAGGCCGTTCTACATTGTTCTTTACACTTTGAAGCCAGTACTGCACTGTATTGATTTTCGGCTGGTTTGCGCTTGGACACCGAGGTAGCCGACGGGACTTGAGGGTACTGTAAAACATGTAATTTTCGGTGTAAACTTCAATTCCGGTGGAGAAACCAGGCACATAAATTTAAATTACACCTAAAAGCCACTAGAGTATGCACTGTATGTGAACGGAACGCTGGTCACCTAATTCTACATTACACCTGAAACCTGGCATGTGCCTGGCACCGAAATTTTAATGCACCTAAAATTTCATGTTTTACAGTACCAGGACTCGTGTATTCTGCACGGACCTTTTTCATTTTCATTTAGACTTTATTCGAAGGATTCTCCAGAAGTAAGTGGATACTTATCGAGGGAGTTTCCTGGTGGTACCAAGGGGTGGCACCTTGGAACCGATGACCCGGGTACTTGCACTGCTTGCACAGTGTCCTGAACTCACACTACATGTACCTCTACTGACTACAGAAACGGATAAGTCAAATTTCAAACTGGGCAATGCCCTAGTCAGGTACAGAATAGAGAATGGACATACTGTATTTTCCGGAGTATAAGCTGCCCCTAGATATTTTGTCATGAAATACAGACATCTACTCTGTATTTCACGGTTCATTCGACTATTGTAGTATAAGCCGCACCGACTTTTCGGGTGAAATATGAGTGTTTGAAGTGCGGCTTTTATACTCCGGAAAACACGGGTAAATATTTTGATATGATCAGTTGATCACCACTGTCAGTTCTAGGCGGAAACCATTTACAACTAGAAGCATTGGAAAACTATGTCCACCATGTGATAACTCAGGTGAGCAGGCAAGGACCATGCGATGCTGACAACAGTACAACGTGCTCTTACTAGTGGCGCTTCCCAGTCGAGTACGGTGCTGAACTTCCAGGTGTCCATTGCCACGATGTGCTACAGTGTTCACGTGCCGGTCACATGCCCAATGTGCAGCCAGGCACACCATGCACAGACAGATACGCGGGCACACACACACACACACACACATACACGCATGATAAGTGTTGGTCCAAATTACCAAATATACACATGTATGCATACAAAGATACTTGTATCACATTCGCTATAATATCTGTCTTGGGGATGCCCACACACCAACCAAAGCACAGATTGCGGGAGAGGGAGGGAGGGCAAGAGTGTGGGTGTGAGAGAGAGAGAGAGAGAGAGAGAGAGAGAGAGAGAGAGAGAGAGAGAGAGAGAGAGAGAGAGAGAGAGAGAGAGAGAGAGAGAAAGAGAGAGAAAGAGAGAGAGAGAGAGAGAGAGAGAGAGAGAGAGAGAGAGAAAGAGAGAGAGAGAGAGAGAGAGAGAGAGAGAGAGAGTGAGTGAGAGAGAGACAGAGAGACAGAGACAGAGACACTAAACTAGATCAAGTAGAGCAGTCTGAAATGGCTTACATCTCGTAGCTGCTTTTCTGTCTTCTCCACATCAAAGTTTCGAGCTATGAAAAATACCAACAACACATCACCAGGAAAGGTGCAAATTAGTGTTTATAAGGCTCAAGGAGGCGGAAAAAAGCAAAACAAATGGTTGCTTGTAGCATAATTGATCTAATGCTTGAGCACACAAACACGAAGTGCAGGTAGAAATTAAAAATATTGGGATATGTTAGGAAATACAAACTAGAATCAACAACCGTCGCAACGAAGTGTGATACGATTGGCCCGGTTATCTTTCGTATTTCTATTACACAACCCACCATTACTATTAGTCAAAACCATGACCAGGGCAGTTAGGTTAGGCTCCGGAAGGCTGACTCATACTCATGCCTACCTCTAAGCCAGCGCAAGTAGTAATAGTCATCATCTTCCTCGAACTGATCTTTGACATCGGCGACACACTCACGCAGCTACATTGCAATAAAACCAATGCAACAAAAGACACAAACCTTATTTTAAAAGGTAGCTGGAAATTACGGTAAATCAGATTTTCAAATCGGCCCGAAATGTTTGGGATATTAAGTATGCAGTGTCTTCAGTGTGCCATGTAGTAACGAAATGGCCAAAAAAAGGTAGCGGGTCACCATCAATATTGTGGAGTAATGAGCACCCCAAAATTGGTCATTTTCGGGATTTTTTGCTCAAATTACCACTTATATTGCTCAAAATGGGCCATTATGAGAAATTGGCCCGAAATGTTTCGCTTATTTTTTACAAATCAACTCTACCAACTGGTAGTACCAAGTGTAAAATTGATTGAGATAATCGTAATTTGCAGCGAAGAGACCACTTGATTTGAGGATGGTGCGTGTAGGGGTTTTCATTAATTCAACAAAGACGAACAATTATTAAACAATAAAATTTTAAAGAAAAGAAAAGGAACTACAACCTACGCTATAATGTCCACTAACACCACCAGTTACTAAACAATCAGCTCATGCGATAACATTGCACAACACTGACCGACGTTCTACACCTAACTGGCTAACAGCTCTAGCACATCTTGGATGCGCACTCCAACAGCCTTCCAACTTGGAAGGTTCTAAGTTATATGATAGCATAAGAGGGGAATCGTGAATCGTGGTTTGACCGCATTGTCCAATTGTCTTGCCAGTATCGTCATCGATATGCATGAACATCCGCCAACGTCCTTCAAAGCTGAGACATTCAGCTCGTGCTTGTCTTGGTTTCATACGTACACCAGTCACCTGGTCACCGTGCCCGCAGGCTACAACTTTTACAGCGTTCCTGTCACTCAAGTTGAACCTTTGAACCTGAGTTGAACCTTGGTATGAAAGTTGTAGCCTGCAGGCACAGTGACCAGACGACTGGTACATGGTTTATGCACAAGCACATGACCGCTTACTCAACCAGGTTTGATTGAGAATAAGGGCCGAATGCTGCATCGCAGCCTTTTCGGACCAAAGCCAGTCGACTCAGTGTCCAAAAGACTACAGGGCGTATCGGCAAGAGTAGATAAACAAGAGCGTGCAACTCGCGGTTGGGTAGGCCCACGACGGAATTTTTCGTTGACATAATCTTTTCGACGACGCACGCGCTGCGAGTCTTTCGGAAGGTTTTCCCTCGTGCTCTTGGCCGGCTTTACACTACAAGGTCGGTTCCCAGCACGTGCTCTCACACTGCTCTGCAGCGAAATGCGCGTTCTTCTGAAAAAAGGTGACGTCAACAAAAAATTCCGCCATGGGCGGGGGTATCTGCAGATTATGCAGGAGAGATCCGGAGTTGCACACTCTTGTTTATCTACTCTTGGTATCGGTTATAGCGTGGTCGTGTAAAAGAATATACTGCCTACAAGAATGAACTCTCATGTTTTCATAATCATAACAATCATGGGTTTCAAGTGCACATTTATTCTTACAAGCAATTTTATCTCACAGTAGAATATATCGGTCCTAAGAATGGACTTTGGCGTAGCGAAACATGCCAGATTAGTACAAGGTGTATCACCTGTAGTAATAACATCTGTTCAATGCAGTTCTGATCTGAATCGCGTTGCGTCGTAGTGTTGCAGGTTCAACTGTTGGTGTCATGTAACTCATGTTGTATAGCCACATGGTAAGCCTATTTGACTATGACCAGCCGCATGCACAGAAGTACTACGTTGCATGTACGGTGATCTTCCTGCCTCCGCGCATATGCATATGATATGTCCCACTTGGTTTATCGTGTGTAACAAATATCGGAAATAAGAATAGAAAGTCGTTTTTCAAACACCCACGCTATAACCGATACCTACTGTACAACATATGGGCCAATCATGGTCATCCGCGCTTTTATAAGAACGAAACGGTGCTTTTAGTGACATGTTGCATACAAATCCCCATCTAGTAGGTCGCAGTCACCCAGTTTCGGTGGAAGTGGCGAGTTCGATTGGGAATAAAGGATAAAGGGAGACGGTCTTAGCTTCCTCGGACCAAGACCATTCGACTCAGCACTCCGAAGACTACAACTGGTGAAGTTTTGATTTTAGGCTTAACTTCCCCTTTAAAATGCAGGAGAACTAATAATTAAAAGTCTTGTAATCATGGTAATGCAGCATGATCGTAACTACATTTACTTGATGTGTTCCGTGTCACAAAGTATTAGTTAGCCTTCTCAGGATCTAGCGTGCATGGTTTGGAAACGCGTTTGCACACGCGTACACGCATTGAACACCGGTGATTGTGAGCAGTGCATAACATGCCGGTGAATCTCATCGTATCTCTTACCTTCAGCAACGCTGCACTCTGCTTGGGGCTCAGGTCACCGAAGTGTCCGCTCATGATGAAATTAATCAAAATGATGACAGAGATTTCAAAATGTTCCGCGCCCCAATCTAACGGTGATAGAGCACGAGGGCTGGAACAACCTGACACTCACTCTTCTACGGCTTTACTTCATGTACTTAGCTCGAACACAAACTTTGACGAACTGCGTAGAGCTCAAATCTGAATTCAGTTTCGTGCGCTTTCCCTTCAACGCCAGACCAGAATGCAAGGACAGGACAACAAAATTTTGAAAGGTTTGGAATCACTGGTTGTACGCATTTGTAGCGTCTGAAGTACGAAGATCTCGTATAGCGTACTGCTTTTTTTGGAGGTCACAGCTAGCTAGCCTTGCCAAATGCCAGCCAGAGCGACTGCGACAGGCTGTCGGACTCGAAGAGCAGACAAGAGATGACTGCTACCAAAAGTTTATGACTCTTACTGCTACAGCCTACAGCTACATGACATTGTACATAATCATCATCATGGGTTTCCGGTGCTGTCGAGAGCTAGCTACATAAGTCATTGTAGAGTGAGGAGAAGTGTCAAAAGACAAAACTTCTTCAAGTGATCGCTGCATCGCTAGCGCTGGCCCGTCTACAGAGTCAATGCGCTCGTCATATTTGGCACTGGCACTAGTGACTGTCGAGTGCCTCCTCTCCAGCTCCAGTGCAGTGACTCCGCTTCTTGCATTCTTGGCACAGTCAGTGTACAGTACAATGCACACTCGGACATCTCTTATCCAGGCACCTTGGGACCGGGCATGCACTGCCCGTATCTCAGATTTGCCCGTATCTCAGATAACTCCTCTACCGGTACCATGCATGATATCATTAATATTTTTTATTATTATTATTATTTGAAGAAGTTTATTTGGCACGTATTGCACATGTTGAGGATACAAAGGGAACCCATTGATAAAAATGTGTGGATTACATAGGTTGGCAGTGACTAGTGAAACATAAGCACTTCCACACACGGAAAAAAGTTCAAAAAACCCAAATTCGAAGCATTTGTGTTATAGTATAAGCTGAAGGTGCCCGGCGCGGTAGAGAGACGTGCCCGTGTCTGAGGCGGCCGGACAACGCGAGCGAGTGAGTGTACTACAAAAGTAATTAAAAGCATGATGCGCAAATCAGACTGGACATTTTATTATCTAATCCGCGCAAAAAGTGAAAACTCAATCAGCACCATGACTCATGATCTGAGGCATGACTTGTATTGTTTTATTCGGACGAAAAATAGGTCATGCAACGGTCTGGTGGAGAAAAGTCGCCTGTCCGTTCTCCGCTCGAACTAAACAATCATTCTCGTATCGGTACTGCGGCGCGGTAGCACACTCTCGACCTACTCAACGGGTCCGGAGAGCTAGAGCAGAACTTCTAGGAGTAGGAGCAAGAGTACATAATGTACTCTTGGTAGGAGTAGTAGGTAGGGCGATGGGTTTTGCTAAACTCGTACTGTGACAGTCACTTGCTTGGCAAGGACAGCGTCACAGCGGCGACTGGAATGAATGGACCGCTGAGCAGTGGAGAATTCGCGAATGAACGAGTCTTCTGGTTCTGAGGACTTCCGACACCGGTAAGTGCGCCGTAGGTCTACGGGTTAGCCCTTGGCGGAGAATGCCGGCAGAATTATTTTTTGATACATGTACATGTTTGATGTAGGTATGTTTGGTGTGTGGATAAAGAAAATGGAGCAGAAATCAATGAAGTGCCTGACATAAGGTTTGTATGATTCTGATTGGCACTGCTTTTCGAGCAGAATCTGCCAATTTATTTATTTATCGAACATTATCCACCAAGGGCTAGTATACTACCGGGGGGGGGGGGGGGGAGTGAACTACTTCGAAGTACATAGTCTACAGTTGGGCCAGTAGGGGTTAGCGGTTGGATTTGCTGAAAAGCTGGTAGATATTGTATTGGAAACGGCAAGGAAGTGCCTCAAGTGGGAGTACCTGGTTGAAGTCAAAACTTACAGTGACTTGAAATTTTCTGGGGTGACCTGATGAGATGATTAGGCGGTGGAAGTCGGATAAGACGTACTGTAGAGGCAGAAAATTTCGTCGGTCAATAATTTCGTCCAACATTTAATTTAGTCCAAAATCTCCTTGGACGAAAAAGACGAAATTAAATTCCAGACGAATATTTCTGCTTATACAGTACCCCAGAGAGAACAGGAAATAGACTTCACACATGCCACGTGATCGTTGCCACGGTTTGAGCTAATCAGAGCGCTCACAGGCTGGGCCTGAACCTCTGATCATGCCCTGCCTGCCACCTCTACTACCATGCACCGCGCTGTGCACCCCGTGACGTGATCATTCATGCCCTCCTACGGTGCCCTAGGGCCTGAATGGCACCGTAGGAGGGCATGAATGATCACGTGATGGGTATAGTCACACATGGAGAGACTTACCTGATCTCCTTAGCTTACCTGGAGAGACTTACGTGATCCGGCCCTGGAAGTGCATGTAGTGGGGAAAAAAGGAACCAGTTTTACATTGTTGGAAATATGGATATAGGTGTAACAAGAGAGAAAGAAAAAGCCTGACATCCATGTCTGATTGTGTTTCAGACTGCCACCCACGCATGGCATACATGCGGTGCCATTCAGGTCCTTGACCAATCAGCACGTCCCGAGAGCGTGTGGAGCTGAAACTGAGCACGCGGGGATGAAGGTATAAAAGGAAGACACTTGTAGGGGTGGCAGTCGGGGACGTGGAGGACTCGGCTTGTAAGTTTCAGGTCCGTACTCTCTCGGGCTTTGTTGATTCAGGCCCCGAGAGCGTAGCCCAAGGCCGAGGGCCGCTCGAGGGCCTGAATCAACAAAGCCCGAGAGAGTACGGACCTGAAACTTCACCTTGCTTGAGGTGAAACTTCAGAACGAAACTTCCGCCGTACCGTGCGCTGGAGGGCTTGCCCGAGAGCGCACAGAGCTGAAACTTCATGACGTGAAACTTGTGAGGTGGAACTTCAGAATGAAACTTCACCCGTGCGCTCGAGGGCTTGGCGGAGAGCGCACGGAGCTGGAACTTCAGCTTGTAAGTTTCTGTTGGGGTGGTGGTCGGGGACGTGGTGGATTCAGCTTGTGAGTTTCAGCTCCGTAAGCTCGAGGGCTTGCCCGAGAGCGTACATGGAAAACGAACATGGAAAACTGACGCCGGTGATTGCCACTTATTTTTGGCTTGCTTCAGAGCAGATAGATAGGTGCATGCTCTTTTATTTCGCTTACCAGAGAAGTAACGTCAGTTCACAGTCGAATGTGACATGCGACCTGAGCTGACAACGATAAACTGCCACTGTCACAGACCCCTGGCGAGCTAGGCTGATAGATGGCACCATAGCCTGGCATTTGCATAGCATGCATGCAGGGCGTTGGATGTCATAGGTAGACCGTACTCTGTAGCATGCTAGGAGGGCATTGCCGTTCCGTACCCTAGGCAATGCACACAATTTCTGCCGTGGCACAAGTCGATGCTGATTGGCCGTCGGATGGGAACAAGCACGTGATATGTTTGAATGTGCATTTGCTGGCGGAAACCAACTGACGTATTTGTTTATTGAGAAGTTACATGTTACGTTGCTTGCATCAGAGAAGTTCGCCCCTGCAAAATTGACCGGAAAGTACCGGTCCAATGAACCCGCACTCTTCATTGCGCAATTGAAACAAGACGGTTGGGCATAGAGAAACAAAGAGAAAAGCGTTCTTACTTCAGACTTGGGAAGAGAGGAATATTTACAAGTGTGACTGTACATTTCCTGGTGCAAACCAACTAAGCTATTTGTTTATTGAGAAGTTAAATGTGACGTTGCTTGCACCAGAGAAGTTCGCCCCTGAAAAATTTACCGGAAGTGATGGAGCAGGAGGTGGAGCTGACTGCTGTGGTTTTTCCAGGGCAGATAGGCCGTCATCATCCAGGCTTGTCAGCAGATCATCGATGTCGTCAACTGGCGCAGGATGTAACGTTAGCAGAGGCAAGGTAGGCGCATCTACAACTGGTTGCTGCAAGCTTGGAAAGCCTGGTAGGATGCATAACTCATCTAAGCTGCTTAGAGCAGGCATGGGCAGCTGCACAGTAGGGGGAGTCTGTATTGCCGGAACACTTCCTGCTGATACACTTGTACTTGCACTAGGCTGTGTTTGCGTGCTTGACCTTGGAGTAGTGGAACATATACTTGAAACACCAGTACTGGCAGTAGCGAGCTTGCTTGACATGGCCACTCTGTCACTCACATTTAGCCTCTGGTAGCTCCAGAGACTGGCACTGTTGCGATGGCCAGTGACGCTCATTATGTCTCTGTCAGAGACACCACTGGCATGCAATGCTGTCACCGTTGTGGACCGCAGACAGTGGTTGGTGTACTGAGTCTGGCAGCCAGCTTGCATGGAGATAGCCTTCATCATCGATGACATCTGGTTCTTGCCCATTGGAAGTGCATCAAACCAGGTGGGCTCAAAGTGGCTGTGTCTGGTCTTGGGCCGCTGGAAGAGGCGATCACAGTTTGGATTTAACTTGCACAAGTAAAATCGCAGACACTGTACATCATCCGGCTTGCATATAATTCCAGCATTAGGGGAGATCCTACTTGTGGCACCTCCCTGGTTCTTAGTAGTGAACTCAGCAGCTAGTTGGCAATAGGTCGATCCATCAACGACAATGAAGTCAAGATCTTGCTTGCGCAGTTTCGATTGAAGTTCGCGACCTCGCAGGCCAAAGTGGTAAGTGGTAAGGAACCAAACCTTTCTTGCCAGGGTGCTGGGATCGTTTGCATTCTGGAAGAGTACTTCAATCTTCTCGCTATCCGCTTGCGTTATTGATTCTTTATGATCTGTGGCTTTGATTGCTCCATCCCGTCACAACTTCTTCAACATCCCATCAAATGCATCGTTGCACCTTTTGAATACTGGGTCCGAAATGATGTTGAAGCCACGTCGCTCGAGAAGAGTTCGATTCATAGCCGCTCGGAAGCCTACATAACTGGCCTGTTGGTAGGTTCCACCTTTTGGTGTCTTTTCCGAAGACTTACATAGCATTTGGACTGGACAGTAGCTACTTCTTCCTTTGACACTGTTTCTAGATCACACTCAATGCCATTTTCTGCCAAATAATCGTGAAGCACTGCAAGCCACTGCTTGGTTGTGTCCTTGGTTGCCTGTGGCACCCTTTCTTCGATAACTTTGTCCACATCTTCATCCTCTACAGAGGCAAATCGTCGCTTTGCTATAGGCTCTGCCATTGTTGTGCAACGAGTGCCATATAGTAATGAAAGGACTTGAGAACTTCGGCAGGCAGGCACTCGGTGTTTCTAGTTGATGTATTTCAGGTTCGATTTATTTGTGTTTCGATTTATTTGCATTTATTTGGCACGCCTACGCGGACACTACTAGTCGCGTACCCTTATGGAGATCGGTCTATTTTTTGAGTGCATGTGGTGTCCTTATTTTCATGCATGTAGATTAGTGCAGTACTGTGGCTTTGTTTGCGCTGCTGCGGGGGCACTTGCACGTGCACGTTCTGCTGAGGAGAGCCTTGTGGCTTTCGCTTGTGCTGTCCTGCGTGGGTGGCAGTGTGAAACACAATCAGACATGGATGTCAGGGCAGGTATCGTTGATTCAGGCCCTCGAGCGGCCTTCGGCCTTGGGCCGCTCTCGGGCCTGAATCAACGATACTGCCCTGACATCCATGTCTGATTCTATACTTAGTATCCGAAGCATTTCTCATCCTATGTGAAACGTACTTCAGTATGGACTCGGATGGAGAGCCAAGGATAAATTTAAAAAAAAAGAAAAAGGACCAAGGAACTACAAGTTACGCTATAATGTCCACTAACATCACCAGTTACTAAACAATCAGCTCATGCGATAACATTGCACGACACTGTCTGACCGACCGTACTGACGTTCTACAACTAACTGGCTAACAGCTCTAGCACATCTTGGATGCGCACTTCAACAGCCTTCCAACTTGGAAGGTTCTAAGTTTTATGATAACATAGGAGGGGACGGCGAGCGCAACAAAGCACGAGCTGAAAGTCTAAGCTGTGAAGGACGTTGGCAGATGTTCATGCATGTCGATGACGATACTGGCAAGACCATTGGACAATACGGTCAAAACACAATTCCAGGACGCAAAGCAACATTCCACACAACTTGTTTGACTCAAAGATGTGAAGATCAACAATTTCTCTTCGCATCAATAAAAAATATATACGTACGTGCATGCCGACTGCAGTATGGAAAAACGGTTTGCCAAAATGTTCGCGCTACCTAATCGTTGTCTGAAGAAGGGCGGAGGCTTCCTGCAGCTTCATCTGTGAAAGGAATTCAGGTGGACACAACCATTCCCATAGCGCTGCACATCCAAACCAGTTCCGGTACTTTACAACCTCTTTTTGTGTACATCAATTATCACTGAATATAATATGAGGCAGGTCACTCAAATCCATGCTGTTCCTGACGCCTCGTCGCATCCCTGGTGATAAGAGCTAGGCATGTGAAGTGTGAGATCTCGTGGTTGTCTGCTTTTCTCACACATTCTGTGATTAACCTCATAGTGCATTGGCGTGCTGCCTCCATCCAGGGTGATACGCATCTCCGTGGTCGGTAATCGTACGTGCCACCTACGTACATGATACAATACGGGCGTGTTTCTGTCCGGAAATCCTTGCTGGTTCGATAGAATGGCAGTGCCCGGAAGTGCATATACCGGTTTCGGGTCATTCCATTCCGACAACATCCAAGACCTCATAGCACAGAGCGACAGCGATTACCGGCCGCCGACAATACCGCCCGACATATGCATGCCTGAGTTTCCCAGCTACGATGCAATGATGACGTCGCTGCTCGAGCCCCTGGAGGAGTTGGGCTCTGGGGGCTGCTTTGGCAAAGCCCTGCTGGACCGGGGGGTGTTTCTGCTGGATCGCAAGTGGACGTTTCTGAATCACGGCGCGTTTGGTGCCACGTGTCTGCCCGCGTTGCGTGCCGCCGAGGTGTGGCGACGTCACACGGAGCGACAGCCTCTGCTCAGCTTCGACCGCGTCCTGCTGCCTCACCTGGTACGCATCGTTCGCCTGGTCAGTCGGGTGATCGGCGCTAGGAGCTGTGCCGACGTGGTGCTGGTACCCAACGCCACGCAAGGGCTCTGGGCATGTATCCAGACTGCTGCTCGGGTACTCCATCCTGATGATGCCATTCTCACTCTGGATATCGGCTATGGATCCGTAAAGAAGATGGTCAAAGAAGTCACGAAACGGTTCCCGGTGAAACATGTCGAAGTGACCGTGCCACTACCGCCAGTGGGGGACGCATCCAGCGCCGACATTGCCTTGCAGATTCACACGACCTTGGAGCAAGCTCTCAAGAGCCACGGTCACGTGAAGCTGGTTCTGGTCGACGCCATCACATCCAACACGGCCATCTGTCTGCCGGTCAAGCGTATCACAGAACTCTGCCACCGTCACGGGGCCGCGGTCATCGTCGATGCCGCACACGCCCTCGGCCAAATCCCCCTCAACGTCAGCGACTGGGGCGCCGACATTGTCGTCGGGAACTTCCACAAGTGGTGGTGTGCAGCACGCGGCGCAGCGTTTGTGTACAGCAACGGCGATCTGGACCTGGATCATTTCCGCGTGCCTCGTCCAGAGGCGCTCGTCATCTCTCACGGATACGGTCACGGGATGCTGTCGGAGTTTTCCTGGGACGGCAACAGGGATTACAGCGCTTGGCTGGCGCTGGATGCCTCCGACAGGTTTTGGAGCAGCCTGGGCGTCGACCGGGCGCGCGAGTACTGCGTCGGTCTGCTCCGTGATGCGGCCACTCTGCTGGTCAAGGACTGGTCTACTCGTACGCTCGTCCCGCTGGATATGTGTCACATGATGGCACTAGTGGAGGTGCCTGTCCGGGATGAACACAGCACAGGTAAGCATGCACATACATGTACACTCTGTTTCAGAATCATAATTCAAGTCCGACCTTTTCAAACCCATCTAGGGGTCGTCACTACCGTACTTTGCGGAGAATAAGCCACACTGGAGCATAAACCGAACACAGAGTTTCATATTTTTGTCACAAAATACAGATATCTACCCTACAATCCGTCCTCGTGCAAAATTCTCTGACCCCCCCCCCCCCCTCCCATTTTTTTCCTATTCTTTTTTTGGATTTTTCCCAGTCAGCTGATACATAGTGCCAAAAGTCTTGGACTCTTGCTTGTACCAATCCTGAGACACACATGTACAGCAACTAATATAAAGTATAGTGTGTTTCAAAAGTATAGATAGACCTCTTAGACTTTTTCGAATAATTCAAATTTGGTTGGAGCTTTTTGAGAACTGTCTTCGGAAAATTGCTTAGGCAGCTCCCGCAATTTTTCTCTTATAAATTTCTAAGCGATCGGATAACAAACGCCCAATTTCGGAAAAGTATGCACGAAGCGATGACAGATTTTATGTGGTATAGGTGCTGGCCTAACGGTTTTTTGAAGGTCTGGAGTTTTGAAACGCACTATAGTAGGAGCTAAGCCCAGGCGGTTCACTGCATGCACTGCATGCACTACATGACCACCAGGGAGTTGTATTTACAGATGCCCACGCATGACTGCATCCTTGTCAAAATAATGCCAATCATCCGTGTCGTAGACTACAAACATTGTGTTCGTAGTAATTGAAACTGCGTGCAGTTCACTGTAGAAAAGACTATAGACATGATGCAAGTACCGCAGTGTTTGCAAAAAAACTACACTTAGACTTCATTACGATGGGTTTGGCCAGTCGCGTGAAGAGTCCTCGATGCACAATGCACGGCATGGCACGCACAGTCCGAAACTGCACGCGAGCTGTCACGTGGGTCTACCGTGTAGAAAGTGATGCGCATCGCTCGTCGCAGAAGTTGAACTAGGCTCAACTTCCCGCGATGAGGCCTGCGACGGAGCTGTGACAACCTGCGATTCAAAATTTTGCGGAAAAAGCTCTCGATCGCATCGCTCGTCGCTCATCGCGTCGCAGAAGTGATATTGTGCATCGCGCTTAAACAGCTTGCTGTCTGTAGATTGACCACTACAGACTACATGTATACAGTGTGACACTGAGTGTACTACGAAATCAACGAATGTGATATTTGCTCCTGTGTACCTTCAGATGATAATCAGAAGCTCACATCGGACAATGCAAAGTTTCTTCAGGATAAGCTGCACTACCAGTACTCAATCGAGGTGCCGGTGAAGTGCGTGGACAGTCGACTCTGGGTGCGCATCTCCGCGGCCGTGTATAACACCATCGAGGACTACCAGCGCCTTTCGGCGGTTATCCGTGAGATATTTCCTATGAGCGTCTAGCCTAAGCATACAGTCTGACCTCGCTTATCCGGCCCTCTTTCAGTATCCGGATTCCTCACCATCCGGAAGAAAACAGCTGGTTACAGCTCAGCCAATCAGAGTTTAGGAAGTGTTTTCTTCAACAAGAGTTAAGATATCAGCAGACCAAGAAGACTTTGAAACACGTGCTGAACTCTGATTGGTGGAGGGCAGTTGACCAATCGTTTCACGTGTGAAGTTCAGAACAGGATAGAATGAAATTTTAGATTTTCTTCCCTGGTAGAATTTTTTGTTTCTCCTTCTACCAGTACTGTGTAGCTCCAAGGGCACGTATGTTCTCAGCTACTGCGTGCGGCTGGCTGCACTCATTTCCCCAGGTTACTTTCGTGTGTGACTTGATGCACTTGTGCAGTATGAAAGTTGTATTAATTTTATATTGAAAAATCGGCTGGACTTATTTCTTTCGTGTTTATGTTAGCTGGGTTAGGCTTTCCCATTCTCTAACCAAGCTCACATTCCTCTTCCAAAAATTATAGCTTAATTGTGACTTGATTCACTCTTCCATGCAGTATCTAAACTATTTATAATGAAAATCGTACTCATGGTGATATATCTCAATAAAATCTGGATCTGGCAAAAAAGCGGAACAAATAAGATTATATAGATAGGGCATTATGATGGTAATGTGGGAAGGTCGGATCAACACCTATCTTCTTATCTCTCTGTTCAAGTCTGGGTATGTTGGAGATATAGCAAAGGTGCGCCGACGCACTGTTTCTTGATAGGCATCGGTGACATTTACAACAGCAACACAGCACGGCGCTGTAATACAAAGTGTGTGCAAAAGAGAAAAAGACCTAGTTCAGATTTATCAACTCTATAATGATGGCACCATCTGGATGCTGGGGCGGATACAGCCAAACCAAGAACACAACGAATTTCAAAGTCTGTAGTCTGGGCTAAGGGCCTAGAAAGCACGTTTCCACTTGAAGTGCATGTCAAGTGGTACACTTAGCAGCAAGTTGTCAAGGCAACTAAGCCTGTAGTTCGTACTGACAACCTAGGAGGCATGTTTGCACTTGAATCCAGCACATGTATGCAGCTGTACAGTGGTATGCTCAGCGGCGAGTTGTCAAGGCAACTGGCTGTACAGTGGCATGCTTAGCGGCGAGTTGTCAAGGCACTAGCTGCACGGTTGCTGGATATCACTGGAGGCAATTCTCATCCTCATCTTCCACATCACTTATGCCTGTACAGGAAACAGCACAACAAATGGACACAATGTTACTTAGCGTTAGCTAAACCCCTGACTAGCAGGCAGCCAAACACTCCGAATTCAGAAAATTTAGGTATGCAGGCAAAAGCTGACCAGGTTAGGTGAACAGAAAGTTTAGGTACAGAAAATGCAATTGCCTATTGTGCTCTCTGTGCAAGCCATTGTGCAGCTATTGAAACTTTAGGTAAGCCTCCAAACTCTTCCCCTCACCATACTAGAGTGCTTACCGATATTGCTCATGTTCTGGGCAGGCGAAACGACACGTCAGATCACGTTGTGCGCAAGGGCAAGGCAAACAAACACAGAAAATAACGGCAAAAATGATCAGCATTCAACACACACACAACACACACATATGCATGACAGTACATGTAATAATAATTATAGACGCCGATTCCGATCCTATTACCAATTCAAGACCAAAACTATGCAAGCTAGGATATGTTTACATTTTCCTATGTATTACAATGCTCTGAGTTGCTCCTGCCATGGGACTTACCAAGGAGTCGAGCTGCTGTTCGCGCTCCACAACTGACATCACCTCATCGATCTCTGCACTGTCCAGAGACTGGCTCATCTCGAGGCGTTTTCGAACGCCCTCGGCCAAATCTGACCGGTTCCTCCAACTGCCATTACTCTTTGACGATGCCGGAGAAGAGCCATTTGAGTTTGGAAGCGTGACTGTTCTTGGAGGAACGGGAGGGCTGGCTGATTTGGACTTTTTCCTGTAAGAGTGCAAAGAAATTAGGAGCACATGGAGAACATAATTATGTCAACTATGCCTATGAATGAAGTCATCATGATGCACTGAGTTGTAGTCAACCGCATGGAAGTGACCAGTGGATTTAGCGCAGATGTGAAGGGCGGTATCCACTGCTCCAGTCTCATGCCGATGAACACCTGTACATATGCACGATCTGACTGATTGCTACGGACTACGGTAGACACTAGATATATCACTGACTTACACTGTCGACGTGGGCGATGTTGTCGGGAACAAAGTGCTGGCATTCATCATCTCCATCTTTTCCCTCAGCTGTACAGGAACAAACACGCAGGGAGCATACAATTAGCGATGCACTTACTGTCAGTTGTTCGGGGTATCAATGCTACTCTTGTAAGCTTGCTGTCTGGAGCAATCTCTCTGCAGGTATTCAACATGCCATATTCCGTAGGGTTGCAACCTTCAACAGAGCTCGTAGCAGGGCAGAAGTTATTGGTAGCTCCATACAACACACCACGGTCATCTGACGTTGACAGCATGTCACATGTGAAGTACAAACTTACAGCACTTTTGCCGCCTCCGACCTGCTCCATCATCCTGGTCATCAGTTGCGCAAAATCCTCCTTTGTCTACAATGCATGGCGGGCAGAAACACATAGCAACACATGCAGAACACCCAAATTAGTCAATGTGTGTGGGTGCGTGCGTTTCAGGGAAGTGACCAAGGTTCCACTGGTATATGAAGGTACCTGCCTGTAGGCTGCCATTTCTGTTCTGAAACAATCTATCGTCCTAGTATAAACTCAAGTGCTTGTATCCAGGGAGAAGCAAAGGGAAATAAACAAATCGAAAACCAGGATGAATACAGTCCCCACTTATATAATCACTGTAGGTGCAATGCAAACGTATCGCAAGTAGGCATTCAACCATCAATAAATTGAGCTTTACCTCTTTCAGGCGTCGGTCACACTCTTCCTTCACTTTTTGTATCTCGTCTTCCACTGCGGCCTGCTGTTTTCGTGCCTGTTCGGGTCAAGATCACAGAATACAATACATACACACGTTAACCACCTTGAAAATGAACATGAATACTAGTAATTGGCCATCAATCTGCACTAACAGTAAGTTTATTTACAGGTTTGTGGACACAGCCAGCACAGCCAGCACAGCCAGCACAGCCAGCACAGCCAGCACAGCCAGCACAGCCAGCACAGCCAGCACAGCCAGCACAGCCAGCACAGCCAGCACAGCCAGCACAGCCAGCACAGCCAGCACAGCCAGCACAGCCAGCACAGCCAGCACAGCCAGCACAGCCAGCACAGCCAGCACAGCCAGCACAGCCAGCACAGCCAGCACAGCCAGCACAGCCAGCACAGCCAGCACAGCCAGCACAGCCAGCACAGCCAGCACAGCCAGCACAGCCAGCACAGCCAGCACAGCCAGCACAGCCAGCACAGCCAGCACAGTTTCAACATTGAATGTGTGTACTGTAACTAGAGGCCGTCCAAGCACAGCAGACTGTTAGCAATTGCTGCTTTCCTAGCAAGTGCGACCAGTGTGGAATACTCAATTCTATCCATAAGGTTTCCTACAGATCAAAGCTCCGGTTACCCATGATATCTGGATGTTTTAAACAGAATGTGTAACGCTTGCTACATATACCCCACCACTCTTTGACAAGCATGAGTATTAACCTAAGGTTGGATGAACAGTAACTTACGTCAGTGAGCTGCGTCTCAAGCGACCGGTTCTGCTTGTTGCTCCTAAGTGAGGGGAAAGGAACACAAATATCGAAACGGCGACAGATCAGATCACACGAGCGAACGTGTCTCTACACGGGAAGCACACGCTTTCAACCAAGCCCTCGCAAATACACACGATCTAGAAGTCAGCACCCAGCCAAACGCTGCACTGATAGTTACATGCCAGGACCATGAATACAACCTGGCAAACCTCGAGTCAATCCCTTCAGTTGTAGCATCACAATAACTACTTGTACAAGCAGTGTTTGTAACTGCTGTGCTCCAATCTCATGTACAGTCAACTTTGCTTATAACGACACTCGGCGGGGCATCAGAAAAGTGTCCTTATTCGCGAAGTGTCGTTATACCCGAAGTCTTATTACATGTATTACAGTTGGATGGGACTTTGCTCGGGGCATGGACATTCTGTCGTTATTCGCGAATTGTCGTTATATCCGCAGTCGTTATTAGCCAAGTTGACTGTACTAGTATTTCCAAAGCACCCACATACCATGCACTTGTTGAACAGCAACCTGTCGCAATGAATAGCTACAAAGTTAAACATCCTTGTATTAGCACCTCATTGACCCCACTCGCTCCTCATTCTTCATTCCATTCGGCCTAAGCGAAGACTAGCCAAGCTTGCTTGGCGATGTCCACGCCAAAAGGCCGATAATAATATAATAATAAACACCCTTCACTTACTTGGTCAGTTTGGTTTCGGCTTCCTCCAGGCTGACGTGCAGTGCCCAGCATGTTTGAATGACGGTCAGGTAGTGTTCACATAGGCCGTGGCCAGCCTTGTGCGCCCAATCGATGGGTGTCAGGTCCTCGTCATCAGCCTGTCCAGCACACACACGGACACAACACCGCAATATAGCAGACAGCCCAGTTTACACATCAAGATGACCGAGACAACAAACAATGTTTCCATGTATCTACGCTGTACGAATCCTGGACATCAGATAAGCTTCGCCATCCTAGCATAATCATCCTTGTCAAAGCAATGCCAGAACATTCAAGGTATGCGCAAACTTACAGCGGGATGAGACCTGAGAAATCCGAACACCCAATGCACTGCCCTCATTTTTCAAGGTTCAAATGTGCAAGTTCAAATCTCCGGGGACTGCTGAATGGCGGCCGTAACTCCCCGGTTCCACTGTTTACCTCATACCAATGCCGCTTCACATAGGTGAACATGCGGTCTAGCTTGCCCCGACCCCGTATGCAAGACAGGCTGCCCACCACTCACCTGCATTTGCGTCCCTGCATCAAAGAGGATGCGCAGGCAGTTGATGCTGCCTTTCTGGGCCGCCACGTGTGCAGGTGTCACGCCAGTGTCGGTAGCAACTGAGAGCAGTACGGAAACACACACAATAACTGTTACACTCTGGCCAAGCACTGCAGAGACAGTTGTGGATGGTTGCAACTTTCACATTCCATTCCAGACCAGGGAAACGGAACAAGAACACAAGCAAGCCCAACAGCATACAACAGGCATGTACAAAGTAACAATACAGTAATAAAGCAACTGTGGTGTTGTCGCATACGGTTCATACATAGCCTGGTCATGGCTGTACATAACAGTCAAGACAAACATGTTGAAGGACCAGCCTTCTCCAGCATAGGAAAAGCAGACCGTGATGATTACAAGGCTCATTGTGACAATACGAGTAAACTGTATGAGCGTGCAGTACAGGCATACGGTCCAGGATCCAGCTTACCATGTGGATCAACATCTCGCCGCTTCATGGCATCCACAATGTACTCCAAGCAGTCAGCCTTGTGGATGGCACACAAGCACACACATGTACAAGGTCACACACAAATATCACAGATTATAGCAACAATGAAGTATATCTCACAAGTTCCCTTTGATACACGCCAAGCGCGTCACTAGAAATAGCATAAAATTACGCATGCCAAGGCACTTGAGCTATGCTGAAATCAGTGACAGACCTAAAAGTCATAAACAATTTTGGGTATTAAAGAGTCATAGATCATGCTAGGCAGCTCACCTGGTCAAAGGCAGCTGCCAAGTGCAGCAGCGTCGAGCCGTGATCGTCGGTTTCAAAGTCCCCCTGGCTGGCCTCCACCAGGACCTTGACGCAGTCCAAGTGGCCGTTCTGGACCGCCAGCATGCACGGCGTCAGGTAATCCTTGTCGGCCATGGCGGTGGCTTTGCGCCGACCCTCCTCTGACAGGCCACAGTCCTTCAGCAAGAAGTTGACTATGTCAATGTGACCGCACTGCAGGAACCACACACACCAGTCCACCAATACGAAAAGAAGAATTGCTTGAGAAATAGCTCGGCAACATAAGTATATGACTATGGTGCATTGTATAGGTCAATAGCTGCACTGTTTGTAGTGATACTCAGCTCATACTTCAGTATAACAAACCCCATGATGAACACTCACCATCTTTGTATTCCAGGAAGTCACACAAAAATGCATTCCCTTTCGGTGCAGATTTGAGCAATCTACAAGCATCACTTATGAGGCCATCAACGGCATTCTGAGCATGCCTTTCTTACCTCAGCTGCTTTGTGTAGAGGAGATACACCATTGGCATCGCGCAGCATGGACAGCTGTTCATTGGCCTGCAGTGCAGTCGCTTGAAGTCGATGCTGTCCAGACACAGTACAGGTAAAAATGAACAAACAAGGCTTGCAGAGGTAAACTACAAGCAGAGAGATACTATAGTTAAATCTCAACTCGCATGTCCTTCCTTCTCACACCATGACCAGTCAGTTCCATATATAGCTTATCGAAGTTGACTGGAATTACGAGAATAAATTCCCCACAGTGCAACTGCTTGCTGTTGGTATAGCCAGAACAACAGCACATAGTCAGGCAAATATGCATGCACTGGCACTCAAAGCAGAGCAAGCTAATAACAAGCATTGGCTGGCTTCTTCTGCAACACTTCACTCACCAGATGAGCCAGGTTTCCGCTGGTGGCGGCCTCCATAGCCTGACCGACCGTCAGTGATTTCAAAGCTGCCTGCTTGGCTTCTTGTATGCTCGGAGGCTCCTTGTTCAGCTTGATCTTCTTACGGTCGCTGCTCGGACCAAACACGACACGCTTCGGTCCATTACCGCCGGCGTCCAGCGAGGTACAGGACGATGCGGATAGCGACGAACCGGACGATGAACGCGAGATGGCTCGTGACTCGCTGATCGGCGCCATGTTGTTGCTGCTGCCGAGTCGGACACTGCGCTCGAGCGACGGGCTCGTGCTGTGTCCAATACCACTGCTGCCGGAGGAATCAATACTGCCACTGCTGATTGTGTGTGTCATTGGTAGAGTTGTCGATTCGCCTGGTGTTCCATTGATGGCCGTGACCGACGTCGTCGTCGGTACAAAGCAGTCTTCCGGGAGACGCTCCAGCGAGCCGATACTGTCGTTGCTGGTTCCTCGACTGAGCTGGCGTGCATTCATGCTGTCAGAGCTGGAGTGGCGGTGCAGTTGATGGTCGTGATTCGCATGTCGCTGCTCCCGGTGACCGGACGACGGCGAGTTGGAGTTGCTGCCGCTCTCACTGAGGATCACTCCGCTCCGACTGCCCGCGTTGGTGGAGTGGAGCAGAGCGGTGGTGGTGGCGTACAGGTTCTCGCTCTGCACCGTGGCGGCCGGATGAACGGTGTGTATGTTGGCCGGCGCTATGTGTCCTTGTTGTTGACTGCGCTCACTGCGGGGCCGGTTGGGCGACAGGCCATTGAGAGGGCTCTGCCCACCGTACGTAGGTTGAAGTGGTGACGGTAGGAGGCCGTTTTGGAGCGGTTTCGATGGCGTGTGGTGGCCGCTGGATGGCTGCGAGTGCGAGTGTGTCGGAAAGCCACTGGCTGGATGTGCGGGGAAGTGACGCGGAGCCGACTGGTAGATGTTCTCTGTCGGGTAGCTTGTACTCAGATCAGACATGCTGGACGTGCGCGATGATGCCACACTGCTGTTACCACCTGCAACACGACAATACACAGTCACGTTCCCTGGTGTTAGCATTGCCGCTGCAGAGTCCACTGCAGACAGTCATGTGCTATTCACCAATGCTGGACACATTATGGATGGAGAGCAGCGTCAGGGAATACACACATACATACATACATACATACTCACACACACACACACATACACACATATACACACACATACATACACATACACACACACACACGCACACACGCACACACACACACACACACACACACACACACACACACACACACACACACACACACACACACGCACGCACGCACGCACGCACACACACACACGGGTGTGCAAATCTGCAAACTCTGGGTTCGGATATGATGGCACATGACCATACATCGTACTTCTCTGTCAAGATAGAACTGCATGCTAAACTACATTCGAATGGAGCAGTGGAGCAGCCCTTTTGGCAAACCAACACACTGCATATACTGACTACAGCATACCTTCGGTTGCAGGTGTCCGGCTTGCAAAGGACGGCGCGTACGGCTGCCTACGTCGCCGTGACGACTGCTGGATCTTCTGCAGCAGTGCATCGTCGTTATAGCCGTTGTTGGTGCCGTGGTGACTGGCGTGGTACGGCTGGTACATGTCGCCACCTGGTGGCATGCTGGCGCCGTCCACTCCTAAACAATGTGGACAATCGCACACAATAACAGATGAGGTATTCCACGCGCCCTGTTACCAGCTAAGGAATTCTGGGCCGCGAAATCTTAGGCACGGCATAACAGGCCAGGAGACCCAATGGAATCACAGGTCTGCCAAGACACATTTGGAGACCACTACTCCGGGAAAGCAATCTTAGCACACATGATCCCATGTCAGTATCGAGAACTACCCAGCACCCGCTACATTGTACATACCTGTGAAATGGACTAAAAAGGTGATTAGAGGGAAAGGACTCAGCTTGCGTTCTTTCCCAGCTTGCTAACATGCAGAACTGCAGCTAGAAAATACTCCTGCTCTGCTGTAAGCTTTCAGCTACACTGGCAGGCTCTGAGTCAAACTGCTCAATTAAATCCATGTAGATCCTCGCCTCCACCACGGTACCACCGCACTAGTACCAGTAGCAGATCCCTACCAGTCATGTTGCCTATGTCAATAGCAGCCCAGCTGATGGCAAGGGTGCCGCGTTTCACCAGTAGTAAACCTCTGAAAGCACTTTTCCTATATCAATCACTGCCCACCTGATAGCGAGGGTGCATTGTCATCGTCTTGCAAATGAAGTTCAATAACATCAAAAAGGTAATTTGTGAATGGTCCCAATAGCCAGCCTCCAATAACCTTCTATTTAGAGCATAGGCTAGAGTGAATGGGATATTTCCAGTTTGTTTGTTTGGGAGCATGCACTCCGTGCATGGAGGAAGTGACCGCGGCCTTACTGCTCGTGCAAAAGTCTATACGGAGGAAGATCATGAGGACGGCGCGTCTTTGTTGTCTTTGTTGTGCGCGAGTTCAGGACAGGACGGAACTTCTGGCATAATGTGAAGATGTATTCAGTTACGGCCTGGCCAGAGGCCGCCGGCCTTTGGGCTATACTAGCCTACTTGACACTCAGCTGCCTGCTTTGCCTCCATAATCAATGAGTGTGTTTCCTACGCAAGACGGGAACCTACTGGTAAATGGCCAGGCATTAATAATACTGACCAGCACCGTGGTGTCACCCACTCCTCCGACCACTTGACAGCCTAATTATCCAGGAAATTGCAGCATCAGATCCCAGTACTGCGTGGCTAATTGGTGCACATTAGTGCAGTGTTCTTGACCTCAGCTCAGCAGGGAGCTGCGGATACCACTCGCTTGGAGCTTACGTGTGATGGGGATTTCCCTCAGCACTTTCACTTGTCTACACAGAGGCCTAGATACTAGTGCTACGGTACATGAAATAGTAAGTAGACAAGCGTACTGGTAAGGACTACTCTAACTACTCGGTAAGTAACTTGGACCATCCATTTGCATCACTTTCATGATATACATGCCATATCACCTCTCATTCACCATGGAGCACAACCAAGGAAAGCAAGTACATGTACAAGAATCGGAAGTGTTGTGGATTATGAAGTGCCTCTCTAAATATCAACTCTTGAGTCGCTTAGGGCAACTGTGGTGATAACCCAGCACTGAGAGACTTAAACCAGAACTTGGCAGAAGTCTATGCTACCCTGTGGCAACCATATGTCACATTTTATTGGATCAAAGTAGACAGAGCACTGAGAGTGTAGTGCATTCCGGCATGTTGCAGGTCTCCCTTTTAGACTGAGGAAGTGTGATGTTTCCTTATCGTGCACAACATTTCCTTTTCAAGTTAGTCAGGCTAAAGCGCACAATATCAAGACAACCCAACCGTCCATAAGAATACAAAGACGACACGTGAAGCAACACAGCCATAATTCAGGTTACAAATGGTGCAATGAATACTAGTACTAGAATACGTGTTCCTATTACAAGAGTTGATTCAGCCATGCAGCTAGCCATCAACACGCAGAAGCACACAAGCACACACACACACACACACACACACACACACACACACACACACACACACACACATCAGCTTCTCACACTTGTGTGGGTAGCCATTGCGCGAAATCACGCGACACCTGTACATTTTCGATCTGCGGGATGAAGATGACGACGTCCATGCATCAGGTATCAGGGGGTAGTAAGATACTGGTATATTGCTACTCCACGCCTCAAATCGTGCTGTCAAGCGTATGCGGGGGAGTGTAGCATGCCATCCCTTACACTTTCCAGCTCAGGGTTACCCTCGCTACCAATGGACGAAATTTCAGGGTCACAGCTTGCGCAACGGCTTTGTCCTGTGCGAATGGCCACTCGACATACTCAGCACAAATTTTCTATTGCATGCATGCACAAAATGTTCAACTTTCGTATTTTTGGCGACTTTACCACCGTCGTGGAGGCTGGTTGGTGAGGAGCAGGTAGCCATCCCTTGTGGAATCAAACACATGGTTCCACAGTGTGGCTGATTCCGCAAGAGCCAGGTCCATACGAGGAACATTCGCTTTGTCTTTTGCCATCGAAGTAAGTCACTTTTCTTGTTCTCAGTGTTTTTTACGTTCAACGTTTCTGAGATTTTTGAATTATTCACTTTTCATTCTTTCATACTTTATTTCTTCATGTTCACTGCCTCACTTGCCTTCTGATCTGGAGAATGTGACGGAGGTGACTGTTGGTTACTGCCTGGTATAACGGTTGTCGTGCTGTTGCTGTATTTCCGTCCTGCTCGCGACGTTGTAGATCACAAACAATTTGAAATCACATGAATTGTACTTACCGTCATGCGTGCGGTATTAGGAAACACTGTGCAGATTAGATCGTCGCAATGTATCTATATGACATATATTGTGTGTCTGGTCATCCTGTGCAATGCAAGAACTCCAACTAGACGCATTCGTCCTCGGCCCTGTTGATCGATTGTCCACTCGTCTTTCCTTGAAGAACGATCGATCAAAAAAATCGAGCTCGAGGACTTTTTGCAAAAAAACGGCTGAAAAAAGGAAGAAAAAAGGGTGCTCAGAATGAGATTCGAGTACACAACCATGGTCCCAGCAGTTTATGTGGATGTCGCTCATAGATGCGCGATTTCGCGCAATGTGGGCAGCATTGCTGCCACTGGATAACCAAGGACTGTTTAATTTACAGAAATATACTTGATAAGTACTGTAATAGGTGCACACATTCAGATAAGTCTCATGCTGTGATTGTTGGCGAAAATACTACATGTAGAACTTCAAAAGCCTTGAATGAATACCACACTCACATGGAAAATCGCATAGACTGCATAGACTAAAAAGAAGCAGTCATTTTTTTCTTCTTCAGACTTCTCCCTTTTCCATTCCCACAACTAACGAATATTACACAGAAGCTGCCGCTATGCCTACCTTTCGCGTACGGCGGTGAGAGTGGCGGAGGTTCCGTGGACGGTGGTGAGTTCAGGGAGCGCAGCGGCAGGGAGGTCACCCGGCGACGGTTACCCGAGTGATGCTGGTGGTGCGTCTGCGGAGAACGTGCCATGACCGGCACGTGACCCCCATGGCTCGGAATCTGATCAAACAAATCACACACACACACACACACACACACACACACACGCATCGACAAGAAAGAATACGACTATCACCCGGGCTTCAAGTTCAAACACAGGAAGTCGTTCACACAGTACACGCGCCTGTAGATCAGCGACAGTCTCAAGCCCAGTGTTCAAATACACTCACACTTCAGAGAAAGCAGAAATACTTCAGCGCTGACTGGGTGATCCGAGTATGACCACCCACACTCAGTTTGTGCCAGAAAAGAAACTGTCAAACACAGCCCACGCAGGTATTCAACGTGCGCTAATCCAACACACCCTACAGCTTTACATCGCCATTGAATCATGCACATCAATACATTTCGACATTGTAAAGTAATACTTCGAGCGATAGTATAGTATACCGAAAACACAACAATCTAAAAACACCACATTTCTTTGGTAGTAATGGTAATTGTACATTCGGCACGCCACAGTTCCCCAAACCGATTGCACCCACCCATGGAGAAGCAAGCACAGCCACGTGTGTGTTGCCCGCAGGTCTATTCTGCAACCACCGCCGTGATAAACGACAGTACCCCTACCACATTACCACTTTGCTTGGCCAACTACCATAACACGAGCCCAGGATTTACTACTTAACACAACCCCCGTCCTCTCCCCCCCCCCCCCCCCCCCCCCCCCCCCGCAGCGACACCATTGGATCCACCCTCCAACACTAGTCTTAGGGAAACCCGTTCATTGGCTTTGATCTCCAGTACTAGTCTACGAAACCAATATTATCCTAGCCAAGTCACAGATTTGTTGGAACAAGAGATTGGGGGGGGGGGGGGGGGGGGGGAGGGGGGGGGGGGGGACAGTGCGTAATACACCCAGGACAAACTCAGTAGAAAGAGAATCTGGTGCTGACTAAGCCACCGTGCACTGGTGCTAGTGCAACACAAAAATGTACGTGATTGTGTACACACTGTTCCACTACCTGATCTTTGAGCACCGTATGTAGTCACTATAAACAATGAGCTAGTCAGAGCCGCCCCGAATACCAAAAATAGGACGACCAGAAGGAACAGGTCACACGAGTGTTTCCCACTCACGCTTGTACTGCAAATATCTAAGGCCAAGGCTAAGCCCCAGTAAGGGCCATGACACTGACCTACCTGCACAGCTAGATGCTCAACCACTGATACACAGTCACTGTACATCACTACACATGAATAAACACCTTTTCCAAAGCTGCAGGCCGCAGCAGGGTGCTGTATGGGGCATTTTCGCCATTGCTGAGAAAGTCCGTGCACGCCAGGGATGGACTCCACATAGCAATTATACACTCAGTTATCCTAGTTATGCCAATAATCACATAGCTGAAACAATGCCCTGAGGCAGTGAATATTGGGCATTGGGACTGTTCAAATAATACGCAAAACGCAAAACGCAAGCTGAAGGATTGAAAACAAATCATACATACTGTCATTGGTGCACAACTCTCCGCTCCCATGTCAACTGACAAGGTCCCTTCAAGTTGCAAAAGGAGATGAGTTGCTGCTGCCCTCAGCTACAGACTATCGGCACAGTGATGGGCAGCCACCTGCACAGTCCAATCTCCAATGGAATGCAAACTTGCCCAGCGTACCATAAACAGCTCGGCCCCAACATGAAATCTACTCGATCTGGCCAGCCCTGTCGGAAGCACTACCACTGCTGATGGGCAGCCCTGAGTGGCACTTCAGAAATGCACTTTGGTAATGTCAGGAGTTGTCTACGGTGCTGTGAAGACCAGCCTGGTTAGAAATGCTACAATAAACAGTACAAGAGCAGGTGGTTGCCTCCTCCTAGAACCACACCAACAAGCTGTTGATAAGACAGAAGAAATCCCAGCACAGCCTTCTGCTGGCCTCCCACCCTCAGAATGAGAGCTGTCCCCACAGTGCAGGAGCTACTGATGTTAGAGTGCTGCGTTGCAGCCTGTCAGTGTGTGCCTGTCCGCCAAAGGGACAGGGCTTGCCGACAGTGTCTGCAGTCCAGGTTAGCTCACTTCCCCTGGCAGCAGTAGCCCAGCAGCCCTGTGTGAATTGCTGCCATGTAGAAGTTGAATGTGCCTGGCCGTGTGACTGCTGACACCTTTCAGCAAAGCATGGGTTCGCTGGTGCAGGCCAGGGGTGGCCAAACATCACAGGTCGTTCATGACCAGGCATGGCCCAGGCAAGTGCCATGGCGTAGCGGAAGACGATGGACAGCTGGATTGGTGTTCTGCGTCAACATCGAGCCCCTGGCAATCTGCATGTCAGCTACCACGTCCCAGCGGCCAGGCCATAGAGCCTGCTACTAATCCAATACGTCACACTCCTGTAGTGTTCACTGTCTATTGCCTCAGATCTGTACGCTGCCAAAGACCCAGGAAAGCATTCTTGTTTGCTCTGCGAGCCGTGTAGAACATCAGATCACAGCTACCACCCTAGTGTACGTGTATTGGAGTTTGCCTTCCTGTGCGCCACCCAGTACCTCCAGTCCAGGTACCCCATTCAGCACTGAGAGATGTACAGTAACACTTCTACTCATGTTGCGTGCATACCAGGCAGGAAGCTACATGAAAAGATACAGAGGTGTGCTGCTGCTGGAGGCCTAGATGAGGCCATGGTCAACATGAGGACTACTGGCACAGCTGCTTGAGGCAGATAGATACACAGGGCTGACAGGTTCCTGAACAGATCCTCAGTGTCACAAACTCACGCAGAGAACACCAGACACACACTGAACACTAGGCTGCAGGAAGTCCATTTGCCGCTCCATTAGCCTGCCAACGAGCCTCAACACCAGGCCAAGGCTGCTCCAGTTTGCACCCTAGCCAGAGGCCCAAGCTCAGCTGAATAACATCCAACTCCAACCAACAGTATTAGACATGCCACCTGATCTACTTACTACTATGTGCAATGAATAATGAAGCTCTGACAGGCACACCCTCCGTGACAAACAATGCTACAAGACTGCGAGCTGTCAGCCAACCGCAATTTGTCCAGCAATACCATCACTTAGCTAACACCTTCATGAGCCGTAAGCGTATGCATCCACACCTAGAATTATGTGCGGACCACCCAGCAGCTACAGGCACTAGCATGCCAATCTTATGGTCAGCTCTAGTGGTATTCGTCTGGCTACCCTGCGACAATGTTCGGCTTCTTTGGCTGCTAAGTTATGCAGGCATGTTGTAAACAGGCTGAAAGCAATTGACACCTTCACAGAAAGTTAGAAACCTATCGCCACCTTTTGCTATTGCAGCCGGGAGACCAAGGCCAGGAGACCAAGGCCAGGGTGCTGTAAGCATCATGGACCAAGGCCAGGGTGCTGTAAGCATCATGGGCCAAGGCCAGGGTGCTGTAAGCATCATGGACCAAGGCCAGGGTGCTGTAAGCATCATGGATGCTAGCCTATGTATACTAGGTATGCTAACATGATGATGAATCAACAGCACCCCCCCCCCCCCCCTTCCATTTCAGAGTTTATCTTTCGTTTCGGCTCCTCATTCGTAGCCTTAGCGTCATTTTCTCATTATTACCCTCTCAACCTCTTCCTCCCATGCCCACCATACACACAGACCGTTCCTACTTTTTATGGTGCTCTGTGTTTGAAACACGCCTGGTATGCACTGATCAATGGAGCCACTGCCACTCTTCACCACTGCCACCCGCAGTGAGTATCAGCTGATTGCGAATTGGGACTGTGGTACAGGTCTGTGTGAGATTGCTACACAGCACACACTTGTTGCAGCTCCTGGTCAAGTTTATTTTTCGGGATTGTCAGCTATTAGTATTACAGCAAATTAGTTGATCAATTGCTCTGCGGAATGTACCACCTAGGGCGTTAGAAGAAGTAACCAGTAAGAAGTTTATTGCGGCTGGCGCAGATTGTAGCCAAGCCACTGGACACTTGGCATTACTCTATCTCTGCAGGAAGGACATAGTGGCTAAGATGGTATAATACTAATACTAGTAATAGTACTGGACAGACAGCGTGGTTCCTACTTGACAACTGGAGAACTGTGCATTTCGGAAAAAGAGCTCATTCCATCGTTCCATTGCAGACAGGTGAATACCAGGCTGGCAGATGGCTAGTAACTCCGCGCATGGCCCAGCTCACAAGTGTGTTGTCTTTGATCTTCAGATACCGTTGCTGTTTCTCGACTTTTGAGAATACTGCTCCTTGCCAAGGCATGTTTTCTGGCAGATTTCAGGCCACGTCTCGCAGGCTGGAATCAGAATTCTCCGTCAAAAGTCAAATTTAGGGCATAATACTCACAAAAAAACTTAGTTGTAGTTTACAGTTTTAGTTTTCACTCAGCTCGGTCACCCTCTTCAAACCAGGGTCCAGACAGTAGTTCTAAATGGCTAGTTGAATGCTTGGCCTCAAACTACATCTGTAAACCCCTACCACCACAACACACAACAGAAGGCCACAAATAGCCTACACCCAGTCCTTGGAGGACGCATACTGTACTCACACTTCACAGATCAATGGCCCAATGAAAACAAAGTCTAAAGGAAGTGGCTTGTGTGATTACGATTTTCAGATAGAGCACACCAGCTGCCTAGCTGCGCTGCGTTACTGTTAGTGTTACAGAGCGTGTTCCGCTCGGGTAGATACAGATAAAAGCGAATACACGCCATTATTCACCGTGTCAAGTTTCACTCCTAGCGCCAGTCGTCCCGCTGGTCACACACGAACACAACACGCAACCGCAACACCACGCATCGTCACAAGGCGAAACAATCAAACTCTCCTGATGCAACGAGCATCGACACGGCGATGCCGTGACGAACGAGCAGTTTTGCTCTCGACTTTACTGTTAAACCTACACACCACCAAGTCACGAATAAATCCGCAGGACGTGACTGTGTAAAGGCAAGACAACACTACTACAGTACCAGAATGGCACAAACTGTTGACGTTACATGTTGCACTAGGCCTGGTCGGACGACTAACAGTAACACTAACACGTACCTGTTGATGTTGATGGAGCGGTCGTTCAGCAGTAGGCCCACTGTAAGCAGTGCTCAACACGCTCCGAGCGTCGACATTGTCCACACTCGTCAACTGCTGTTGCGGCTGCTGCAGTTGATGTTGGTGCGTGCTCGTCGAGTTGCCCATCGGTGCGCTATCGGTGTTGCTGCCTCTGCGAGAGGGTTTCGCTGGGCCCTGCCAGGGACGAGGAGTGTCCGCAAAGTCCTCGCTGTAACAATGATGATGTAAGAGAGCAAATATTACTATTAGTAGTTCAGCGACCTGTCAAGCACTCTGCACAGGATTCTTCAGAACTACAACAGAAACGAGACTCTCAAGCTGAAGAAAATAACTATGGCCCTTGAAAGGAAACTAATTACTTTCATAGATCGTGACTCCCAAGCTAAGCAAGGCCTACGCCGTCGGTGCTAGCTACAGCTGCTTCACATGCGACAAGCAATCTTTTATCAACATCTTCTCCCCCTTGCTTTCACCTCATGCGATACAACATAGCAGCCAAGCTATGCTGGGAACACGCTCCGGAGGTGCGTTGTAGCGCGTCACCGTCCTACCATCGAGAGCAGCCATCCCGGGCAATCTGTAGGTAACGGGCGCTACGATTTGCTTCAGGAAACCCTAGCGCACTAGTCCATCGTGACCGATAAGAATGGTTAGGAACTGCACACAGACCGCACATCAACGTGAGGATGTTGTCGACAAATCCATTAGCGACGTGCGCCTCTCTTCTCGTCAAACATGGCCAGAGTTCGGGCGCAACACGACTAAATACGTTTATCAGTCTAGTTCGCCAGCAACACGCCGGCTCATGATGCTCCTGAAGACGGTCGATTCTGAATGAGCGACGGGAACGGTAGCACTCGCTGGTGCAACAAAAAGGCCGAACATGGCCAACATACAGACACTCACACACTCACACAACAACACAAGCTCTGCAGAGTGCACTTAGTTGTAGCAAAACCATTTTCATATCGCTTACTGCGTAGCGGGCATCTCCTGTCCGTCGCCCTTGGTTCGCATCGCTATGTTTCCGCCACCGAGTGGTGGTACTCTGCTTTGCTGGTGTACACCACGACTTGCAACGGGCTGCTGCTGCATCTCTGCCACTGCGAATCGATGTCCACGACAGAAAACTCGGAATACTATGGCAGAGCTGAATGTGTCTGTTGTTGGGGAATTACAGCTCCAGCCTTACTATCTCCTGTCTTGAGCAGGTCTAGTAGCAAGCATCTTCCACAGGCCGAGAGAGAAGAACATTGACTTTGTAGAAGTTCTAGAGCTCAAATAGCGCCCACACCACTAAACCCAATGCAAACGCGAAGAAGGTACAATCACTCTGACCATTCCCTACGCTGCATGCCCAGTTTTCCGTTTTTTTTCTTTATCAGGTCCGACGAACATGTGTGCATGACTGTTCGCCGGCACAGATGTGTAGGAGAGGCCGATATCTTGCTTCGTGGAGTAGGGAAAGGCCAATCGCGGGACTATCACCCGAAATCCGAGTAGCCAGACGACAAGGAATTTGATTCACGTGACAAGACGGCGTGGTGCACGTTTTTGGTGCACTCCATAAATCTACATGACGCGCACATACATGTAGAGAGTGATGGACTGTTTCAACAAGTCTGTTTGTCTGTACCGAGGCTGCTCTGAACTGAAGTAGGTCGGTAAACATGGTAAAAGGACCGTTAATTGAGCCGGCGCAAGCGAAAAGGGACCTTATCCTGCTGCACGTGATTTTGAGAAAACCGCACTTGAAGTGAATCAGCTGATTCTCAGCTGTCACGTTCGGATCGAACTTGAAACTGTTCGTTTTTTGGCGATACGCGACTTCTTTGGAGCTCAGTCATTCTTTGTATTGGAGAGCCAGTATCCTACAGCTCCTGTAGAAGAAAACCCTGGCTAAATCGACCCACGTACCACCGATCGGCGATCAAAATCGATCGACCGTGACCAGGTGACACGTCGACACCTCCGCTGAATAAAATCGCACGCGCGAGCGGAAAGACAAAGAGTTGCTTTCACAGTTTCAGCGCAGTTGTCTTGCCGTCTTCGCTTTCTGCTAAGTCCTTGGGTCGGCGTAGCTGTTCACTATGAGCCATCGTAAATGTTTCACCGTAAACGAAGCGCTGAAATCTCTCCTGGAAGAGATGAGGCTGAAGTTTTTGGTGAGGAAGACGAGTCGGACGCCAGTGACGTTCGGTTCAACCTGACGACGGCGACACTTTCTTCAGCAGCGAGTGGATGTCGACGCAGCAGCAGAGCTGTATGTCGGAAAGGCAGAGCCCAAACCTCCGCAGGCTAGCTCCGCAGCAGCTTGTGAAGCGACCGTTGCGCCGGCAGAGGAGGACGACACTGTTCGTCAAAAAGAGAACTGCGGATGTTCAAAAAATTGCTTGCAGCAATTTGACCCAGCTGACATCGAGACGTCGATCCTGAACATGAGAGAAATGGAGTCGCACGAGAGTGAGCTGGTGGTCCTGGGCCTTCTTGAAGCTTTGAGTAATCCTGAAACAGTTTTTGAGAGTGGAGAGAAGCGCAAGAGGGAGCGTTTTACCTACAAATTCCAAGGTCTGACTGTTTGTGTGGGTGCGTTCCCGTGTACGCACTGTCTAGCAAGAGGCTGAAACGGTACAGAAGCCACCTGGAGAAGAATGGGCTTGTGCCACTAGTGCACGGCAACACAGGAAAACGGCCACACAATGTCCTGGAGTTTGCTGTTGTGAAGTACTGCGCGGAGTACATCACTCGGCACGCGGAAGTGTTTGGAATTCCACATCCTGCGCCACTCCGTGGCAGAGACGACACGCCACCT